CCTAAATATTCAAAATCTCCAAAATTTTACTGTCTTGCAACTTTGTGAAATGGGTGGAATAGTATTATTATCTCAAATTTGCATTTGAGAAAGTGAAAATTCAGAAAAGTTATGCCACTCAACCAGGTTCACATATAAAAACACTTAAATCTTAACACTCTTATGAAGTAAGTGTTATGTCTATTTTTTAGATGAAAAAACTGAAGACATTAACTGTAACCTGATTTCAAGAGCCTGGATTTTTGTAAAGCAAAGTGACACAAGTCAAGCATTGCACATCTGAAGCTGTATATATATGGCCTTATAATATCTGCTTCTAGAGTTTAAAGCCAAGGCCAGACACTTCCCAAGTGGGGAATAGAGCAAATCACCCAACCTCCCTGTTTGACTTTTCTAAGCCTGTGAAAAGAGGAGCACATCTACACAGTCATAAAATTCAAATAATATCATATACCACCCCCAAATATAGGCATTCAGTGTCCCCCTCCAATTCAACGATTTCCAACATAGCACTTGGGTTCTCACAAAATATATATTGAAATAGTGCAGTCAACTGTGTCTGCAGCAACAGTACACCTCCCCACAGTTCTGGGGCACGAATTTGCAGAAGCAAAGAATCAGAGACAATCACTGCACTCTGTCATCCCGCAACTGAATGTATAATAACAAAGGGCAGTAAGTTTCATGAAACAAAAAATAGGAGAGAGGCAGATGAATGGTGTATGGTTTGGAGCTAAGATGTCCCCAAAGCTCATGTGTCCACAAGATGGGTTTTTGGAAATGACTGAATCATGAAAATTTTATAACTTCATTAGCTCAGTGAAAAGACTCTGAGTTCAGTCACTGGTACTGTCAGGTATGGTGGTGCATGTCTGCAATCCCAGCACTCCTGGAGGCATGAGCATCACAATTCAAGCCCGGACTATACAACTTAGTGATTTAACAAGACCCTTCCTCAAAATACAAAAGGGGGCTGGAGATGCAGCTCAATACAAAGCAGCTGATTTAAAGCCAGTATTACAATCAAACAAAAAAAATGATCTGTTCGATTGTAGTGGGAATGACTTCAGGAAATTCTATGACAATAGAATGACAGAGAGTTGCCCAGATATGGGGAAAAAAGGAAAAACCAAAATAACAGGACAATGTCAATATAATAGTAGTGATACTAAAACAAATACAGTCCAGAAAAGAAACAGGTTTGCGAGGCAAGAATAATTCTTTAAGTATTGCAGATGAAACCCAGGGCCCCGATTATGCTAGGCAAGTGCTTTACCACCAACCTATGCCCCGGCCTTTTTGTTGTATTTTTAAGGCACGGCTTAAGTTGTCCAGGGTGCTCTAATTTGCAATCTTCCTGCCTCAGCTTCCCAAGTAGCTGAGGAGTGCTACATTCCCTGATTGGTTCTTGTTTTGCAGTGATGGGGATGGAACCCAAACCTTGCTCAGGCCAAGCAAGTACCATGCCATTGAGCTACATTCCAACCCAAGAGGATGACTTTCATTGGGTATGCTATTGTATATGTCCACTACCCTCAGTAAACTCTGGAAAATAAAGACTGGAACCAGGGAGAAGACAATGGCCAAGGATAATGCACATGAAGGAAAAGTAGACACCATAGGAATATGATGTGACTCAAAGAGACATTATACAGAGAGGAGGCTGGTGAAAAAGAGGACAGTCCAGCTAGGGACAGGCTGAGCTCACAACAAACACATCAAAAAGGAGCCCAGCTGAAGGAGGCTCATGCCAAAGGAGAGGTGTCTGGGCCATAATATTTTGGGGGGTTTTGTTTCATTGTTTTTCTAAAATTTCTTTTCCTTTTTAAAAACTCAGAGCTGATTGTAGTGGTGCACACCTATAATCCCAGTTACTTGGGAGACTGAGACCGGAAGATTACAAGTTTGAGCCCAGCCTGGACAATTTAGTAAGACCTTGTCTCAAAAAATAAAATGAAAAGGGGTGAAGCTGTATTTCAGTGACAGAACACTTGCCTGGTTCACAAGGGGCCTGGGTTCAACCCCAAGCACCATGCATACCTGCATGCACATAACCTTTCATCTTAAAATGCATTCTGAGCTGTATTCCTGAACCCATGCTGCCTCCTGGGTGATCCTTACCAACAGTTAGCCAAAGTGACATGGTTCACTTGTGCTCAACATACCAGCCCTTGAAATCCCAAAAAGGTGAGAACTGGCTGAAGATTTAGTCTAGGTAGATCCAGACAACAAAGGAGAAAGCCAAAAGGAGATATTAGAGAAACAGTGAGCTGTGAGACAATGAAAATGAAATGGGAGGAGATGATGATTCTCCAGCCCCTTCCAGCTCTACGGGTCAGGACGCAACTGGTTTTTCCCAGCTAAACGTTAATAGCATCTACTTCATATGGCCACTGTGAGGATTATAGGAGATAAGGAACATAAGGGTGCCTGACACAGAATAGATGTCCGGTCCATATAAATAAGAACCTGCCAAGCCGACTCAGAAATCCCAGTCCAATTCGCCAAGCAAATACCAGCCTCGACCACTAGAGGGGAATCTCAGTCGCACTCCCTGGCAGCCTCACAGAGAGGCAGGCTGGCCCCCTCTTGACACACCAGCCTTTCCAGTGCCATGGAATACTCCCCCTCAGAAAGCCTCCCAGTTGAACTCCATGGTGTTTTCTCTGAGTTACTACATTCTCCCACAGTTACAACATGATTTGGCAGAAGTCCCATAAGTGTTTTTTTCTTTTTTTTTTCCTGCTTTCTGAGTAACATCCGAACTTCTTGCCAGAATTGGATGCCTTCCTCAATCTGGCCCAGCCTATGCCTTCAGCCTGAACTCCCCAGAATCTTTCTTCCACAGCTACACAGGAAAAGTCACAGGCCTCCTCTGCCACTTGGCATATGCTGCTCTTTATCCCTGACATGCTCTTTCCTAACCTCCTGAAACCTTTTCAGTGGTTCAGGGATCATTCCTCCATCATTTCTTCAGAGCGATCTTGCTTACGCCTGAGCTTATCATATATTTATCACATTCATCTAACTAAAGCATTAAATTGATTTATATATGTGCATCTTTAATGGATTAGAAACATCACTGTAGACAGTCCAGTGGGAAACTTGTTTAGGATCACATGGCAAGATGTAGCAAAGTCACAAAGATGGGATTTAACTCGGGCAATCTGGCTCCAGTGATGTATTGTTCTTAGCCACAAATCCATACCACATCGTAATCTCTGACTAGCCACAGTGCTATTTGTTAGTTTTTCAAATGACTAACTAAAGTCATTGTTCTAATTACTATCTCTTAAACCTTCAGTGACTATGGGCTATTGGGAATCAGCAACTCAATCTCATTAATCTGAGAGTGTCTGACTGTGGATCTAATTATGAGCAATTTCAGAATCATAATTACTGTTCCATTTTGTCCTGTGATCTGTAATGCATACAACAATCTACTCCCAGCTTCTTTGGGAGAAAAAGCAATGCTATTACTTACTGAAGCTGAGGAGCTATGTTTGTGAAACCTCTAGCTCACATCTTCTCTGGGAAGTGAGAGGCTGAACCACATGGTCTCAGAGAACCTCCTCTACAGTGCCGATAGACAGTGATTCTGAGATGGCATGGAATTAGAAAGAGCCTTCACCTCTGTGTCAGAAGACATAATTTTGAGTCTCAGCTCTGTCACTATCACAGCAACCTTTTTACGCGTTAGTAACCCAAGTCCGATTCTTTACTGCTAAACTTCATTCATTAAAAAAAAATTAGAGCCGGGTATGATGTTGCATGGCTATAATCCCCAGTAGCCTGAGAGGATGAGAAAAGATCACAAGTTTGAATCCGACCTGGACAAATTAGCAATTTAGCAAGACTCTGTCTCAAAAAAATTAAAAGTCTCAGAGACGTAGCTTACTCTGAAGGCTCTGGGTTCAGTCTCCAGTACTGCAGTAAATACTTTCTGAATGTCTGAGTGCCAGGCACTGGGTTTATTGTAATAAAGAAGACGGGGCTCCTGTTCATCCAGCTACATATGAAACCTATATTGTAAGACTATATTGTAAGACTGAAACCTATATTCTAAGACAGTCAGAGCTCATTATCTTTTTTTTTTTTTTTTCTTTTTCCTTTTTATCGGTACCAGGGATCGAACTCACGACTGCCTGCTTTCAAGGCAGGCGCTTATACCACTGAGAGCTCATTATCTTAACACGATTCCAGTTTTGCCGAATCCAATGACAACACAAATGTTATCTATCTTGCTATGTATTTCAAAGGGCTGCTAGTGTATTTTAATTGAATCCAGGGGGATTTTCTTGCAGCTTTCACACCTTCTTCCTGCTTCTCATGAAAGGTGGGGTATCAGTTCTCTGTACAGTAAAGCAGAGGACCCACATGGGGCAGATGCTGGCAAGGCCAAGTCCCCTAACGCTTTCCTACAGGCTCCAGTCGCAGACACTGGGCCAGAAGTTCCAACCCCTGAGTTGCCCCACCCCAGTGGTGTTGGGAGACTTAGTATCAGCTACTCAACTGTCAGTACCAAGAGGCAGGTATTCCAGGACAACTGCAAAACAGGCCCAGGGATGGCCTAGGGAGGTAAACTACAAAGAGCTGATAAGAGTTCCCATGAGCTTCCTCCCCTAGGGTTGCGACGGTTTGTCACAGAACCCCTGGGCCACCAGCCCCTCGTGCTGCAGGCCTCAAAGTCAAGAGGTCCGCCCCACTCCTGGCTCTGGTCCGGCACCAGCGCACACGCGCTGCATGCGTTAAGTCATGGGCTGCTTCGCTTCTGAAGAGAGGGCGTGACCGTCTCCCTGAGCGCCCGCCGAGTCTCTGACAGACTGCGGCGCGCGGGTCCGGCGCAGCCCAGGACCTGGCACCAAGCCGACCAGCCGGGCGCGCTGCGGGTCACGTGACGTCGCGGGGCGCGGGGGGGTGTGGGCGGGGCTTGGCGCGCGCGGCCCCGCGGTGACCGGGCGGTGGGAAGGGGCGGGGCCTCGGGCGGGGCCGCCAGGGGAGGGCGGGGAGGAGTGGAGATGGCGGCGGCTGCACAGGGGGGCGGGGGCGGGGAGCCCCGGGGAGCTGGTGGGGTGGGCCCGGGGGTCTCGGGGGAAGTGGAGGTCGTGAAGGGGCAGCCGTTCGACGTGGGCCCGCGCTACACGCAGCTGCAGTACATCGGCGAGGGTGCCTACGGCATGGTCAGGTGAGGGGGCGTTCTGGGAAGGGGGCGCCAGGGAGGTTAGTGTGAGGGGGACGTCCCGTATCTCTGAGACGAGGAGACCCCGAGGGATCCGAAGAGGCTGTGAACTCTGGAGACTCGGGGAGTGTCCCAGGGAGGGCCTTGGAGTGCTTCTGGGGGTGGGGCGCTACCTATCTTCCCCGGGGAGGGGGCTTGGTGATTCTGAACCGATGCTTACATTATGAAAGGAGGAACATCTGAGTGGATGTTGGGGAACTGTGGACTTTTTAGGGGCCCTACAGACAGAGTGAGACTAAGAACATAAGTAATGGTGGAAGGGGAACGAAAGAGGAGAGGATGCCTTGGATCCCCCCCGCAGTGAGGCTGTGCCCGCGTGTTTGGGAGAGTGCGGCTCAGGGAGGGCCCAGGCTTGGGAACTCCCCTCTTCTGCTCTGCCAGGGTCCCAGTGAAGGGTGAGGAGGTCAGAATACCTCCCTGCGTATTTTGGTAGGGGTCTGTGAGTTTTTTTGGTCTTGCTGTATGGCCTGGACCTTTGTTGCTATAGCAACGGCTCTGCTGCCCAGGTACCTCGCCCTGAGACCCACCCCTTTTTATCCCTCCTCTCTGATGCCCCAGGACTGCTTCCTTCTCAGTGTATTTACTTCACCTCTATTCTGGAAGCTTTCCTACCCCCTGGACCTGTCTTGAGTTGAGGGACACCCCCCCCCCTTGTGAAAGATAGGGGGAGGGGCAGGGCAACTAGAAAAAAACGGTCAGAAGGGAAATCAGTGAGCAGTCAGTCTCTTCCTCTGTTTGTAAAGTCACTAAAAGGCCACCTGGCTGGTCCCCAGCTTTCTCCCTGGAGATCCCAGGCCTTCACAGTGGGAAGGAACCAGCATTGTTTATGACTTGGCCAGAGCCCTCTCCTGCTCCCTTTTCTCCCTGCCAAGCTCGGGGTGGGGCCACCAAGCCTGGATTCCCCCTTTGTAAGCCCAGCAACATGTCTCTGGCCCTCTCAGCTCAGCTTATGACCACATTCGAAAGACTCGGGTGGCCATAAAGAAGATCAGCCCCTTTGAGCATCAGACCTACTGTCAGCGCACTCTACGGGAGATCCAGATCTTGCTGCGGTTCCGCCATGAGAATGTCATAGGCATCCGAGATATTCTTCGGGCACCTACCCTGGAAGCCATGAGAGATGTGTATCCTTTGTCTTGCCTGCCAGCTGGCTAGACACATCCTCAGAACAGGACTGGGGAATGTTGGCTTTCTTTCTGTTTCCATCTTCCCTACCACTCACCTAAACAAACCTAGCAAAAGAAACTCTCCAGTAGAGGAGAGCCCAGTGTGTGTGAGAGGACTGCGAGGCCTCAGGTGGATCCTGGCTCACGTAGCCAGAGTGGCCTTGGACAAGTCCTTCTCTGCTCTGTCCTAATGCAGAGGGGAGGAGGGAGGCTGGACAAGATGGGCTCTATGGGAGCTTTGTCCTCTGACATCTGCAATTCTGTGACATGATCCAGCCTCTGCCCACAGTCAGTTCTTGCTTAACAAACTGATGACTCCTTCCTTATTGGGTCCCCAGACTGGAAAGAAGACGAGGAGGAAAACTGCCTTTTCTTATATGCTTACTATGTGTCTGGCACTGTGCATGACAAGTGTTATGATGGTTCTTATGCTACCTTTGGCACAAATCATAGAATGTCTAAAATCGAGTGTCTCTGTTGCTGCCTCCTTCCCTCCTCAAGGTGGAAACTGGTCCTTTCTCTGAGCTTCCTGCTCAGAGCCCCACCCTCATCACCTGTGGACATGCACCTTGCCCAGGGAGGGCCACCCAGCCTTTGTTGCCTTCTCTGATATTGCTTGCCTAATTTATCTGCTTCTTGTCTGAGTATAATATCCACTGCCTCTTCATTACTCACCCCTGCCAGTCCCAGACCTCTGCCCAAAAGTGAAGATTTGTTCTGTGCTATCTTCGGTCCCTAGCACAGACTGAGTACACAAAATCACCACACTCACCTCAGCTGCTGTGTTACCCTAAGCAAGACACTGCATCTCTGGACCTCCCCCTCTGTAAAACAGCAACGTTTATCTTGATGTTCTGTGTAAAAGACAACTCTGACTTACACTTCCAGAGATAAACCACATGGCATTTATTTATGTTTAACCTTTGTTTTATCTTCAAGTATTAAAAAGACATTTACTTCTGTACCTTCTGATGTATGGCCAGGCACTGTGGAGTAGGAGCATGCTGTTGGAAGTGTCTTTTTATTTTTCTGGCACAGATCATTCCCATAAGGCAGGCATTTTTTTTTTCAGGCATTTATTTTTAAGCAAACATTTATTGCATGCCAGATGGTGTTCATACATTATCTCACTTAACCCCCTCAACAGCCCAGTGGCTCCAGCCTTTATATTAGCAAAAGAAGTTTGCTGAGCACTTACAACATGCCAAGCACTGGGCTGACTGTCTGCATGGGTCATCCCATCTACTAAAGAACAGTTACTTCCCCTCCTTGCCAGATGAAGAAACTGAGGCATGGACAGGTTAAGATCATAAAGCCAGTGAGTAGTAGAGTAGAGATTTTGGACATCGGTGGGTTAATTTTGAAGCTGCTACTCTTAATGCTGAAGTTCTCTTGTCTCGAAGTTTATTATATCCCTGGTAGGGAAACTATTGCCACAGAATGAAAGCACCTTCCTCAGGGTCAGCAGCTGAGCTGCAACTGAGGGTCTAAGTTTTCCCCATCTCACCAGGGCAAAGGGCTAAGGGCTCTAGTTGGAGGGAATATGTAGCCTGGTTGTGAGAATCTCTTTTCCTTAACCAAGTGCCTCCTGCTACCCCCTACCTGGGGGTCTCTGGAGTCCTCCTCAGCTACATTGTGCAGGACCTGATGGAGACGGACCTGTACAAGTTGCTCAGAAGCCAGCAATTGAGCAATGACCACATCTGCTACTTCCTCTACCAGATCCTTCGGGGCCTCAAGTATATTCACTCGGCCAATGTGCTCCACCGGGATTTAAAGCCTTCCAACCTGCTCATCAACACCACCTGCGACCTTAAGGTCAGAAGGTTGGGTGGCTGCCCCCCACTTCCTGAGGTCTAGGGCCGCAGAGTGACCAGTAGAAGCCTTGGAGCCTGGCAGCAAGGGGGCAGCCTAGCAGCGGTATGGCAGTGTGACCACTTGGGCTGTGGAGGCTTTGTACACCAAACTTAGCAACCTGGGTTTCATTCCAGATCTGTGATTTCGGCCTGGCCCGGATTGCTGATCCTGAGCATGACCATACTGGCTTTCTAACTGAGTATGTGGCCACACGCTGGTACCGGGCTCCAGAGATCATGCTTAACTCTAAGGTAGGAGAACTTGCCACCACTGAAGGGATGAAACTGTCTCTGCCATGAGTGTTGGCCTGTGTGACACAGGACATCTAATTTTTGGTCCTTGGGCTCCGAAAGGAAGCAAAACATTGGTTCTTCCAGACTTTTGTACTCTACATTCTGCTTTGTGTTGAATCCAAGTTAGAACCTGTTGAGGCCAGCTCAGGACCCCCTTTCCACTCTTTCCCAGGGCTACACCAAGTCCATCGACATCTGGTCTGTGGGCTGCATCCTGGCTGAGATGCTCTCCAACCGGCCCATCTTCCCTGGAAAGCACTACCTGGACCAGCTCAACCACATTCTGGGTGAGGCAGGCCTGGATATCTGAAGGAGAAGGGGATTAGCTTATGGGAGGTGAGATACCTCAAGAGTCAAGTTAAAGGTATGGAGTCCCTTCAGCATTTCACGTTATTTCGGTAAGCTGTGTATCCCCGTTTGATAGATGGGAAAAGTAAAGCTAAGTCCCACACCTAAGGAGGTGCTAGGGTCAGGATTTGAACCAAGGGCTGCTGAGTTCCAGTCCATTCTCCTTCATTATACTCTTAGCTGGGGGTTAAGAGGGGAGTCAGGGCCGGGCTGGGTCTGTTTTTCTTGCCTCTTTTCCTGTTCTGTTCGCAGGCCAAGATGATTTCTCACCAAGACACTCATCTAACCCACAGGTATCCTGGGCTCCCCATCCCAGGAGGACCTGAATTGTATCATTAACATGAAGGCCCGAAACTACCTACAGTCTCTGCCCTCTAAGACTAAGGTGGCCTGGGCCAAGCTTTTTCCGAGGTCAGACTCCAAAGGTGAGAGAGACTTAGGGGCAGGGCTGGGCTACCATCTGGGTATACAGAAGGCTGCATGATGCCACAAGCTGCCTTAATAAGCAGACCCCCAAGGCACAAGACAGAATGATGGTTCTTGGAGCTCCCTGGCCTTCTCATTGACCCTGCTCCTACCCCTCAGCTCTTGACCTCCTGGACCGGATGTTAACTTTCAATCCCAACAAGCGGATCACAGTGGAGGAGGCGCTGGCTCACCCCTACCTGGAGCAGTACTATGACCCCACAGATGAGGTAAGACAGCCACCAGCAGCAGGGCAGGTGGGGGAATGAGCACCCCCAACACCTGGCCAGGCCTTACTGTCTTTGCCACCCCAGCCAGTGGCTGAAGAGCCCTTCACTTTTGACATGGAGCTGGATGATCTACCCAAGGAGCGGCTGAAGGAGCTTATCTTCCAAGAGACAGCCCGCTTTCAGCCAGGAGCATCAGATGCCCCCTAACCAGGACAGATGTCCCTGCCTCCTGGGGCATGGTGAGTAGCCCTCGATACCCATGCACAGGCTCATGCTGATGGCAGAGTATCCAGCATACCTCAGTACATCTCAGTTGTATCTCACATGCATGATCCACATGGTGGCAACAGACTCATGACCTTCACAGCTCTTCCAACTGCACTGTCATCCACCCCTTTCTATGTCACTTGTCAGCATCTTGTATCCTCCCACCCCAGCAACCACTGCAGAGGTTACCGAGGGCCTCTCTCCTTACTCTGAGGAAGCAAGCCAGGCTTGAGCTCTAGTGTAGCAGAGATAGGCAAGGCCATTATTTGTTTTGGAAGGAGTCCTGCAGCACCCATCTCATTTAGATGCCAGGCTCCCGCCTAATGCTCAGGTCAGCCATTTATATACCTGAACTCCTGGGACTACCTCCAGCCATGCTCCATTCTTTCCTTCCTCCCACCTCTTCCTCTTTAGTCAGCTGTGACCTGACACAGCAAAGGCAGACATACCTGAGCACAAGATACAAGCTTTGCCACTTGAGCTTCATGATATTGGGCAGGACACCTCACTTCCTTGTGTCTCAGTTTCTGGAGACCATTCTATATGAGAGCAAGCAGTGATAAGAGTACTAAGCAATGTTGCAAGAGGTTTCCGTGCAGTGACTCAGTTAACCCTTATGGTAGTTCCTGTTAGCCCCAATTGCAGATCAGGAATCTGAAGTCATCCTGCCCAGCCATGAGGGTGGTGTGAGAGGCACTGAGGTCTGTGGTGCCCTCTCAGCACACTAATAGTCCTTTCCTGCCTGCTTCTTCCTTCAGGCCCTGGCTCCTGCCTGCCTTTCCCCTCACTGGACTGTTAGAAAGTGGACACTGTGTGCAGCCCCGGCCAAGGCTGAGGGTGGGCCTGGCTCCTTCTCCCACTTTGTTGGGCTCTCCTGCATCAGGCAGGCCGAGGCTCTCTCCTACCCCAACCCTGCCCCGGAGCTTGAGAAGCTCAGGTGGCCCAGAGCAAATCTCTGCTGCTCTGCCTTTATCTTCCCCAGCCGGCCCCATCTCTGGTAGACTTTTCTGGAATGGAAGGGCTCTGGCTGCCCCAGGACCCACCCCGGGGACTCAGTAGTCTGTGTAGTCTCAGGACAAGCCCTGCCCCACTCACCTCATTGAAACCCCACCCTATTTTCTTTGAAGGAACATTACTAAGTCTCAAGGGCTAGTATCCCTGAGGAGCCGGTCCTGGCTGAAATGTGCTGCCGCCGCCCCCTCACCCCCAGCTGCCACATCTAACACCCTCGATGCTTGTGTGTGTGGGTGGACAGAAATGGTGTGAGGGTCCAAGGAGAGCCCAGGGCCCTTGCCCACTTCCCATGCCTGTATCTAATATATAAATATAGAGATATGTATACAGATGACACTGGCTCTGTCTGTGTATGCCGATTCCGACCCTAACATTGGCTTAAGGACTGACCTCTGTAGTCCAGCTGCTTCCCAGCTGTGGCCTCACGTAATCCTGGTGATCTTTAGCTCTAGCTGGACAGCGTTGAGGATGGGGTATAAGGAGCTGTAGCTCCTGGAAGGAATGGGGTCAGTTTTCCCCCCTAGGCACTGTGCCCTTCTTTGATTACTTGTTTGGCTGAGTGGGTGATTCAGGAGTGACTCAAGGGCACCCAGCACCCCCCCTCAGATTCCTTGGAAATGGCATGGGGTGATGTGCTGTGTACCCTGGCCACGGCACCCATGGGAAGGGGAAAGATCCAGTCGGGAGGGATATTTTATTCTCCCTGCCCCAACATACACACTAGTGTGGGGGGTGCTGGGTCTCTGAAATGTTAGGGAATAGGAAGGTCAGGGCTGCCTGCCTTGATTCCTGCCTCTGCCCCCTCTGAGCCCTGCAGCCTGGCCACAGGCCAGCAGCATAGTAGCAGGCTCAGCAAGTCCCAGGGGCGTGGTACCAGCCAGTGGTGGAGCCAGCCTACACCAGCCAGGCCGGCAGCAGCAAGACTGCACAGTCCACTGGCACACTGGGCTTGTGGCACAGGACCCAGGATAGGGAGTGCGGACATGAGCACCCTGCTCTACTATGCCCTGCCTGCCCTGGGCAGCTATGTCATACTCTCCATCTTCTTCCTGCGCCGGCCTCGCCTGCTGCATACACCTTGGACTCCAGTCTTCCGTCCTCGCCTGGCAGCCCACCGGGGAGGTAAGCTGGGCAGAGAAGGAAGGGCCAGGGTGGCAGCTGTTAGGAGTGGAGTGAGGTCAACGTGGGCAGCACTGAGGGGTAGGTCCCAAGGCAGAATGCTAGAAGCAAGGCCAGGACCAAGTAGGAGAGCCAGGCAAGCAGGGAAGGACTAGGAAGGAAAAGCTGTTCTACCTGAATTACCCAAAGATGAGGCCTGGGGCTGGGGATTTAGCTCAGCGGCATAAGCACCTGCCTTGCAAGCAGGCGGTCGTGAGTTCGATCCCCGGTACGGATAAAAGGTTAAAAAGTTAAAAAACAAAAACAAAGATGAGGCCTAAGGCCCAGGAAGAGCCAAGAGGGCGGGTAGGTAATAACAGGAGCATGCCCGACTGCCCCACACAGGGTCTGGAGAGCGACTGGAGAACACCATGGAGGCCATAATGAAGTGAGTGTGCATGCCCTGGCCACATTCCCACATAAGGTTATGCCAGTTGTGCACTGCAGACACCCTGGGGTGCCATTCACTCCCAACCTGGGTGTCTAGAGCGCCTGGAGGTGGGCAGGTAAGTGTGCACATCCAACCATGACTCTGTCCTATAGACTCCCTATCCAGCTCATCTCTGTCCCTAGTGCCCCATTACTGACCTTTATTCCCATAGCTCCATGGCTCAGGGAGCTGAGCTCTTGGAACTAGACTGCCAGCTGACCCGGGATGGCGTGGTAGTGGTGTCACATGACAAGAACCTGTCCCGCCAGTCAGGTCTGAATAAGGACGTGAGCAGCCTGGACTTTGAGGTGGGACCTGTCTACACTCCCTCATGCCCAGAATAGTTATACCTCCCTGAGTGCCTGCTGGTGACACGCTTTGCTTCACTCCCAGGAGCTGCCCTTATACAAGGAAGAGCTGGAGGTTTACTTCTCACCAGGTGAGAGAGGCACCTCGAGCCTGCCCAAGCTAGGGCCCCCCTTTACACTCCCCATCCCACCAATCCCGATGCCCACTTCCCACGGTCCTACTCCCAGGCCACTTTGCCCACGGGTCAGACCGGCACATGGTGCGCCTGGAGGACCTGTTCCAGAGGTTCCCACAGATGCCCATGAGTGTGGAGGTCAAGTCAAACAATGAGGAACTCATTCACAAGGTGACGCTGCAGGCAGGGTGGGCTCAGCTGGGCAGTTAGAAGGCCTGGCTCCCTTACCCTCTCTCTCCTCCTCTTAGATAGCAGACCTGGTAAGGCACTTTGATCGCAGTGAGATCACCATCTGGGCCTCAGAGAAGAGCTCAGTCATGAAGAAGTGCAAGGCCGCTGTGAGTCTCCTTCCTCCAGGCCCCAGAGCCCCTCGTCTTAGGCAGTAGAGCCCAGCCTCACCCAAGGCTCCTAAGCTAGAGCACAGTCTCCGAGGACAGAATTTGGAGAACATTGCCATGGTGCTAGTGATGAGGAGATGTGACTTTGGCCTGTCATCATAGGGCCTCCTGAATGTCCAGCATGTTGCCCTGCAGCCAGGGCCGCCTCCCTTCTTCCCCAAGAGCAGACCCTTCTACTTCTCTCCTTGTCTCCCCAGAACCCAGAGATGCCACTGTCCTTCACAATATCCCGGTCATTGTGGGTGCTGCTGCTGTATTACCTGGGGCTGCTGCCCTTCATCCGCATCCCTGAGAAGTTCTTCTTGTGCTTCCTGCCCACCATCATCAACAGGTACCAACAGGGGCTAGACCTCAGAGAAACAGCCCCGCACATGCCACACTGCTCAGGGCCCACTGTGTAGGAGGAACCACAGTGTCTCAGCTCCTGGACACCCTCAGAGATAACTCCACAATCCTTTAAAGACAGTGCTTCTGTCCAGCATGCACAAACACTAGGAGAGCTGTATTCCCCCTGAAATAATAATAATTATTGAGCTCATTATGTAGCCCACACTGGCCTCAAACTCCTGCCTCAGCCTCCTGAGTCCTGGAATTACAGTCATGTACCACTATGCCTGGCTAAACCCTGAAATTATATGCAAGTATATATTGATGTGTAGTTTTAACAAAAAGGGTTCTTTCATTCCACATTTCACTCAAAACACTGATGGAAGGCCTTCTCTGTTCTAGATGCAGTTGTGATAGTAAATATGACCCATATGGGTAGGTCAGGCACTCCACAAATTTATAGTCTGGATCGATCATTATAGCTGCTCACTGCTCATAAGGAAAAGTTAGCTTCCTTGGACTGGACACAAGGAGAAACAAAGTAGCAGAAGATCAGAGTGTCAGGAATGGGGATACTTCCCTAGCCCTTAACTCCTCTCACACCCAGTGCTTTCTGACAGCTTCTCTGAGGTCCCCAGTGCTTTCAGCCCCCTTCTGTTGTCCCAAGGCAGTTCGTTGTCATCAAAATCTCTAAGAAGTTTGTCATCATTATTCCAAAGGAAGCTCCCAGTGAGCTCCACAATCCTAGCTACAAAGGTTTGTGTGTGGCACTTTCCCCCTCAGTACTGGGGGCTGAACACAGGGAGACGCTACCACTGACCTACGTCCTCAGTCCTTTTTATTTATTTCGAGAGAGGGGCTTACTGAGTTGGCCAGGTGAATCTCAAACTTGTGATCCTGCCTCAAGTGTGTATGTGACATTTTATACAGGATTTGTAAAGTGTTTTCATATCTTTTGGAGTGTTGGACCTTTTAACTTTCAGTGCCTCCAGGAAATATAGAAATCATGACTCCCATAGTATCCATGGAGAGTCAGAGGCACAGGGAGGTTCTGTCATTTGCCCAAGGTCATGCAGCTGAAGTACAGAGCCCAGGTTTGTTCTCAGTCTGACTCCAAAGCCTGCCCTGGAACACTAGAAAATGCATCTAAAGCCGCCCCTAGAGTGGGAAAATTACGGACAAGCAAATAACATATTAAGTACTGTCTGGGCTCAAGAAGCTGGCCAGACCCAGCCAGAATGGCCTCCAGATGGGTTGTCCCGCTTTGGAATCAAGCTGGCCTTTGGCCCTGGCCCCAGCTCTACCTCAGCCCTTGGCCCTGGCCCAGCTCCATGAACCCTGGCAAGTCCTCTCAGCTCTCTTAGACTCAGTTTCCTCATCTGTAAGATGGTGAGAGGAGGGCCGCCCTCACACCATGGATTCCAAGGTATCAGAGTAGATGCCACCAAAGGACAGGAGTTATTCCCTTGGCCAGAGGGCCATTACCACCCTAACCCCCACCTTCGTGACAGAGGAAGACCCACACAGCTGATCCCCACCACCTTCTCTCCACAGGACCTACTTTCCATTTTCCTGCTCTGGTCTGAACCGGCTGGCAGCTGTGGTTACAAAATGGTAAGGTGGGCAGGAAGGATAATGGTGCCCACAGAGACCCGCTGCTGCCCTTCTCCTCTGTTGCTCACTCATCACCTCCCCCTCCTCTGCATCCCAGGGCCATCATGAGGAAAAGTCTGATCCAACATTTGGAGGAGCGAGGGGTGCAGGTAAGGCAAGAAGGACGCTCCCAGCATGGCCTAGCAGCAAGGCCCAGTTGCTCCACCATATTTATAATTGTTGCTCAGTGAAGGCTGGATAAATGTCAGCCGTTCTGAAGATGTGAATACTTTGAGTCCATTGTCCTAGTCCCCATGAAACAGGATACCAGGCCCGGCGGCCCACCCTGCTAAACATTGGCTATACCAGACCATTTAATTAGCAAATGTAGAGAAAGTTCCAGCACTTTCTGGTGTAATGGTGTGATGTCCTCACTATGAAGGGCAGAGGAAGGAGATGAAGCAGGCCATGACTTGCTTGCGTGGCTATGGGGTCTGGGAGAAATGAGGTGGGAACAGCCCAGGAAGGGTGGGAGGAGGGAGCACATCTCAGGCAGGGGCTCTATGGATGAAGAGGCACTGGGAGGGTTTCCAGGCCACAACCTAGAGGAAGCAGCTTAGGCCAAGGCAGGCTGCCCACTGACCTCAGAAGAGAACATGGGCTTCAGCCCACTGTGGAGGGAAGCCTTGAGGGGCTTCAGCAGGAAAGAGCTGGTCCTAGTGAGGTGTGCAGAGTGAGTCATGAAAACCACCATGTGGGGAAGAGGGGATCAGTGCACAAGCTGGGTCTCATTAGGTAGCAATGGGGATGGGGGGAGGGTGAACTCAGGGAGACCAGGACTTGATTATTGACTGGATGTTGGAGTGAGAGAGGCATTAAGATGACAAAGCTCTTTCTGATTAACCATCTCAGGTTGGATCTTCTTAACTTTGTGAGATTGAACCATAACCCCCAGTTGCCAAGCTGAGAAATAGACAGGTGCCTGGAATAAATGATTATCTCTACCTGCCTTTATGCCCACAGAGAAGAGGGCAGAGAAGGCCTAGAGCAGCAGGGACTGGACAGGCTGGGAAGCATGGGTGCTGGGAAATGATCAACAGCCCATTGCCTGGGAGGAAAAGTCAAAGCTGTGGTTTAAGCATTACCTTCCCTGGGTTTTTCGGTACTAGGGATCAAACTCACGACTGCCTGCTTGCAAGGCAGGCGCTTATGCCGCTGAGCTAAATCCCCAGCCCCTTCTTCCCTGGCTTTTACAGTACCATCTTGGTCATTTTCAGGCTACCAATGCGAAGTCACTAAATGCAGAGTTAGAAATACATGTGTAGTAGCACACCATTATATAGTATTCCCATCTAACAGATTCGGCAGCCACAAATAACCTGAAGGTGGGGCTGGGGATTTAGCTCAGTGGCATAAGAACCTGCCCTGAAAGCAAGTGTTGTGAGTTGGATCCCCACTACTGATTAAAAAAAATAATAATAATAATCAGAAGTGTTAAGTTTTGAGTATTTTCCTCTTTAATATTTCTTTAATTATAAGCTTTTTTTAAAAAATCATTGTTATGGGAGGGTTGAGCTGAGCTACATCCCCAGCCTTTTTTTTTTTTTTTTTTTTTTTTGAGACAGGGTCTTAGTCACTATGTTGCCCTAGCTGAGTTTTAACTTGTGACCCTCTTGCCTCAGTCTCCCTGAGTGCTGGGAGTATAGGGCGTAGGCTGCCACACCCAGTTCAATTTAATTTTTAATAATGGCTGTGAAATAACTAGTTTGCAAAATTCCTGAAAAGTTAATAATAGGTTTCAGCATATTGCTACTGGGAGGTCTCCACAGTAAGAAGAGAGTACCCAGCATCTGGGAGTAAGAAGTTCCAGGTAAAGTCATTTGGAAACTATCAAGCCCTTCTCTCCCTGCTCAGGTAATATTTTGGTGCCTTAATGAAGAGTCAGATTTTGAAGTGGCCTTCAACCTGGGAGCTACTGGTGTCATGACTGATTATCCGACAGCCCTGAGGCACTACCTGGATACCCATGAACTAATGACCCAGCCCTCTTAAGTCTGAGACCTTCTCTGTTTTTCTTCCACAAAAATAAATATTTTCTTTTCAGTCACAGTTGTGCTTGGAGTAGGGGATAAGGGTGGATCTTGGAAGACTAATCATGGCAGCTTGGGCAGATGAGGCCAGCCCTGGGGTCAGAACTTGGGCCCAGCCAGCCTGGCCACCTGTTCCACCACATTCCAGACCCAGAGTTACACCACACCCTGTGCCAGCCGTGGGTCCTCAGGAATGTCCCCTGAGAGCCAACCCAGGTGTCCTGGGCTTCAACCTCTTCAGAGCCACAGATGCTTGTTCCAGTCTCCTTTCCCATGTCTTGTCCCATGGGCTGCCCTACGGAGCTGCAGGGGGTGGGCATAACTTCACAGCCATCTGCTCCCTTGCTCTACCAACTTCACACACACACAAACACACACCCCCGGTCTCCTCCAGCCTTGAAACCTTACTTAGGGAATGTGCCCTCTTGCACAAGTATTTATCTAGTGCCTACTCTAGGCCACGTCAGGGGCTCGGACCTCTGCAGTAAACCTGAAAGACTGTGTGGCAGAAACATGTTGAAACAGCATTTTCACCCCCAGACTAATCCCATCCAGGAGAGTAGGGGTATCAAAGAACATTCCCTGGAGGAGGTAATGCTCATCATTAGAAACTGGCTTTTTCCAAGGATGTAGTTCTCAGGAACCTAACAGCAACGAGGCACCTTTACCTCCTCTCTCCTAAGAGGTGAACTAATCGTTCAGGCGCTATGGTAAAGACCATCATGACGTTACTTCTTGCCAGCAAGATAATCTCGGGAGAGATGCTAGGTCTCTGGGGGCCTCATTCTGCTAAAATGGAGACAATAGGAGAAACTGCCTTACAGGATTGCTGCTGGGATAAGAGTGGGGCAGAGGCGATGGATAAAGGCAGATAATTACGACTATCACTTCCAGACTCCATCCTTCTCAACCCCCATCAGGTGTGGACCCTTGCCCCTTAAGCACCGCAGCAAGCCAAAGAGACCAAGAGGCTCGGTTCCCCGAGGTGCTAGGCTGGATCGCGGGCCGCATCCGCATTTCCGGGCCGGAGGAGCAGGCAACAGGGGGATGGGCAGCCCGGCTCTACACCGGCCGCCTTGTGACGCGCCCCCTCATTTGCATGCCCCACGCCGATTGGCCACGGCGGCCGCCGGGACGGGAGGCAGGCTCCCTCCCCCTCCCGCCGCAGCCGCGGCGCAGCTAGTCTCAGTGTAAACAAGTGGAGGCGGCTGCGAACCCGGGCCGGGGAGGGGGGACGGCGCCCACCAGGAGCGCCCCCCACTCCCAGACTAGGCCACCCCGCGGACCAGACCCCCGCGCGCCCAGGCGAGGTGAGGTCCGTGCCGCCACCCCACCAACGAGGACTGCTCCCTTTCCCCAGGCGCCTGCCCCCCCCCACGCCCCAGGTGAGTCCTGGGGTCCCAGGTAAGGCTCTGCGAGGCAGGTAAGATCCCCTCGGCTGAGAAGAGGTCCCAGCACCCGCAGGTAGGAGCACGTCCCCTCCCAAGAGACCCTCCACCTTCAGTGAGGCTTCTTGCCTCCTTCAGATAAGGAACCCTAAGGAACCCTGTCCCCAGGTGAACTCCCTGTATGTACCTCGAAGTAGCTCCACTCACAGTCCAGACGAGGTCTTAAGGACCACCCAATTCCTAAGCCACATGCTTCCTCTAACCTGGGAACTGACAGCCTGTCTACAGTAAAGCCCCTTCCTCCAGCTTCAGATACTAGGTCAGCGGGGGTGAGCCAAGAAGCAGGTGGGTGACTCACCTTGAGCTCCTCCTAGCCTCAGTTTCCCCGCTGATGCAACCTGAGGCCTCATCACTGAGTCAGAACTAAAACTGGTCCCTGGTGAGACTGCTGGCTCTAGGGAAAGGAGAGAGCAGCCAAGTGTGATAGAGTCCTTATGGTGCTGGGTGTGCCTGCATGTGTGTAGCTGGGTCCTGACAGCCCACCTACTTTCTCCCTGGCAGGCACTGGGCTCCCTCTGCTCCCCGTGGGCTGCTCCCCGCGTGGGGCCACTGCCCTTGGCCCCCGCCATGGTTCGGATTTCAAAGCCCAAGACGTTTCAGGCCTACTTGGATGATTGTCACCGAAGGTACAGCTGTGCCCACTGCCGGGCTCACCTGGCCAACCACGACGACCTCATCTCCAAGGTAACTAGGCCACAGTTGAGGATGAAGTAGGAGGCCAGAGGGCTCCCTGGCAGCTCCACATCAGTATTCCTTACCACCCCACCTTCTGTGCTTCCCTACCTTTTAGTCTTTCCAGGGCAGTCAGGGGCGCGCCTACCTCTTCAACTCTGTGTGAGTATTTGTTGTCCCTCATTTCTGTCCTCACCCACTGGTGTGATCTAGCACCATGCTGAGATTCCCAAAGTCCTCTGGCTCAGTCTGGAAGCCACGTTCACGCCTTTCTTGTATGCTCAGGATGGGCACAAGCTTGAGGGGGGTCTGTGATGGCAGGACCTTCCCTGGGACTGCCCCATGTCCCTGCAGGGTAAACGTGGGCTGCGGGCCAGCCGAGGAGCGGGTGCTGCTGACTGGCCTTCATGCTGTTGCCGACATCCACTGCGAGAACTGCAAGACTACTTTGGGCTGGAAATATGTAAGTCAGACCTCTCTGACCTCAGGCTCACCTTTGACCTGACCTCACATCACCTCTCCCTCACACTGGCCACATGGTAACCTTTCAGACTGCATAGGCCCAGCACAGATAAGTCACACTGTCTTCACCTCCAACCAGGTTTTCTTCTCTCAAAGACTTGTAGAGTTTTTCTTTTAACCCCATCCCTTCCCTCAAAGGCACTAGCATCTGTATTTTAGAGATGAAGATACATGTAGAGTCACCATTTAGTGAATACTTACATATCGTACAGCTACTTGTTTGGCATATATTCTTATTCAAGCCTTCCAACAGTCATGTAGGGTAGACTCTGTTACATCTGTTTTGTAGAAAACAGAGAATCTCAGAGATGTTAAGTAACTTGCCCAAGATCACCTAACTGGTAACACAATAGGGACCAGAATCTTAGTTGGCTTGTTTGTTTTTAACTCCAGCCCATTGGCCACCAGCTTGCCAGAAGATCAGAGAAGTTCTAGGACCCTACAGCAACATGGGACTTCGGTCCCACAGGCCTCCTTTTCTGGTTCCCTTTTTGCTATTGCTGCTGTCCAGGATCTAATTTTATTATTCTGAATATCATTTCTTTATCTGACATTGGAGAGTAAAGCCACCACCTGGCTCCCAGGACTGTTGTAGAAATCCATTTAGGTACAACAGTGTTATTCTTGGAAATCTGCAAGGGACAGGATTGGCTGTCATTGCTTGGAGTGCCTCATCTCTTGACATAGATGCCAGAGGCCGATAGCCCTGATCTGAGTTCACCTCTGGCCCTGCCACAGATTTGCTGTGTCTCTGGATAGGTGGTATGGCTTCTCTGAACTACTGTGAAATAAAAGAGGCGGCTTCATGAGGTTGAAAACCTAAGTGCTTGCAAAGCTAAGCAGATACTATGGATTTGTAAAAAGTGACATAAAAGTGATAAGGTAGTGGGGAGAACAGGGCAAGGCAAATAGAAGTGAACCTGCATGCCCATAGTTTAGTATTTTAACTATTTTTTGTTTTGTGGTGTCAGGGTTCAACCCAGGGCCTCATGCATGGTAGCCAATGGGCAACATCCCAATCCCTAAAGGTACTTTTATTAAACTCTCTACTGTCTTAAAAAAAAAAAAAAAAAAAAAAAAACATGTAGAGAGTGAAATGGCCCTTAAGCCACTAATGTGTAATCCGTGGACTATGAAATCTGTTAGGTATTTACATATCCTCTCTGTCGGAACTGTCATTAATGTTTAAAAAGCAAGGATGAGCCAGGTGCGTGCCTGTGAGACAGGAAGATCACAACGATTTAAAAGCCAGGCTGGCCTACATAGTAAGACCTTGTCTCATTAAAAACAAACAACAAGAACAATTAAAAGGTGATTCACAGCTCTGTCCACTCCTTCTTAGTGAGAAGCACAACCCTGGTATTTACCAGATCTGTGTCTGTGGGCAGGTAGTTTGATTTTTCTGGACCAAAGTTTCATCATATGTAAAATGGGGCCAGTCAAATTCTCTCTCCAAGGCTTAGTTAGGCCTTTGAGGTAAAGCTCTTGCAGAGGTGATGGACTCTCCCCTCTTTTCAGGAGCAGGCTTTTGAGAGCAGCCAGAAGTACAAAGAAGGGAAGTACATCATTGAACTCAACCATATGATTAAAGACAACGGCTGGGATTGACTCCTTCGCCCCACGCATGTGGCTCCAGCCTGGCCTGGTCGCCAGGGATGCCACCGGCTTCCTTCTACCTGGAGGGAGCTCTGAACCCTCAGGGCCCCTTGCAGAGGAAGGATCCCGCACCTGTACATATATTTTATTGCATGCATGGTGACCTTGGGGGCAGATCAGAAGGACGACAACCCCTGCACCACCCTGCGATCTGGCTGGCTTGGATCTCATTTTGAACCCTTTCCTGCCCCGCCTGCCCCATGGTATGGCCTTTGTGCTGCTCTCTTGACCCCAGTACACTGTCTGCCTTGTGAACTCTCCTCCCACCCGGCCCTTCTTACCCCACGTGTGTCTGTTCCCTTTGTTCTGTAGCATTTGTACATAATAAAACAATGGAGTGCAGACAGCCCCAGGCTCACGTGGAATCCGGGAAAGGGAAATCCAATGTAAACTACTGCGCTCTACATATAGACCTGTTCCGTTTTGAGCTCAATGGGACATGGGGTAGGCACTGCCATCCAGGTCTCTACTGTCAGTGAAGATGGTGGTGTCCGCACTGGCCCCTAGGCCTTGACCTCGGCTGATTAGCTTGTTGGCTTAGTGCTAGGCTGCCGCCTAGGGACGCCTCTGGGAGTCCATCTCTGGATTAGCCGACTATAACTCCCAACGGCCCTCGCGCGATCTATTGGTCTCCTTTGCGAACCTCGGCGCGAGGCATACTGGGAAATGTAGTTCCTACTATTCAGGGCGCGGGTCCGCTGCAACCCTGTGGGAGAGGACTACTGTTGTGTAGGGCACGCCCTGTAACTTTTGAGACTTGATAGAGAGTGCAAGTTTTTTCAGAATGGGAACCAGGGAGGACGTCAGGATTCAGTCCTCTACTGCAGACTCTTCGAGGTCTCTAGTGTCCTGTGTAATAAGTTCAGACTGGGTTCTTCAAACTCTGCACTTCCCTCCAGTTATCTTTCCTCTAAGCCCAGTTTTCCAAGTGGAGAAGACCCGCCAGAAAGTCTGGAGCGCTAGAGTCGACCCCAGGACCCCAGCCTCCGGCCCAGGGCCTAAACCCCGCCCCCATAGCTTATCCTTAGCCGTGGCACCCCCCGTGGGAACTAGGACCAGCTGGCCGGAAGCGCCAAACTGCGTCTCTGTCCAAGCCCTGGGGATCAATCAAGCCGAGGAGTTAATTATGTAATGAGGGGGCAGGGGGTCGGGGCTAATGAAGTTGCCCAAGGAGGAGGGAGGAGGCTATCCAGGTATCGAGCCCCCTTTCGGATCCCTTCGAGGCCCCAGGGATCTTCACTCCAGTCCACCTTCAGGGCCCCAAAGAGGGGAGGGGCTGTGATCCCGGGTCTGCAAGGGGCTGAGCTGTGAGCTATAAAGAAGCATCTCTCAGTACTTGGGGACTCCAGGCAGCGTGACCTGAGAGGCCAGCAGGACTACAACATGTACCATCCTCGAGAGTTGTACCCATCCCTGGGGACCAGTTACCGTCTGGGGCCCCCCCAGTCTGGAGCTGACTCCAGCTTTCCTACTGCCTTGGCAGAGGGCTATCGCTATCCCGGTGAGCTGTGGGACCAGCTCGTGGCTAAGGGGATTGGGGGGTGTCACTTTGGGCTGCCTCTTCATTCTTCCCACATCTCCAGATCTAGACACCCCCAAACTGGATTGCTACCTCTCTGGGATTGAAACTGTGCCACGCACTCTGGCTGCACCCCCACCTCTGCCCCTTCTGCCCCCCACCCTGGGCACTGAGCCAGCCCTGCCAACTGCAGAGGCCCTTCACTCGCTCCCTGGGGTCATCTTGAGCCTGGAGAACCAAGAGTTGTGGAAGGAGTTCAGCGCTGTGGGGACAGAGATGATCATCACCAAAGCTGGCAGGTGAGGGCTGGCCAAGTCAAAGTTTGCACCAGCATCTCAGGAAAGGCATAGTTCTTGGGATGGGGTAGATATGGGGGTTTCTTTGGGACTAGAGCTGTACCAAAGTCTGGTCACTACTGCCTGAGAAACTGGTGACTCTCTGGATGGAATCAGGAGTCATTCTGTGGCAAGGATCAAGAATTAGTCTGTGGGGCTGGGGATTTAGCTCAGCAGCATAAGCACCTGCCTTGCAAAGCAGGCAGTCATGAGTTCGATCCCCGTACTGTAAAAAGAAAAAAGAAAAAAAAAAAAAAGAGTCTATGGAGTCTGTAACTGGGTTTTGGGGCCAGTCTACCCAAGGTCATAGGTCAGTGGTCAGGAAGTCTAACTGGGGTTATAGATTAGTGGATGGCCTAGATCAGGGGTCAGTCTGTGGCTCGAATCTGGGTTAAAACTGAGTGGGGCCAAGGTTCAGGAAGTGGTCAGCATCAGGGAGATCTGACCAGGATCAAGGGTCAGTGTATGACTTGAATAGAAATCAGTCTAGGTCCAGGCCCATCCTAGCGGTAAGGACATAGTCAGTGTGTGGCCTGTAGCAAGGATTTTATCTATGGTCAGAGCTCAGTCCCATAGCACAACAAATTGTCTGTCCCACTGAAGGCAAGGCCTTTGGTGGGGGGGATTGCTGCAGATTGAACCCATGACTGCTCTACCACTGAATTACATCCCCAGCCATATACATTTATTATTATTAATTATTAAGACAGGGTCTTGCTAAATTGCCCAGATGGGACTTGAACTTGTAGTCCTCTTGCTTCTGCCTTGCAGTACTGGGATTACAGACATCCCAGCTCAGGGCCATTTTTTTCTGAATGAAACTTGTTTAACAGCTGCAAAGATAAAGTGAGGGGGCCAGGATAGGGCACAAGAAGCTCCTAGCAAAATTTTTGGGGGGGAGGGCAAAAAAAAATTTCAGGGAGAAAAGTTAAGTCACTATTGCTTTTGCAAATAGTTCGAGGAGCTCGGAGTCAGGAGCTTGGCTCTGCTCATCATCGGCTGTGACCCCAGTCGGATTCTCTAATCTGCTTGTTCTGTTTCTCCATCTGTGGAGTGGAATGGGAAGCCCTCCCTCTCTAAGCTTCTGCCCTTTGGTTCTAATTCCACCTTCCTGATGTTTCTCTGGCAGAACATGTTGCCAGCTCCCTTGCTGGTGCTGAGCCTCCCTCTGGTCAGTGTCGCTCCAGGCCTCTCCCCTCCCTCCCTGTGCAGACGCATGTTCCCTGCTTGCCGAGTGTCAGTTACTGGCCTGGATCCCGAGGCCCGTTACCTGTTTCTTCTGGACGTGGTGCCAGTGGATGGGGCTCGCTATCGCTGGCAAGGCCGGCGGTGGGAGCCCAGCGGGAAGGCAGAGCCCCGCCTACCCGACCGAGTCTACATTCACCCTGACTCTCCCGCCACGGGCGCCCACTGGATGCGGCAGCCTGTGTCCTTTCATCGTGTCAAGCTCACCAACAGCACACTGGACCCCCATGGCCATGTGAGGCCCAGGCTGGGACCCCAGGAGAGAGGTTGGGGTGGGACTGGGAAGACTAAGGTTGGGGGGCGCCCAGGGCAGGGAATCACCCCACTTCTTCCCTCCCAGCTGATCTTGCACTCCATGCACAAGTACCAGCCCCGCATACACCTGGTGCGGGCTGCCCAGCTCTGCAGCCAGCACTGGGGGGGCATGGCCTCCTTTCGCTTCCCCGAGACCACATTCATCTCCGTGACAGCCTACCAGAACCCACGGGTGAGTGACTGTGCTTGAGGGGGTGGCAGTGCTACCCAGGCCACAGTTGCTTTGACCTGGTGTTCTGCCCCCAGATCACACAACTGAAGATTGCAGCCAATCCCTTTGCTAAAGGCTTCCGGGAGAATGGCAGAAACTGTAAGAGGTGGGCATCTTTCATTCAACTCGTTCACTCAACAGATGTTTACTAATTGGTCCCTGTGTGCCAGCCAATGTGCTGGGCACCAGGAACGTGACAGTCAATGAAAGCATTTATTTACTCATTAACTCAATAAGTGCTTTTTTACTGTTTAGTGCCTGCTGTGTGCCAGGCACCATTCTAGGCACTGGAGATGTGCTGGTGAACAAAGCAAGCAATGCTCAACATGTTCTCATGGAACTGGGGAAAGTAGACAAGTGAACAAGAGAAATAACATATTTAGGAACAAGTTCTAAGTCTAGCAAAGTCCTGAGCTTGATTCCAGTACCGCCACTAATAAATAAATAAATGGAGAAATAAAGAGGTGATGTACACCTGTAATCCCAGCACTTGGAGGCTGAGGCAGGAGGATAGCAAGTCTGAGGCCATCCTGGATTACATAGTGAGTTCAAGGCTAGGCTGAACTACTTAGTGAAACCTTGTCTCAGAAAACAAAACAAAGCAATAACAAAAAAAGAAAAAAAAAAAAAAGGAAGGAGAGGAAGGACTGGGATGCAATATTAGAAAATGACCTAGAAAGGCTTCCTTGAGAAGAGGACATTTGGGAAGGGAAGGAGCCATGTGGGAAATCATGCTAGGTAGTGACACTGCATGTACAAGGGCCCTGAGGCATGAGTTTGTTGAGGGTGCCGCTGCAGTGAGGCAAGTCAGAGAGGTAATGGGAAGCTAGAGTGTGCTGGGCAGCAAAGGCCTACCAAAAACTTGGGCCCCTCAGAACTGTCCCCTGGCTTTGGGGAGCGCACAGTCTGTCAGAGGAAATAGATGTGAACCACAGGATCACTGGTCAAATAGAAAAGTAGGACTGTCATAAATGCCATGAGGTGGGATGTAGGGCACTGCTGGAGGTTGGGAGGTCTTTCTTGAGGGTGTGAGAAGGGTGAGTTAAGAAGGTGTAGAGGTGGAGCTGGGGCTATAGCTCAGTGGCATAGCACCTGCCCGGCAATCACAAGGTTCTGAGTTCAATTCCTGGTACCAAAAAAAAAAAAAAAATTATTCCCTGGAAGTAGGTATAGAGGAGAAAGAAGCTTCTATACAGAGTCAAAAGGCAGCGAATGTGATGGGGTAGAGGGCGATGGGCTTCAGAAGGGTTCAACCGATAGCAAATGTAGTAAGGAAAGCATGGAGAAGTGTAAGTGGGGAATAAATTCCAGACCTGCTGCTTTCTAATTGCTTAATTCTCTAGGCTTTAGTTCCTTCATCTGTAAAATGGGTATAATAGCGACAACTGGGGCCGGGGATATAGCTGAGGGACATAGTGCCTGCCTGGCAAGTATAAGGTCCTCAGTTCAATCCCCAGTACAAGAAACAAAACAAAAACAAAAACACAAAAATAATGACACCTACCTGACAGGGTCCCTGGGAGGGTGAGATGCCTGGCACCTGGTTAAGTACTATTAGTACCACCATCATCACCATTACCATTATCATCATCATCATCACTGCTCTTCCCCAGGGAGCGAGATGCCCGTGTGAAGAGGAAACTTCGGAGCTCAGACACAGTAGCCACAGAGGCCTATGGGAGTGGAGGTAAGTCCCAGCGGTGATGGGGCCAGGCCTGAGACGCTGATCCTCCTTAGGCCAACCTATCTTTTCTCCCCAGATACACCAGGGGGTCCCTGCGACTCCACTCTGGGAGGGGACATTCGTGAGTCAGATCCAGAGCAGGCCCCGGCCCCTCGCGAAGCTGCCCCTGCCCCAGCTCCTCCTTGCAGTGGTCCTAGTGCTGAGGCCTACCTCCTGCACCCTGCAGCTTTCCACGGGGCCCCAGGTCACCTACCAAGCAGGTGAGTGGGGTGGGGGCACAAAGGGGGGCTGCTCCCTGAAAGTAACAGGAGTCCCATTTTGACACGTCTGTTTCTGCTTCAGGAACCCCAGTTTCTCAGAAACTCCAGACTCAGGGCGCCCCGCCGCTTATGCAGCTGCTTTCTTGGAGCTGCAGCCTGGAGCGGGGAGCTCAGGCTACCCAGCTGCTCCACCTGCTGCATCCTTTGCCCCGCATTTCCTGCAGGGGGGTCCCCTCCCCCTGCCATATCCAGGGCCTGGGGGCTACCTGGATGTGGGCTCCAAGCCTCTGTATTGAGCTGTCATTGGGCCACCGTCCCTCCACTTTTTATCACAGACCTGTTCCCTTCCCCCAGCCCTGTAGCCCCCCCATTCCATGGCCCCATCCCCCCACACCAAATGGCTGCCTTAAGCCTGTTCCTTCACACCTTGATTTCACCCCCACCCTCCCCTGGCTTCAAAGCTCAGGCGAGGCAGCTGGGAGTCCAGCTGGGGCCAGCTTCCCCTTCCCAGCTCTCACCTCAGTGTGAATGGCGGGAGGCTCTGCTTGGCCAAATGGGGCCACAGCCCAGCACCTCCTGGGGCCGCCCTCACCACCAGTGCAAGGCACATCGGTTTGTTCTCAGGACTACAGCATTTTTGTTAATAAAACTCAAAAGGCATCAGTGCTCAGGAAATGTCGGGCTCATGGTGTTGATCCTGGGAAGGGGCCGGGGGCAGGGGCAAGGCTTTATAGGAAGATCTAGGATGAATGAGAACTGTCAGCTTCCAGCTGCCTGACCTTGCGCTAGCTATCACCTTCAACCTGGTCTGGGCAGGCTTCTTCAGGAAAAAAGGGATCTGAAAACACCAGGTGTTTTGAGAATGGAGACTGCCCTTGAGAACTGGCCTCCATCCAGTCCTGAGGTCTGTAGGAAGTGGCCAGGCCGGGGCCTCACTGTCCTCACAGGACTGGGCCTGAGGCAGTCCAACTTATCCCACCCAGCTCCCAAGACTCTGACACAAGCCTGAATATCATTTTTCTTCTTTTATTAGAATTTTTTTCCTTTTTTTCTCAAAACTTTTATCTAAAAACAAAAAAAAAAAAAAAAAAAAAAAAGGAAAAAAGAAAACAAAAAATTACTGGAAACTTCATGGGGAGTGCGGAAAAAGGAGAGGAGGAGCATGGTATGAAGGCTCCATTCTCTCCAGAGAAAGTCCTCACCCTTGAAATGCCCTCTGAAGGGAGAGCCAGCTAGGGACAGCCCCTGCATCCCCAGCATCTGAGGAGAGGGCAGAGTCACAGTGGTCCAAGGGCCAGAGAGGTTGGGAGGGGCAGGGGCCGCGGGGTCACAGGAAGTAATCGGCCACAGGTTTCTTGGAGGGGATGCCTCGTGTCTCCTGGGGAGCAGCCTCGAAAATGATGAAGTCTTTCTGGAGATGCTCATCTAACTCCAAGATGGCTGCTACATTTCCACAGCTGGGGGGTAGGGGGGAAGCAGCAGATTTAGGGACAGGTCAGCCGAGATCCCCAGCCCAACCTCCTGGCCCCACTAGCTCACCGGTAGCAGTAGTTGGGTGCTGACCACACAGTGAGCACCGTCTCGTTGAAGTGCCACTTATAACCCTCCATCACTAGTTGGTGGGCACGACAGATCATGTCAATGTCATTGGCTGCATTGAACTGGGCCACCACGTCACTGCCGAATAGGTAGCCAGCCCCTCGGGGGCTCACACCCCAGCCTGTCGTGTCTGAAGCAGATAAAAGCAGAGATGAGGAGAGCAGGACCCAACTGGAATATGCCCCGGGAGATTGCGGGGGACAGGGTGAGGGAGGCCTATCATACACATCAGCAGGATCAGGTGTGGAGAAGACTGTCCTGGTCAAACAGGGGTATGAGGTCAACCTATGCCAGCGATGGGGAACTTTTTAGAGACAAAGGGTCCAACCTACAATCCAAAACCCACTTATTTATTGTAGTGCCAGTGCTGCAATTAAACCTGAATACTGAAGTTTCAGTTTCAGAAACAAAACAAAAATAAAACAAAACTCATATATTAACATCTTTGGCCTTTAAAATAACACATTCATCATAATAGGCTCACTACAACTGCCCTCTGCCATAACGAAGCACTGGAATGGCAGTGATGGTGGGGGCGGTGGGCCCAGACTACTACTCAGAAAATCAGGCCTTAAATCTCAGCTTTGCTCCATACTAGAGGGTAACTCACAGAATAATCCCCAGGTATCATTCTGGGCACCTGACCTCTGAAGTCTACTGGGTTCTGAAGCTCTTCCCCACACAGCGAGCCAGCAGTTTGGTCCCAAGAAGCCCTGGAGCCAGGACCAGCATCCTGCCACTGTCACTTCTGTGCTCTAAAGGATAGCCAGTGTGGACCAGCCCTGCCCTGCTCCTTCCCAAACTGTCAGGGACAGTTAGAACTTTCATCAGTCCTAAATCAGTGTGGCCCTGCCCTACCCCACCTACCCGCTTTTACCTTCAGGGTCGGACCAGAGGAGGTCACACATGGGCCCATCGTGAGGCACCTCTTGCTTTCGGTCAATCGTCCGGATCTGATCCAGGGTCTGGATGGAGGGGGAGAGGCCTCCGTGCACACAGAAGATCTAGAAGAGAGTGCAAGGCCAGACGGAAGGGAGGCAGAGGCCCAGAGCCTCTCCTGTCCCTCCACCCAAGAAGTCCTGTGGCCACCCTACCTTGCCATCAATAATGGCTGACAGGCTGAGGTAGTCAAAGATCTCAGTGCAGTAGCGCCACACAGTCACCGAGCCGTATTTGCGCAGACACTCATCATAAAAGCCATAGACTTGGGTGATCTGGCGGCTTTCATGGTTACCCCGGATGAGGGTGATACGGTCAGGATATCGAACCTGGGGGTCAGTCCACAAGCCAGAGCTGGGGATTGGGCTGCTTCCCCTATTGGCCTCCCACCCACACCCACCCCCTCACATCTGTCAGTCTCACTTGGCTCTTGTAACTGCTGTCCCAGCTCAGCAACCTCCTGCCTGAATCAAGCTGTGCCACTTGCCTTACAGGCTCCCAGTGCCACCATAGGAAATAAACCTTGTTCTCAACCTTTCACTACAAAAGCAACGGTTCCCCTTTCAACTGCCAGACAGAGACCCAAGTCCTCACATTTGTGGCCCTCTCTACCCCCTCTCCAATGCATGTTGCATCCAGCAGAAACCACAGCTGCCCCTTGCTAAATACAGCAAGTCTATTTGTGCCCTCTGGCAGGACTTGCACCACTGGGCTTTTCTTCCTGTCTCTAGGGCAAGGTACTGGTCTCATGTAGCACAGCTTCAAAGTAGGGGTCAGAGGAGGGTGGCCCTCTGTGGCCCAGGAGCAGCCTCCAGAGGCTAGGAGTTCCCACCTTCAACGCCAGCAGCAGGAGAAAGGTTTCCACGCTGTAGAAACCACGATCTACAAAGTCCCCCATGAAGAGGTAGTTGGTCTCAGGGACATCGCCACCCACCTGTGGGAAAGAGAAAGTTCTGCTTGGTCCTCAACAGGCCCCTCCCTACTGCAGCCGCCCTTGTCCCCATCCAGCTGAGACTGTTCTTTCACAAAGGCCCACCCAAATGAGGCCTCCTGCCCACTCCATGCCCACCAAGTGGGTCTCCCAGTCACCTTGGGTCACGTTCACTTCCATGTGCTTCCCCACACTCACTCTGAACAGTTCCTTGAGGTCATAGAATTGTCCATGGATGTCACCACATACCTGGGAAGCCGGAAGGTGGGTTGGCACTTAGTAGACAAAGGCATAGCCTCTCTGTTCTCAGCAGCTAGCTTTCGAGAGCCTCATGGTTCTGGCCGTGCTGCTATGTCTCAGGTTCAGTCTACTTCCCCACTTCAAGTTAGCCTGCTCTGGCATCACCTGCCATTCCACAGAGCCAACTACTCTGGACAAGAGCCAGAATCAAATCTTTCCAGAGATTGACATCTCTCGGGGGCCCTGGCCTCCCTCTCCCTGCTGCCCTCAAAGTATGCAGAACAGTTACAGAAACAGAGCCACCAAGCTTCCCATTTCTTACAGTGTAGATGCAGGAGGCGTCAGAGCTAAGGGGATTTCTGGTTTTCAGGAATGAGATGTGGACAAGTGGAGCCAGTAAGGGGATGCCCACGTGTCTAAAGACCAAGCCAGGCTCTGCCGAGGCGAACAGTACTCACTGTGACTGGCGAGTCCACCCTCTGCACGTTACTCTCTTCTACCAAGATCTCTCTGGAGACAGGAGAAGACCAGGGTCACCACAGCCAGGCCAACCCAGTCCCATTCCTGACCTCTTCTGAGGGTGGGGAGGACATGAGGTGGTCCTTGAACCTCCAGGGGCAGAAGGGAGGTGTGCAATTTCCCTAGGACTGGCTGACGACAGCCCTCTACCACTTGAAACCCTTCCATAGCTCCATGCTGCCAACAGGACAAGGTTCCAGCCCTCCTGGGTAGGCTGTGACTTTTCCAGCCTTAACTCTCCTTGCTGCACCCTCTCGTGTCTCCAGCCCTCACTCTGGAAACATAGCTGTTTCTCTCCACAACATAGCCTGGTGGTCCCTGACTGTTCCTTAGCTGAGCTCTGATATCACTCTGCAATCACAGGATCCTTCTTGCAAAGTGTCCAAAGGCAGGGGTGAAGGGCCTGGGCAGGCCAACCTCAGAGAGAGACATCTTCAAAGAAGGATATGTTGTTCAAATCCTCTCGACATTAACATGTTCTCACTGGCTTGAACCACTGGTGGTACAAAGAGATCTAATCACTTTTATTGGTCTTTTTTTTTTCTAACAAATTAGTACAAGCTACCCAAAGGGACAGTCATGCATGTATCTGTGGATCAAGTCAGTGGGAATGTAACACATTTAAATCAGAGCTGCCTGGCATCAAGATACATGATGTGATATACACTTGTGAACATGTTAAAGACAGTGATGGGCATGTGGCTCAAGGATAGAGGACATGCCTAGAAAGAGTAAAGATTTTACTGTTCTTTTTCCTTGAGGTGCTGCCTGACGCATGTGTGATCAATTTAAGCAGAACTGCATTTCCTACCTTTTGTCCAATAGTGAGCACAACAGTGAATACTAGCACTCAGCCCACATGCTATGAGTGTATTAGGAGCTTTGCACAGGTAAATGAGGCTAAATAGCCACTCTCAAAGGCAGAATTCCAGCGTCCACCAAGGCAGATGAGGAAGCCAAAGCACAGGATGTTACTGGTTTGGCCACAATCGTAAAAGTGGGATTTGAACCAGGATAGCCTGGCTCCATGGTCTGACCCTCTCTTTTGGGGTGGATGGGAAGTCTGACTCTTTATTAAGCTCTTTACATGGAAGAGGACTCCAGGTTCCTCCTAAGCCCACCCTCTTTCGGCTGGTCTCCTCTCTGTAGACTGAGGTCAAGGACCAGGAAGATTCATCTATGTCTCTTGGGGTATTTTCTATGACAAAGGAACACAGGGGAGGTGTGCCTTAGCTTCCTGGAAGAGGAAGAGGCACCAGTGGTAATCCAGAAGGTGACAACAAGTAGGCTCTGCCCCTTGTACCGACCACCCTTCCACAACTACCTATCATGACCTTTCCAACAGAGTAGGAGGGTCTTTTCATTCTTACTGAACACAAAGAAACTGAGGCTTAGAGAAAAGTGGTAGAATCAAGGTCACACAGCTGGAGAGTGGCTGAATGGGGAGTCCACCTTCCTAGGTTTATCCTAGTTCCTTAACCTGAAATTCAGTAAGGCCACATACAGTGCCCTCCTTCTCTGCAAAACTGCACTTCAGTGGAGCCATCTGTGGTTTGCTACCTACTGGTCTTGGTCTCCACTGCTCTTCTCATCCCTCTTGGGAATGCCCTTCTTCACTGGCTCTGGCCCCAACAGCTAACCAAATTATTTTTACCCTTCATTCTCTCAGAAGCCTTTCCTGGCTTTAGCCCCTGCTATCATTGTCCTTTCTACACAGCAATACCATCACCAGCTGGTGACTGTCAAGCACCTACACTGTGCCAAAGCACTAAGCTAATACGTTCACCTCAAGCACCAATTCACTGAATTTTCACAATCCCTTATTAAGCATGATTATCTTCATTTTACAAAAAAAGAAACTGAGTGCCCGACATTAACACAGCAAAGCCTGGAATCAAACCTAGTGTCAACACATCCCAAAGCATGGGACTAGATCATGTCATCATTCTACTTCTGACAGATCTCTGAGTTGGGTCTCTCTCCTCCATACTATGCTTAAGTCAACTCTAGCTTATTTTTTGTGATTTTTCAGGCTCTCACAGCCACACAGATCATGAGTGATCCAACACCACTATCTTGTACCACGGCCTGAAAAAGGTCAGGACATGGAGAAATGGTTTCAGACTTGCTGGTAATCGAACATGTTAAAATGGTAACAAAGCCATCTCCCTTTAAAAATTGTTAGGAGTAAGACAATTTTTAAAAGCACAAAATCTTCGGCTTTTCTCCTTAGACTTTGTTCTTGATGACACTCCTTTCACCACCTCCTGGTTCCTGAAGGTCAAGGAACAAGAAGATTCATCTATGTCTCTCGGGGTATTTTCTCTAACAAAGAACGGTTTTTCAGGGCCTATCCTAGAGTTCAGATCCTCCATAGAGCTTCCCTCCATCCCCGGTGGATTTGTCTCCCTGAGTTCCCTAAGTACTTTCTGTAGTACTCTTATTCCACTGGAAAACATGTAATACTTTTAGGGCGTCTTTATCTACTTTTTGCCCAACAGAATAGTGTTTCCGGGCGGTATTAACCCTATTCTGCTCATCTCCAGGAAAGCTTCCAGGATAGGGCAAGCCCAAAGTTCTCACCTGGGCTTGTCCCAGGCCGGAATCGTGGAAGTGGCCTGGCCTCCCTTCCCCGGGGGTTACCAGGCTCACCTGGCCTTAGCACACAGGGCCTTGACTTCGCTCTCCTTGATGAGTTCGCAGCGCCGCAGCTGCTCAATCTGCCGGTCCAGGTCGCTGATCTCCGCCATGGCCCAGCCCCCCGCGCGGGTCAGAGTTGGGGCCACCGCCCCCTCCGCTCCGCACAGGGGTATCCTAAGAAAGGCGAAGACAAGGCCTCAGGTCAGTGTCCGTGCCGGGCGCAGAGGGGAGACTGGACGCTGGGGCTGGCCTGTTCCCCTTCCCCGACTCCCCTCACACTGGCCTCCAGACCCCCAGCGCCCCACTGCCCTGGTCGCGCTGATCGCTAACTCCCGTCGGCCCTCGCCGCCCCGCGCTAAGGACGGTAGCCTAGAAGGGTCTCAGGCTATTACCGCCGCTGCGACTCCGGCTCGGGCTCTCGGACTGCCTGCCTCCCTCCTTCCCTCTGCTTGGGCCGCCGCCACCGCCACTTCTACTTCCGGCCCCACCGCGGAAGCAGAGGCAGCCCAGTGCCGCCGCGCGCCGGATATGGCGTCATACACACTCGGCCCTCTCCCTCGCCGCGCCCTGAACTCTGCCTCGAGAGGCTGCGAATAGGAGGAACGCGGAAGGGCCGGAAGTGGGAGGTGGGAAGGAGCTGGGGTGGGACGAATCCCTGGATGCTGTGAGGGCTGCTGGAAGTTCAGAACCGACTCCTCTGTTTCAGTTAGGGAAACGAAACGAAGCTGAGCTCGGGTTAGGCTTTGTCACTTCATATTACACATTCTGTGCGTATGCGTGTGTGTGTGTGCGTGCGTATGACTATTATAGGGTTCCTCCCTCGCTACAATCCTGAAGGGTACAACTTTGTCATTCAGTGTTGCAGTTATAGAGACCTGGCTCTGTGGACATTCATAAATAGTTGCTCAATGGATGAAATCCCAGCCCAAATCTCTTTTCACGGCCCCCAGGAAATCTTTGCAAGGGAGGACCTCAGAAGGTAGGAGTGGAAAGAAGCCCACACTTTATCACATCAAGCCTGTGCCTGTCATCCTGACCCCCTTGATTTCAGAATGGTCCCCCTAAAGCCTTTCAGTAGCTTTGTATTGTCTTGAAAGTTTTACTCCGTTATTATGAAGAAACTGGCTCAGAGAGGTGTTTTTGTTTGTTGGTCGGTCTTTTTGAGACAGGTTCTCTCTGTACAGTTCAGGTTGGCCTTGAGCTCATTTTGTAGCCTAGGCTGGTCTTAAACTCACTAGGATCCTCCTGCCTCAGCCTCCTAGGTGCTGGGATTACAGGCATGAGCCACCATGCCCACTCTCAGAGGTTTTTTATTCCTGAATAGCTAAAAATTTGAGAGCTTGAACATGATTATTTCTAATTCTTCCTCTCTTCTTCCTCCATCTCTTGGTCCCCTAGGAGTTTAAGTTTGAAATTTGAAGCAAGAAGCCGGGCGTGGTGGCTCAAGCCTGTAATCCCAGCATTCAGGAGGCTGAGGTGGGAGGATCGTTTCGAGTTCAAGACCAGCCTGGGTTACAAAGTGAGCTCCAGGCCAGCCTGAACTGCATATCGAGACCCCGTCTCAAAAAAAAAGACACACACACACACACACACACACACACACACACACACACACAAAAAAAAAAAAAAAAAAAGAAAGAAAAATTTGAAGCAAGATAGGTGCCTGCTTGGCAAGCACGATTCCAGTACACTCCCTCAAAAAAAAAAAAAAAAAAAAAAAAAGAAGGAAAGCATGTGTTCTTAGTTCTAGTTTTCTCAGTTTCTAGAATTCAGAGTGTCATAAAATTAAGACCAACACTTCCCAAACTGGCATTTGAAGTCCTCTGCTTCCCTAGTCTTGTTGCAGGCAGAACACGCTAATTATCTTTGAAGTCTTTCCAGTCTCTGCCTTTGCACATTATGCTCTTTTGAAATGTCCTTTTTGCCATCTGCTTCTGACCCTAAATTTTTTTTGCTTTACTTCAGATTTTCATTTCCGAGTTGAGTAAGGCTAGGCAGAGAAGCTGGATAATGGAGTACTAGAAATTTTATTTCTCTTCAGTGCTGGGGATGGAATCCAGGACTTTGCTAATACTAGGCCAAAGTTCTACTGGCTACACCTCCTGCCCAGATTTGGTTCTGGCAATAGGTAGTAGACACAATGTGCAGAGATTAAGTTTCTAAACCTCAAATTAAATTCTGTGAATCACTGTGGGGATCCTATCCTGTAGGTCTAAAGAGATTAGAACAGTCAAAGATTTTTTTGTTGAGGGGAGCTCATAATGGAAAGAGGTCATACCAGCAAAGGATGGATAGAGGTGAAGTTATAGAAAACTTGGGAAACAGATCAACCAGTTCCCTAGTTTTGGCTAGAATCTGCAACAGTACCCAGCACAGGATTTGAAAGGGTTCAAGACACAGCTTGTGAGTCCCTCCTGATTTCATGGCATGGAACAGCTAGAGACTGTTTTCTTTGCAGTGCTGGGAACTGAACCTAGGACCTCATGCATGACAGGCAAGCGTAATACACTGTTACATCCCTAGCCCAAAGGCTCACTTAACTTGAACCTTGAGCTCCACAGTTGAGCTTTCTGTACCATCACACAGGGAAGTATAGGGAGCAGCTCCAAGGAGGGGGGGGGTGCTCTTCTGTACCATCACACAGGGAAGTATAGGGAGCAGCTCCAAGGAGGGGGGGGGTGCTCAACCCAAACAGGACAGACTTTTCTAATCCCATCTTTTATTACAATGGAGAAACACGAACCTCCAATAGCTCAATAGTGTAAATTAAGGAGATATGCATTAATATCCTATTCCCAAGAAGGAATACAGTGTTAGGCAAGATAACCTTAATTAGGAGTAATACCATTTACTCCAACAGAATACCTATTATGTTGCAGAGTTTAGGAAAGTTCACTTTTTTTTTTTTTTTTGAGACAGGGTCTTACTGTATAGCGATTGGCTTCAAACTCAGTGATCCTCCTGTCTCAGCTTCCCAAGGCATGTGCCACCTCACCTGATCAGAAAGGTCAATTTTTATAGTGCAGCTGCTTTTGTCATGAGGGCCTTTGGCACTCTTGGGTTTAGGGACTAAAAATGAGGCTGACAGCTAAGCGTGGTAATCCCAATTGCTCGTGAGGCTGAGGCAAAAGGACTGCAGGCTTGAGATCAGCCTCAGTTACATGGCAGTGTCAAGGCCAGTATGGACTACTGAGACTGTTTCAAAAGTGCAGCCAAGGCTGCAGCCTCCTAAGACTTGTGCATTCAGACCTGCATCCCCAGTGATGAATGTCCTCAGATGCAGCTAGTAGACCCTAGACTACAAGAAAACGTTGCTAGTGGTAGTGGTACACACCTGCAATCCTAAGACTTGGAAAGCTGAGGCAGGACCTTGACATTTGAGGTCACTGTGAACTACATAGTGAGAGCCTATTTTGAAAAAAAAAAAAAAAAAAAACAATATATCGCTAGATCTCAAAAACTCTTTCTCAAAGCCCTGGGCAAGTAAGCCCAGACCCTACCAAACCCTTTTACCCATTTCCTGCCAGGTAAGATCAATACAAAACAAGAACTCTTTCTTCTTTTGGGCTCAGCTACTTTCTCAGGCCCACCCCTTCCCTAGATGCCACAAGATACACACATCAGACCCCCTTAAATAGTTGTTTATTGGCAGTGGGATGGAAAGAGTGAGTGCCGGAGCTAGCGCACACAGAAAACACCACACACCGAGGTCACAGGTCACGAGGGAGGCAAGAGTGATCAGAAAGCTTGGAGCCCCATGAGGCCCTTTTCAAGAGTGTTGGTGGTACAGGTGCCTGGAGTGTTGTGGGGGGCAGCCTCAGAACACATCAGCTTAGTAGGCATGGTTAGAGATGAAGAGGGACTCACTGGCTGCAGCCCCAGCCTGACCACTTGGAGTGTACTTTCCTTGACAGGCGAGGCTGTTGGCCTAAGAGGAAGAGGGGCCAGAGTGAGGTTAGAGTCACTTCTTCTCAGCGTCACCCCAACTTCCCCATTCCCTGTCCACATTTTGCCTGTCCTTACCAGGGCTCGCTTGATATATTCCTCCTGAGCAGCCTTGAGGTTCTCCTTCTTCCCACCCCATGCCTTTAGTGCCGAAGCCTGCAAGGCCCGACCGTAGGAGAAGGTCAGGGCCCATGGCTTCAGGAGGGGACACTTGTTGATGGCATTGAGGTTGATGGATGCCTCCTCCTCACTCTGTCCTCCAGACAGGAAGGTAATCCCTGCAGAACAGCAGTAAGACAAGAGAAGGCCTTTAGTTGAGACCTAGGTGTCTGTGAGGAGCCTAAGAAGCTGCCTTTGAAAGCAGATGAGTGAGGCTCCAGGGATGTGGGATCAACTGATCTACCTCTGGGGTGGGAGGCTCACCAGTGACAGCGGGGGGCACTGTGCGGCGCAGTGCTGTGACAGTCGCCATGGCAATCTCCTCATGGGAATACTTATGGGTACAGGCATGACCTGCAGTGACCATGTTGGGCTTCAGCAAGGTGCCTTCCAGGTAGACGTGGTGATCACTTAGAGCCTTGTAGACAGCAGCAAGCACCTAGAGTAAGACAAGGTCAAAATGGGATGGGTGTTGGAAGACAAGGACTGGCCCAGAGCCTGTCCACCCTACCACACTGCCCAGGTAGAAAGACACCCTACCTTCTCAGTCACGTACTGACAGCGCTTCAAGTCATGGTCCCCATCAGGGAGAATCTCAGGCTCCACAATGGGCACAATGCCATTCTGTGTGGGGAGGGGCAGGGTAGTCATTAGATCTCTTCATCTGGAACCCCACAGCCATTATCTTATCTCAAGGATGAGGACTCATGGCTTCAAAGCTCTCAGTGGATTACTGGAGAGAGGCATCTGCTCAGATCCACCCACACAATTCCCGCAGTGTCCTCTCTAGACAGGCCTGGTGGTCAGTGGGTGTAGGAAAGGTAGATTCTGGGCAAATGGATGGCAAGTGAGCCCACACTGGAACCAACAGAAGTGGGAAGTGGCCTAAGAGGGATCTGCAGCCCCACCTGCTGGCAGATGCTGGCATAACGGGCCAGAACGTTGGCATTTTCCATGATGGCAAGGGCTGAGGGGGTGTGTTCTCCAATCTTCAGCACACAGCGCCACTTGGCAAAGTCAGCTCCATCCTTCTTGTACTGGGCACAGCGCTCAGACAATCCATCCAGTCCTAAAAAGAAAACAAACGACAGTGTGGGAGAGGGCATGAGGCTCTAATCTCTCTTGCACTCAAGGGAGCACCACCAGGGGTAGGTCAGGATGAGGGGGAAGAACCCAACAGTTCTCACCTTGGGTGGTGGTCTCGCCATTTGTTCCCGCCAGGGGCACCACGCCCTTGTCTACCTATTGGGGTGGATAAAGACAATGATCTCTATCACCCTTTCCTTCTCTAGACCTCTTCTCTTTCCCTAGCTTCATGTAACCTTTCATGGTCTACAAATATACATATATTTTTGAGAGAGGATCTCACTATGTAGCTCAGGTTGGCCTTTAACTCCCATGTCCACCTGCAAATTCTGAACTCCTTTCTGGTCTTTTTCCTTTTCTAAAGTTTTTAATTTTGGGGGGTTATAATTAGGGATTTTGAGACAGACCTCTAAATTGCTAAATTGGGCTGAAGATACAGCTCAGTGGTGCAGTACCTGCCTGGCAGTTGTGAAGTCCTGAGTTCAAGTCCCAGTACTTACCCCTCACATACACTCAAAGAAAATTGCTAAGTTGCTCAGGCTGGACTCAAATGTTTTTGATTCTTTTGCCTAGCCTCCCAGAGTGCTGGGATTACAAGGTATGCACCCTCATCTGGTTTTCCATTTGTTAAATGGAAAGATTTCCTGCCCTTAGAATTTGTATGGTTATTTTAAAAATGCTGACCAGGGGTATCCTTTAGGAATGAAGCATCTGCCTGATATGCACACACCCCTGGTTTCAATCCCAGCACCAGAAAAAGTGCCAAGTATTGATACCATAAATCAAGCTGACTCCACCCAAGTCTCTAGACCTCCAACCCACTGTTCAACCCCTGGCCTATTAACCTAGAATTCTCTTCCCCAGATCCATCTCCAATCTCACATCTCCAGGTCTTGCCCTCTCACCTTGATGCCCACGACACCACCCTTGGATTTGATGACTTGGGGGAAAGGACGTCCATCATCAGCCTTCTGGTAGAGCGTCTCATGGAAGAGGATGACACCCCCAATGCAGGGATTCACACGGTCATCAGCAGTCAACAGCAGCTGGCGGTAGAAACGCCGGTTCTCTTCGGTGTTCTCAGTGCCAATAGACTGCAGCCGCTTGGCAATGCTTCCTGGAGGCGAGCATAGGGGGAGAATAAGGGGATCAAGCCTGCCACTCCCAGCCCTACGCCCTCCTCCCATGCTCTTCTGCCTGCACCGCACCAGTGGACTCATCTGCAGCCAGGATGCCCTTGCCCGGAGCCACAATGCGGTGGGCAATGTCAGATAGCTCTTTTTTCTGCTCCGGAGTCAGTGCAGGATATTGGTGGGGCATGGTGGTGGCAAGTTCCTGGGTGAGGAAATGGATGAGAGCAGAGTGGTTAGCTGGGCCTCATGATGGTCTCCCAGTGAACAAGGCCCCTTGCATGGAGGTCAGGGCAAATATTCCCTACCTCCCCTGCCCCTCACCCGGCAGGTCCCTGGGCTCTTCCTATACCCAGCTCTCCCTATACCCAATTTCCCTATGCTAGGCCTGCCTCCTCCTGTACCTTTCCTAACTCTGTCTGCTGCTGGGTGTTGCCCAGCTGAGGGTGGGGTTGCCTACTGGCAACTGAGGGAAGGGAAAAAGCCAAAGCCAGAGACAGACGGGTCATGTTGAAGCTGAACCCTTCTGGCCTGCGCGTTGCCATGGGGTCACTTTGCCTAGAAACAAAACCGAACCGGAGTATTTTAGAATTTAAAGATTACAAATAGGGTAGAGGGCCCAATATCCTTACTCAAAAGGGCCCAGAGAAAAGCCTGTATTTAGAACCAAACCCAGTAACCAGATCTGTGATTAGAACCCAGATCTGACTACACCACTGGGATGTCCCTTCCAATTTACCCAGGATCCCAAGGCTAGCTCTGCCTCCAAGGACACCCCAAGGTCGGGCTTCTCCCGCCCAGGGTGGGGGAAGAGCATTAGGAAAAGGGGACTGGGGAAAGATAGGAGCAACCAAAATCCCCGTAAAGGGCAGTACGACAAAAACCTAACCCAGGTGCAGGGAAGGGTGAGGTCTGATTTCCCCCAGTTCACACCAGGAAAAGGGATTTGGAGGACAGGCAAATACCCCACCCCTTCTCTGAAAAAAACAAAACAACAACAACAACAAAAAACGTTCCAGGTTCAGAATCAAGGTCACAAAATAGGGAAAGACTCGGAAAGTGTTAATTGGTCATCAGGCGCCGCACAGAGGTTTCTCCTCCTAGCCACAGGCGTTCGTCTCCGGGGGCTGACCCCCCCTTGCCACCAGGGGAACCTTGGGGTAGTATGCGAGCTGGCCTGTGCCCCTCGCTGCCTCTTGGGATCTCTGCAGAGGCAAAGGACCCCTAATACTTCGCACTTGGGGGTCGGTACAAAACGTGGGGGAGGGGGATGGTCCTCCATCTCACCCTGCTTCCTCCCCCGCCATGACTCAGCGTGGAGTGGCCGCGTTGCGCAGCAGACCCGGGTAGGCGGGCTGCAGAGGTAGAGAGGCGGGAAGTCGGGACCAGGGGCTGGGGGCTGGGTGGGCAGGCCGCGACCGGACAGGACAGAGCGGGGTTGGGGGTTCCGCACGGACGCCAGACTCGCCGCGGTCCCCCAGACCCTCCTCAGCGCCGGGCCCTCACACGTGGCGCAGCAGGAGCTCTCACCTGACGCAGCAGGGGGTGGGTAGCGTGGAGCGGCAGTGGAGGGCGGCGGGCCGGCGAGCGGACCGAGGACGAACTCGACCGTCGTCACTGGCAGCCCGTGCTCTACGCGTTCCAAGAGGAACGCTGGCTATTCAGCTCGAGGGAGGCGGTGCACGGGGCGGGTAGGAGGCGGAGGGCCCGGCCTTTTAAAGGCACCGCTCCGCCCTCCCAAGTTTTTCCCTTTGCCGGGCAAAGGCGTCCAATTGCAAGCGAGGCCGCCCCAAGATGCAAAATTAGGAGGCGGCGCTTGGGGAGAGGGGGAACCCTGGCGTCTAGAACCGGATCCCTGTGCTGATCTCTCCCCCCACCCCTCCACCCCCGCCCCTCGGACGTGACTCAAGCCACATCCCGCGGGTTGCGGCGGCCCTCCGCCTTCCTAGCGCGTTCTCAACCCAACACCCGCCAGGCGCACTCTGGAGTGCCGTGACTCAGCCGGAATTTTGGCATCGCAGAAACTGGAGATGGAGCGATGTGGGGGAAAAGGGTGGAAGAGCCAGAGAGGTGAAAGCCAGCTTTCCCCTCCCGGGCCGGCCGCGCCTCCAGCAGCCCAACCTTCCGGCCTACGCGGCTGCAGCGAATCGCGCTAACCGAACCCGCGTGGCCGGGCGTCGGCCTACTTCGCCATGGGTTGGGCTGCACGGGGCGAGGAGCCGACCCCCGGACCTAGCCCGAACACAAGGGAGGAGAGGAAAGGGAATGAAAAACGCACAAGGAGCGGCCAGGGCTCAAGTGGTTCGCACGCCTTCCCTGGGGGTGCACAGCCCCGCCCCGCAGGTCCCTCCCCACCCACAGCGGCAGAAGGGCGGGGGCCGGCTCGGAAGGGGAAGCCAGCCGGGCCTCGAAGTCTGCGCGCTCTCGGTTCTCGACCCGCAGTCACTCGCCGCCAGCGGAAACCAGACTGCGGAAATTGGCCGGCTAGGGAAGGTGGGGCCACAGTCCCTGCTAAACGTCTTCCCTGGACCTGATTTCTCCAAAATAACATCCTTTCCCGAGCGGAACCGCCTCCCGGGTACTTTTCGGGCCTCCCATTCAGTCTGGCCAGCTCTTCCCCCCTCAACTGGACCCTTGGCACAGCCCATTCCGCGCGCACGGCGAGTGGCCCACCTGCGGCGAGGCTGAAGGAGCGGCAGAGCGTGGTCGGCGGCGAGTGAGCCCGGCGCGCAGGGACTGGGTTATAAGGCGGCTCCCGCCCTCCCCCGCACCAGCGGTCCCGACCTTCTCGGTAACCCTTGCCCTTTCCCCGCCACGGATCCCCCAGCAGAGAACTATATTTAGGGAAACATGAAGCCCCTGACATTCATGCCAGCGATGGCCCGCGTGGGGGAAGGAGAAAGAAGGCTGGAGTCTCTGGGGAGGAGGGCCCCCCTGCTCACTCACCGAGGCTTATGAAAAAATTTCTTCCTTGAGAATCCAGATTGAGGCTCCTGGTTGTCAAGAGAAACAAATCCTTGAGCAGGGATCTGTAGGAAGGGAAAGAAATACAGAGTTGTAAGGGGTGGCCCTTCCTGCCTCCTCTGCTTCCCTCCTCCCTTTACTGGCTGGGATTTTTTTTTTTTTTTTTTTTTTTGCCTTTTTCATTTTTATTGGTACCAGGGACCAAACTCACGACCGCCTGCTTGCAAGGCAGATGCTTATGCCACTGAGCTAAATCCCCAGCCCCCCTGGCCGGGATTTTTGGAGGGAAAGCAAATAGAGCCGGACACTCACCTTCTAAAATAACCAAGAATCCATGCAGGGTGCGGCTGGGCACCCTTAAATCCTGATGCTCAAGGCTAGCTGAGTTCCTTGATGCAGGCTGTGATGAGCAGTGTTCCCCACCCTCACCTTCAAATAGTCTGCTTGGGAAAGTAAACAAGGCAGGGGCCCCTGCTGGAGCCCTAGCCCCTGTCCTTTCCAGCCTTCCAAATGAGCTACAGTCCAGCTGGCCAGGGGGTCTTGAGTCTTGCCCTGTAGGGAGCCAGGTGCTCCAATGCTGGTGAGCTGGGCCTGCCATTTGTGGTTCCCATGGGCTGGAGAGAGGTGTCCTGAGAGCCCTTAGGCTAGGGGGCACGTGGGCCCTGGGGGCTGGCCGCTCCCCAAAGGGCAGGGCCCTAGGGTCCTCATCGGAGCTTGATCTCAAAGCAGAGACAGTTGAGGCTCTGGCAGTCAGGAAGTTGGCACGCACAGGCACAGTCACAGAGCGGGCAGCATCGTGGACATCGCGGGGCCCAATCCTGAGGGAGAGGAGAGAGGGTGAGCAAGGTGGGAACAGAGCTCTAGTGTTTCCCTGGAAGGGGAGAAGGGAACAGAAGGGTTCAGGAGTCCCATGCAAATAGAACAGGAGGCACCATCCACCATTGCTGAGAACCAAGCAACTGCAGTTGAGTTGCTGAGCAATCAGCTGTGAGACAACATTATGAACAACTGAGTCCAGGAGCTTTAGCCACTTGATTCCAAGGTTCTGTCTCTCCTCCCTACACATACTGAGCAGCTGGTCCCTGCTAGAATGTGGGCCCAGTATCCACCTCAAGGAAGGTTCTACACCCTCATGGTTTATGTGACTGGAAGGCAGTGGACACATTTTTCTGTCCATTGTGAAAGTAATTTATGGGTTTTATGCGTTTCTTCTTTGCATGACATCAAACTGTACGATGTCGTTCCATTTTGACTACTGACTCTGGGCAAGGCACAGATCACATTCATGAATAGTTAAAAAACCTTATTATTTTCTTTGAAAGTGGAAATTCCCATACTCAAAAAGAGTTAACTCAAACAGGCATGGTGGCACCACATACCTGTAATCCCAGCACTAGGGAGGCTGAGGCAGGAGGATTATTACAAGTACCAGACCAGCCTGGGCCACAAAGTGAGCTTAAGGCCAACCTGAACTGTATAGTGAGACCCTATCACAAAGTGAAAAAAAAAAAAAAAGAGTTGAATTTTATTCATTATTGGAACTGTGATAGTTGGCCTCTTTACCTAAAAAAAAAAAAAAAAAAAAAAAAAGGAAATGGAGTGCCTTGTCCAAAAGAATATAACTCTCAAGTGGTGCTGGCTGGTTTTCCCCCAGGCTAGGATCCGTCTGCCCCAGTGTTTCCCAGGGCTAGCTGGGACTGCAAGGGCAGGGACCATTGGTCTCATGTTCTCCACTGACCTGATGCGGGGACTCATGGCAGCAGGTGTGTGGGATACCTACGAATGCTGAATGAATAGATGAATGTGGGCATATTATTTTCTAGTTTTTGGACCTCTTGGCTCTGTGGAAACAAAGTCTGTCTCTTTGAAAAAGGGAACATCATGTCCTTAAAGCAATGAGGAAGAGCTGCCCCTCCAACCCACTGCTCTTCTGCCCTGAGACAGGGATGATCTGCAACTGCCCCAGGCGTGGACTGGAGCCAGGCCAAGAGGCTGGACGGAAGACACGCCCAGGATGGCTGGGTGACAGAAGACTGGCTCCTTGAGGCCAGAAGTAGAGCTAGTGACAGTCACAGTTGCACAGCTCAGAAACCTGGCCAAGCCAAGAATAGGGAAATGACCTTTTCAACAGCTGAGGTTTCGGGGTGCAGTGTCAGATGACTGGTGGGATCAGCTGTCACTAGGGGCTCCAGCAAGGGGCAGGGATTTGCCAGCTGCAGGGAAAGGGGTCTGATTTGGGCTATGCTACTGCCAACAGGGAGAAGACTGCAAGGGTCAGGATAGAAGGGCGAGAAAAATGGGGGTGGGCAGTGATTTTCTTGTATTTGAAGAGGGTATGGTTTAGGGTATGCTTAACAAGTTGCAATCTGGGGATGAGGTGGGCTTTGTGAGCTTTGGAGGCTCTGATACCCTTACCTCAGAAAAGGGTATTAAAAGTATTTCTTGGCTGTGTCCATGGACGGGTTTATATGCAGTCATTAGTAACTGGCAAATGGACATCTTGACTCACAAGTAGCCATGTGGTCTCTGGAAGGAATCTGCTGTTTAAGTACATTAAACAAGGGCTCCACGAGATGGTTAACCCTTGCATTTCTTGGGCTCTTTAGTGTCTTTTTCCCTTTGAAAGTTTTCTCTTTGCCTTTGTGAGAGGCTGGCATCGTTTTTACTGGTAAGCTCAGGTCTCAAGTCAGTAAGGCCTGGGTTTGAATCTCAGCTTGGTTAATTCATGTTCTGAGCCTCAGTTTCCTCATCTCTGGAACAAACATAACAACTTTTGGCACACAGTCATTGTGGCGAGTTAGTGGGAAGAGCAAAGAGTGATGCCTGATACTCAGTAAGCACTTGGTAAAAGTTATTACAGTTCAAAATCAACTTAGCAGTAGTTCTTATGTTCATCAGAGTTGTGTGAAAACCTGTTAGAAAGCCACAAACTATAGTTCCATCCTAGACTTTGAGTGAGGGGCCTAAGGGTCAGGCTTTCTTTTTAAATCCCCTATCTGCTTCTGATCACACATAGGACTGCGAATCAACCAACTATATCACATCTTTCTCACACTTTAATTGCCTGTTTATCTCTGTCCATCACTAGAATATGAGCCGTGAGAAGGCTGCTATCTTGTCTGTCTCTGTCTGAATTTAGCTGAGCCTCTAGGGTCCAGCACAGAGCCTCAATAGTAACTGGGTAAATACAGTGTATGGGTGAATATTTAAATGAGTGAAGGGATTAGACCTCTTACAGTGTCCCACTAAGAGCCCCAGAGCATGAAGACTCCTCCCTCAGAAAGAAAAAGAACCCTAGGTTTGTGGTCCAGCTGGCATAGCTGCGTGACCTCAGGCAAGTCACTCAAGTCTCTATGAGCCTCAGTCTCCTCAAGTGTAAAACAGGCAAGAGCTTTGTAACCTTTGTGCTTGTTATTGCTACTATAAGGAAACCACAGAACAGAAGGACTTCAGTGTACTTCGAGAAAAGTCAGATCAAGGTCAGGATGGCCCTGCTGTATCCCGGCCATTCTACATCCCTCCGTGACTCCAGCAGGAGCCCAAGGGACTCAGCTTGGAAGGCCTGGGATTCCAAGACCCAGGCTGGCTGGTGGGAAAGCCAGTCCCTCCTTCCAGCATACCTCACCCCATCCTCGCTCTGAGGGAAAAGATGGCCTCCTGTCTGTTTACTTCACATGGACGACAGAAAAGGGGTGGTGTTTCCAGGACAAGGAGCCATAATTTCATGATTGATCACTTGTATAAGACAGGAATTTTTAGAACCTAAGGGCTTCTCCTTTTCTCTCTTTGTTCTCTCAACCTCTCCCAACCCTAGGACTCCTCTAGCTACTAGAGGACTGCTCCAGAAGCAGAAGAAAACTCCTTGCTCTACAATTTATTTTGAAACTCCAAACAATTGCCAGGCCTCTGTACTAAGCATGGTAGTCCAAGGTATGAATTGGCTGGCGCTTGGGCTTTTGCCCTGCCCCCTTCTTCCTGAGGAAGGACATTACTCCAAGAGCAGGAGCTTTGCTGTCTAAACTCTGTGCCCAAAATAGCCATTGTCCAGGAAGGTGGTCGATCGTGCTGAGCATCATTAAACCCGCAAATGCACCGGTGGCCTGTCTCCTGTGTGTCAGACTTCTTCCCCGGGGGTTCTGCTGCCACTAACACTATAGAGCAATCTGCTGTGCCAGGTTCTACTGGGTAACACTGGAGACACCACCACACTCCCCTTAGCTGGTTATTTCCCTTTAGAAGAGACACATATTATTTGTCTGTATGATCAGGCATGGACAGGTATCCATGGTGTGATGTTAAGTTTAAAGGGCAAGCAGCAGTTGTGATGCACCAGTCAACGTGGCCTGACCGCGTGTTTGCCAAATAATAATAGTGCACAGCGTCTGACTGGCCTGTATATTGGTGTGTGAGGGACATACACTAATGTCTGAGGAACAACTTTGGGTTGGAGAGCTGGTTTATAAAGAAGTTTCTACTGAGCTTGGGGATTTAACTCAGTGGCATAAGTGCCTGCCTTGCAAGCACGCAGTCGTAGTTGTGAGTTCATCCCCGGTACCCATTAAAAAAAAAAAAGAAAGAAATTTGTACTTTCTTTGTCTTCTATGTACATTCTGTGTCTTTCTGTGTCTTCTGGTACATTGTATACAGTACTTGGTGTAATCAGAAAAAAAATTTTTTTAAATACTCAGCTTGCATAATTAGTATGTATCAATTCAAAATTAACACTAAGAGCTGGGGATTTAGCTCAGTGACATAAATGCCTATCTGGCAAGGGTGAGGTCATGAGTTTGATCTCTGGTACCAAAAAAAACAAAAAAAAAAAAAAAATTAACATTAAAAAATACCCAGCTCTCAAGGATTTTTGACAAAATAATAATGGCAATAAAGTGGCACTGTTCTTTGGAACATGATACGTCCTCTGAAACATACTTCCTCAGTGAACAGAAGGTGCTCTGTCAAGTTTTTTCATCTCACTATCATTTTTAATTTTTTTTTTTTTTTTTAAGCCGGGGATTGAACTCACAACCTTGTGCTTGCCAAGCAGGCAAGCACTTATGGCACTGAGCTAAATCCCGGCTATCACTTTTAAAAGTTCTGATTATGTACCAAGCACGTTACACTTATCACTTTTCCTCAGCTGTTGCCTTACTTTCTTCAAGTAACTTTCTTGAGCAGAAATGATCTGAAATGCTGTTTATGTTGTCTTTGGCTGCCTCTATATGCCTTGGTACCTGAAACCATGCCTGACCTGGAGCTGGTGCTCAGTAATAAATACAGATGAATAAAGAAAGTAAAGACACAGATGGAACCTAGATCAGGACTCTGGAAGGAAAGAGTAAGAATGGAACTCACAGCTTCACTGGGCTGAGGGCAGCAAGCATCCAGGTAGCCAGCTGGGTTGGGCAGAGGAAAATCGCAGGCTTCTGCACAGGTCCAGCAACAGTCCTGGGGCTCTGAGGTGTCTTGCTTCCTGCAGGGGGAACTGAAGTCTGTGCAGCAGCCCTGGGCCTAAGAGATGGCAGGGCTCAGGATCTGGGCCAGGCAGCAGATAGGCACAGCTGAGACTTGCTTTCAGGGGAGGGGTAGGAGAAGGGTTGAATGGGGAGGGGGGAGGGGGGAGGGACCTACTGGTCCCACAAAAAGGGTGGATGCAAGAACTAATCTGTAAGGGCATCTCAGGGTAAAAGCCTGCAGATGAGAGGTCAGTCCATCTGGTTTCCCTTCCCCAGAGCCCACCCTTTATCACCCATCAAGCCCCTCACCAGCAGGCAGTGCCTAGTCAGCAGCACTAGGCCCAGCAGCAACAAGTAGATGCCCACAGTGATGAAGACGATGGCAGGGATGGGGAGCAGCAGGGAAGGGCTGCTGACAGGAGCCGGGGTTGGATTCCACAGGTTAGAGGAGGCCTGGATGAGTACAGGAGGAAGGGGAGACAAGGGGCAGGGCTGCAGAAACACAGGAATACCAAGGACACAGAGGTGGCAGGTGGGGTGAGGGAACCACCAGATGGTGGAGACTCAGTAGGATGACACTCTGACTCTTCATCTTATCCCCCAAACCCGTCATCCCCATTTTATTGCCTTCAAGTGCTTTTTGGTCGTTTATAATCTTCTGAGATTTATTGCTCTTTTTCAGAATGCTTCTCCAAACAGTCTCTCGCTACCAATCTTCTGCCCACATTACTGGCTGGTCTTCAAACTTGCAACCTTGCCTCTTTCCACAACAGCTCTCCAGTGAACCCCTCTCTTCTTTACCATCCACCAGTGGCCCCCAGTGATTGACAGGAAAACATTTCAGTGACAAAGCCCCCAGTCTAGCCCTGCCTACCCCTCCTCTCTCCTCTCTACCTTCCAGCCACAAGGAAGTCCTGCAATTCACAGATGCGCTGTCCTCTTACTCTCAGACTCTGTCTGTGCCATTTGCTCTGTCGAATTCCTGGACTACCAGATTACTTGGTAAATTCCTGAACATGCAGGAATAGTGGAAACCTGCCCCCGCCCGCGAAGTCCATCTCTGGCATTGTTTCGCATAGCTCTTGTAAACTGGGAGAATCTAAGCTGGGTAAAAAGCCCCCTCCCCAGTCGGGGCTCGAAAGCAGGCAAAGTGGACTCACGTCCATGGGGCAGGGCAGGGCCAGCCAGTCCAGGAGCTGCAGGGGAGAGAAGGTCTTCGGCTCAGAGGCTGAGAAGGGCCGCTAGGCTGGGGTACCCAGTCTCCTCCCATTTTTCGTATAGAGAAACTAAGGCCCAGAAATGGCTTCTGATTCCCAAAGGGGGAGGAGAGATTTAAGGGCGGCGCCTTTTTCACAGCCCCAGCCCGGCCCTGACCACGCTCTGCCGCTGCCCCCAAACCTGGGCGCCCTCCATCCAGCGATCCCGTCACCTGCGCCCTCCCAGCTGCCAGCAATTCGGAGATACCGCGCTGCGCAGGGTCCAAACCGCCAAGGAGCCAACACCGCCCAGAATCTTGGCGCTCCTTCGCGTTGTTGCCATGGGAACCAGAGTGTTGTGCCTACGGTGGCCGCGGAGACCCAAACTCCTTCTTCCCGCCTCTTTTCTCCCGCCCGATCTTTTGTGCCCAGGAATTTTTAATCTCGGCCATCTCAGCCTTTCCGCTGCGAAAGAACAGGAGTAGCGAATCCTAATCACCATCCCTACTAGGTCGGATCTTTTACAGATGCCGGATTTAAGAGAAGTCACCTGGAGCTGGCGGCTGCAAAAGGATGTCTGAATTCCCAGGACAGAGCACCAATTTGCCGTGACCTCGCCCAAGTAGCTGAGCCTCACTGAGTTCATTTCCTCGTGGGGTCTCAACCGGACATTGACAAAATGAAGACTACTTGTTAATTGTATGGAATTATCAATATTTTCCAACTGGACCCCCCTTCTCTAATTTTACTCCTTTTTTTCCAGCCTTGTTAAAGTGACTTCCTAACGCCCACATCAGATAATGTTCCTTCTCTACTTTAAACTCTCAAAAGGCTTCCCACTGACTCAGGATAAAGCGAAATACTTTAGCAGACTGTCAACACCGGCCACCCTATGGCCCTGAATCAAGGCCGGCAGCCTCCTGATGCTGCTGGTTTCAAGCAGGAGCCTAAAGAGATGTCTTTCTGGGACCCGCGCCTTGCTGGGACCTGGAGCAGTGGAAAACTAAGCAACCCATCTCCCCCTGCCTGTTTTGTTTTGTTGAACTTCAATATGCATGAAAGTATGGACAGCTGTTTTGAAGAGAACAAGAGACTCTAGGACAGCCATTAGTGACTTCCCTATTGTCTGGTTTTGAAGACCTAAAATGCCTTCCTCATTCTGTTCGGATCAGTTTTGATCTTTTTTGTACCAGGGATCAAACTTCGGATCAGTTTGATATTATGTTGTTTGTATGAATTCTCTGTATGCGAAGACATGGACAACTATTTGAAAGAAAAAAAGAGACTATGATAGATATTGAAGATCTCAGGTCGTCTAGCTTTGAAATCTATATCTCTTACATTCCTTTCTTATGTCCTATTTTGTTCTGCTTTGTTGGGTTTAATTTTACCTCCTTTAAAATAAAGATATAAATTAAAAAAAAAAAACAAAAAAACACCGGTCACGCTGAGTCCCACCCACCTCCTAGAACACGCGACCCCTCTCTTCTCCTTGACATCTCTTCTTTATCCCTGAAGCTTGAGCTCAGAAATGCTTCAGTGGGCTCTTACTGCCAACCTCAGGCAAGGTGGCTGTGAGTTCCCACGATCCCAGATAGATGTTGTGCTTCAAGCACAATCAGAAAGTATCAAACTTCTCTACTGCTGTGTCTTGCTCCCCAATTAGACTGCAAGTGCTGGGATCTGGTCTCATTTCTCTGTAGACCAAGCTCTAGTCCTTGGCCTAGCCTTGGGAAGCCAGGTAAACAATATTCACTGATTCTATGACTGGAATCTGGCTGTCTTTGTAAATAAAGACTTGGTGCTGTCATATCCAGGTGTCCCTATTTCCCTACCTCCTCCCTGCCCGGACTGTAGGCATGTAGGCAAGTGTCTCAGTTACTTTTCTTTCATTGCTGGGTCAAAATACCTGACACCCAAAATGAAGGAAGGAAAGCTTACTGTTTGTGGAGGTTTCAGTCCCTGACTCCAAGGCAGTGGCATGGGTCAGCAGCCAACAAAAGCAGCGAAAGCGAAAGGTGGGAAAAAGCAAACCTCTTTTCCTCCCTTGTATTGTACACAGGTCACCCCCCAGCCTCAACTCCAGGGTGGGTGTAGCACTCACAAAATCATGCCCTCCTCCTGAACAGGCTGAAGATATTTACAAAGTAAGGATCCTGGCACCCTGCTGAATCTCTTAGTCAAATTTCTAAACTTCTCAAGTTGACACAGTGTATCACCCATAACAGCAAGTGCTCTGCCACTGAACTACATCTCTATCCCTTTTTGTTTTGTTTTGTGTTGTTTGACACAGGTTCTTGCTGTATGATCCAGCCTGCCCTTGATCTCACCATGTACCCAGGCTTTGCCCTGAGCTCCTGACAATCCTGCCTCAACCTCTTGAATAGCTGGCGGCTGGGATTACAGGTGTGTGCCAACATGCTCTGCATTCTCTAAGCTTTTGAGGCCTTCTTTCATTACTAATTCGTTTGGTTCTGCATACAACATGCACACTTACACAAGCACAGAAGCTTCAAATTCCCTATGATAGGCCAGGGATTTAGCTTAGTGGTGTAAGTGCCTGCCTGGCAAGCACAAGGTTGTGAGTTCAATCCCTGGTACAAAAAAAAAAAAAAAAATTCCCTATGATACTATTGCATCTGCTTTTCCCCCTGAACACAGTGCCCCATATACCTACTTTTGTTCTCCACCTGGTATTTCACTCCACAAGTGCCTTCCCAGATCTTCCCATTGACACAAGGCTGCCACAGGAATTTCCAGGGTTCCGAGTCCTCAATCCCTTTTCCACCTCAGTCACTCTGAGATTGGCCCAATCACTCTGCCACCTCTAGTCCTCTCAGTGGAGATTGTGAGCTTAGAAAACACAAGTCTAGCTGTCCCCAGTACCACTGTTTTTGATTGATTGTAAGGCAAGGTTAGATTGCCTTCTGGGGCCCGTCTTCTTGCCTAATGGAGACCTGAGGACCAGGATGAGTCCCATAGCCAGCACAGCCCTAGGAAATGCCTCGAGTGACACACATTCCCATCCTCTCTTCAGCCCTGCCAACAGACAGACGTCAGCCTTGGCAAGGGCTCTGGACAGATCCGAGGTCTGCAGTGGTCAGGCTGCTGATGGTGTTCTGTTCCTACCATTGGCTCCTACATTATGCAAGAGAGTAGACAGCACCCCAGGCCAGCCTGTTGTCAAGCAAGGCAATACAGGGGGATGTCTGTGCCCTCCTGTGCCAAGACCCTGCTTCTGTCCAAATGATGCCATTTCCCAACTGCCTTTACAGGAGCCAGCGCTGACTTTACAAAAGCTAAATAACTTAAGACTCCTTCTCCCCAAAGTTCAAAGCTGGAGATGGCAGATATCATCACAGGTAGTTTTGCACTGCCCCCACCTTGGAAAAGAAGAAAAAGATTCCACAGTCCTGAGAACTGTGTGGTGAGTGAGAGGTGGGAGAGAACGAGAAGCCCCAGAGATGAAAGAAACCTGGGCATGCTTGGGCATGAGAAGGGTACCTGGCAGCTCTGATTTGATCTGATATTTTCAGCCCACTCCTCTGACCATCAGACAATACTGTCTCCTGGAGATTAAGAAAAGATTCACCAGACTCCTTATTATAATAATGGAAGGCCAGGGTTTTGGTAATTACCCTGAGGGACTAAGGAAGCTATGCTGAGCTGAGCTGGCGTCAATAAAGGTCCTTTCACAGAACTGCTCTTATTTAATCCTCACAGTGGAGCTGTTGGCAGAGACTCTTTTCCATTTTATAGGTGGGAAGGCATTAGATGCAGTTAAAACACACACACACACACACACACACACACACACTTTAGAACTAGGCAAGATCTGATTTGAGCTCTAGATCTGCTGCTGTGTGCCTGTAGGACCTTGGGCAAGCCAAATGATCCTACCAAGCCTGAGTCTTTCTCATCTGGGGAAGCAGAATTGTTGTGCTGGTTAGAGAAAGTGCTGGTGAGATACGTAGTATAGAACAAGAACTCCAATGAAGGTATAACAGGCTGGGGGTGTGCTCAGTGGTTGACAAGCACACACAAGGCCCTGGATTCCTTCCCCAGCACTGCAAAAATAACAAAATGAATGGTTGCTATAGAAACTGTTTTAAATGTTGCATTTAATTATCCTATGACCCTTTAGGGGTTCTGCTATTGACCCCATTTATAGATGAGAAGCTAAAGGCACAGGTGAGTTCAACTCTTGCACAAGGATTTCTGACTCGTGAATGACAGAACCAGTATTCAAGGCCAGGCAACAGGACTTTGTGTATATATGGCAGAGACTCAGAGAGGTTCTGAAATTGGCCATGATCACACAGCGAGGCTATGGGAGAAAAAGGGCTTGGTTGATTTGTTGCCTGTCTCCATCTCATCTGTTGGACCCCTTAGCTCTTCGGGTGGACAGATAAAGGATGAGACTGGAATTGCTTCGTGAGTACCTAACCTAGGACAAGTACAGTACAAACAAGACTGCTAAATAATAAATGCCCTGGCACCCTGGCAGGATTCTCTCCGGAGCACGGGTAGGGGCAATCGAACCTTTCTCACGGTATCATATGGGGAACAGGCCACTTCTGGCTGCTTATTGTTTACTTATTCAAGGCTGCGATGATATCACTTGTGAGCCTGCAGAGCTGAGCACCAGGTACAGAGGATGAGCACAACAGCATTCAAAAGCAGGACCTGGAGTGACAGGACTCGGTAAACTAGGCGCAGGGCAGGTCTGTGGGGACGGGGCGGGGTGGGGTGGGAGGGGACTCACCTAGAGGGCCAGGCTGAGGAGAGCACTGCGCCTCCACACACTGCCCCTCATCTGCAGTGGCCCAAAAGTTTCTGGCTGCTCTCCCAGGCCAGATCAGGCTCCCTCCCTGCACAAGCGTGGCAGGACTCTTCTTGGACAGTGAGGCAGGGTGCAGAGTGTGACATTCGTCGTCTTTAGATCACTTGTTTAGTGCATCAATTCAGGAGAATCGTGGGCGCATGCGCAGGCACACCTGCTGGTCTCTTTCCAATTCTTTCAACACTTCTGATGGCTCCTGGAGAAAGCCCTTGCTGCTGCCAGAAAGCCTCTCAACACCTTTCTATCTGTGCGTATCTTATCTTTGCTTTTTAATGGAGATCAGACCGCCAACTACGAGTATGCAGCAGGGGATACTATCTAACTAGAATATTTTAACATATCTGTTCACTTTATATCTATTCTTGTTACTTGTCTGTTTATAAGTGATAGTGCCTGTCTATTTTTCCATATAGTTACAAGGTTAAAAACAGGCATTTTGAGCTGGGCATAGTGTTGCACACCTGTAATCCCAGCACTGGGGAGGCTGAGGCAAGAGTGAATTTAAGGGCCAGCCTGGGCAATCTGTTGAGATGATGCCTCAAAATACAAAACAGAGACTCTGAAACTCAGGCTTCTGAGTTCAAAGCTCAGCTGTGCTGCTAACTACAAGTTCTGTGACCTTGGGAAAGTCACACAACCTCTCTGTGCCTCAATTCCCTCATCTGTACAGGGAAAGTAATAGTGGGCAGTAATTAATTTATGTAAAAGGCCTAGACTGGTGCCTGCAGCTAATAAATGTCATATAAATATTTGCTGTTACTAGGTCAAATAGGGCCAAGACCAAACCAAAATTCTTTCCTGCAGTTTGGGGAACACTTCTTTAGATCAGTTTTTTTGTTTTTTTTTTTTTTTTTTTGTCTTTTTCCTTTTTATCGATACCAGGGATCGAACTCACGACTGCCTGCTTGCAAGGCAGGCGCTTATGCCGCTGAGCTAAGTCCCCAGCCCCTAGATCAGTTTCATGAGGCTGAACTAGGATCTTGGTAAGTTTCTAGATGCCCAGTCTAATTATTGGCCATTTCAATAATCAATTCAATCTCTCAGCCTTCACTTATTCAACTGCAAAATGAATCTAATATGATCTCATTGTATGCTGAGGCAGTGTGATAAGGGCGGTTCAAAATATTAGTGTAGCTGTGTGGTCTCTTGTGTGTGTTTTGTTTGTTTTGGCAGGGTCCCACTATGCAGTCCAGGCTGGCTTTGAATTTACAGCAATCCTCCTGCCTCAGCCTCCCAAGTGCTAAGATGATCTTTTGTGTTCTGAATGGGGGTAATATTGCTCCCAAAGGAGCAAGTGTGGTGGCATACTCCTGTAATTTTATCATTTGGGAAGCTGAGACAGGAAGCCTGCAGACCATGGGCATACACACACAAAGAAGTTCTGGGGTGATGCAAACCATCTTTCTCTTTTTTTTTTTATTTTTTATTTTTTTCATCTTTGTCTTTTTAATGTATGAATCAGAGATATACATTAAGAGATACACAGTATATCTGCTGTTAAAATCATTAAAGTTATTGGGCTGGGGATTTAGCTCAGTGGCATAAGCACCTGCCTGGCAAGTGTGAGGTCGTGAGTTTGATCCCAGGTACCAAAAAAAAAAAAGTTCTTAAAATTTGCTGATGGAAAGTGATTAGGAAAAATTTGCAAAGACTCCTTAGAGGAGCAATCAAGAAAGGCAAAGCTGAGAAACACTGCTGCACAGAAGGTCTTCCTACTTGCATCATTGCCTCCTAGTGTGTTGTGAAATAATGACCAGCGTCAGCTTGGGGAGTGCGCACAGAATGCAATCCAGGCAGCCGCCAGCACCGTGACAGCATCACTGCACTGGGGTCTAGCACATGCTTACATGCTCCAGGGCCTGGGTTCAATCCCCAGCTCCAAAACCGAAAGTTTGCTCTCAGTTCAGTGCATGTGTTCCAGGGCGCACTGATGCTGAAATACAAGGTATCTGTGTGCGTCGCTGCAAGCACAGTGGAGAACCAGCGGCTGAAAGCACTGCTTTCCCCTCTCACCCTTTATTTCTCAAACAAGCCCATGCATCATTGGATTTTTGGCTTGAAATAAGAACTGATGATGAAAGAAATGCAGGTGAGAGTTCAGAATCCACTGAAAATTAGGCCTGACTTGACCCAGCACATGGTCTGGAAGCCTTTTCCCCACCTTTCCCCCTCATTCCAGGTGAACCCCATATTCAGAGGAGCAGGAGCCTCAGCAGCCTCAGAGGTCCGCTGCCCCTGTCCCTCCTCTCTGCCCCCACCTTTCTTCCCATGTGGGAGCTGAGGCCGAGTGCTGACGCTGAGATTGAGTACCCAATCTACAGCAAGTTATTTACCTCAGAGTCTCAGATTTTTCAGTAGTAAAATGAGAGAATTGTTTATAGGGTTGTAGGGCCCATCCAATAATAAAATGTCTACTCTGTACCTCCTGTGCCGTGTGATGGCACTGGCTGCTGAGGGCTGTGGGAAATAGGTTACAAGCTTCACAGTGAAACCATGCAGAGCAGGGTACACTCTTGAGACAGGCTGCCTGGTTGCAAAGGTCAGACAAGATTCACTGAGTTTCCCAGACTGCCCAGGATGGTTTCACGCTGATGATCCTCCTGTCTCAGGCACCTGGGTAACTGAAATTAGGAATAAGAGTCTTTCCACCATGCCTGGCTTAACTTGATGGCTTTTTGAATTTTTATCTTTTTAGACAATGACAGTCTCATTAAGTTACGAATTTGCCCAGAGTGGGCTCAAACTTGCAATTCTCCTGCTTCCCCAAATCCTGGGATTACAGGGATGCACCACTGTGCCACCTTGGTTTTTATTTCATTTGTTATTATCATTGTTGTTATTGTTTCTTTTGTTTTGGTACTGGGATTGAAACTTGGGGCTCGAATATGCTAGGCAAATACTCTATCACTAGGCTACATCCTTGGCCCTTTCCCTTTTTTAGGGGGATGGAGTAGGGTGGGGAACTACACGTGTGGAACACCAGGCCAGCTGTATCTTTGATTTTGCAAGGAATCAGATTTTGAAAGTCCATATGTTCCCACCTGCAAATTGCCAACCTCAAATACCCTGTACTGCGCTTTTTTTTTTGTTTTTGTTTTTGTTTTGGTCATTTTGAGACAGTTAAAGCAGTTAGGGCTAGACTTGAATTCACTTTGTAGCCCAGTAGCCCAGACTGTCTTTGAACGCGGAGCAATATAGTCCTACCTCAGCCTTCTGAGTGCTGAATTACAAGTGTGCCCCACCACGTCTGATTTTTCGTTTGTTTTTTCTCTCTCTCTGTCTTTCTCTAACTCTCTGTCTCTGTCTCTCTCTCTCTCTCTTTCTCTTTTTGGTAACGGAGATCGAACTCATGACCCCTTGCTTGCCAGGCAGGTGGTTGTGACCCTGAGCTAAATCCCTGTCCTGGTTGTTGCTGTTTGTTTTTTGTTTTGTTGGGACAGGTTCTTATATCATTCAGTCTGACCTTGAACTCACTATGTAGCTCAGGGTGGCCTCGAAGTGCTGGGATCATAAGATTATGCTACCACGCTGGGCTTTATACTGCCTTTTAAAGCAATTACTAGTTAGGCTGTTCGTATTTTCCTTAGTAACCTTCTTTTCCTTCTTTCAGCTCCACCCTTGAAATGCAACCATAAGTCGCCAACAAATTCTAACTGGCCAATTCTCTGATAGTTGTCAAAATGCCCCACCCTTTCTCCAGCGGTAACAAATGATAGGGCACTTGTGTCAAGAAGCTGGCCAATGAGAGGATGGCATAGTCCAACCAGACAACCAATAGGTGAGTGGTAGGCTTGTCTCTCCAACTGCCTCAGCGGTGGGAACAGCCTCGTGCCCTTGCAGTTTGACGCCTTCCTGTTGTATTCCTGAGGTTCCTTTCAAAGCCACTAAAGGGGTACAGGATGGCAGGGCCTGGTTCCCTCCATCTTGTCTGGGCCTTCCCTATCCCTCTCTCTCCTGGAGTGACTGGGAGGTTTTTCCAGGCAGTGATACGATATATGTAAATATATGTGGTTTCAAGGTTTTCTTTTCCTTTTTTTTTTTTTAATTTTATGGCATAATAATTTTGCCTTTTGGGGGAAAAACATGCTATTTTAAAGCTTTAATATTTTTGACAAGTTGAACACCTACTTCTTTCCTTCTCTGAGTTGTGGGCACTGCCCTCCCAGCCTATCCCTGAGAGGTGAGGCTCAGAGGTCTGCACAGCTGGGAGGTGGGGGCACCTGGGGAGTCCGCATGTGCAGAGGAGGCACGGCTGGGTGAGGGGGGCTGGTTAGATGTAAGCTGGATGGGGAGGTACAGGTCAACTTTAGAAGTACAGGAAAATGAGTGGAAGTCAGAATTTGGTTTAAAACAGAACAAGTCAAATAAAACCCAGGATGTACAACTGCCCTAGAAGACAGATATTAAAAGTGCAATAAGGTAGCCAGATGTGGTGGTGCACAGGTGTAATCCAACCACTTGGTAGACTGAGGCTGGGCTGCATAGTGAGTTCAAGACCAGCCTTCACTACATAGTGAGATCCTGTATCAAAATAAACAACAATACAAGGGCAATAAGAATGCAAAAGAGATTAGAGGAATGCCTGGTGCTTGCAATGGATGTAGACAAGTGGACCTCATCAGGCCCTGAGTCTTTAGGGTGAAGGGGGAAGGGGTCCTGGAGAATGCAGACGTGAGGTGCTTTCATGGCTGTTTTTTTACTCTCTCTACTCCAGGCAGGCATGACCCTGCCATTTGTACTAGGTTGCATCTTCTTCCCAGTGTGCTTTGCTGTATTCCGTTGGGGCCTGCAGAACCACGCCAGTCTGCAGATGGAGAGACAAGAGGCAGTTTTGGTGGCATCCAAGTAAGAAGACAAGGGTGAGGGCTGATGGAATTGGTGTTATCTGAAAGATATATATAACCAGGAATTGAACTCAGGACCTCACACCTGCCAGGCAGGCACTGTGCCACTGAGCTATATCCCTTGCCCGTGATGGTGTTATCATTAACTATTACTTCTAGTTCCTGGAAGAGTTAGTGAACCTGACTGAAGGTGTTGGGTGGATGGAGCTGGAGCTGAGTCAGGAGATACCTAGCAGAAATGGGAGTGCACACCTGTAATCACAGCTACTAAAGAGGCTGAGGCAGGAGGATTAAAAATTTGAGACCAGGCTGGGCAGTTTAATGAGACTCTGTCTTCAAATAAAAAAGTAAGAAAGAACTGGGATGTAGTTCAGTGGTAGAACACCCCTGGGCTTTATCTCTAGTACTAGAAAAGGAGAGCCATGGAGTCTTGATTTAATCTCTGAGCTTCAGATTCCTCATTTGGAAGTAGACTTAATGACAGCACTTGCTTTCTTCTCTTCATGGAGATGTTATGAGAGTCATGGGAATTAATGGCTCTAAAGAAAGGGCTTCACATTTCCGCAAACAACACAAAGAGTTCAGGCCCTTTGGGTAGGGTCATGAGCTATAGGAGTCACGGGTGTTTAATGGGGCAGCAACTGCTCAGCTCCAACAAGACCTCCCAGAGAATGCAAGCTCTGTGTTGTCTGTTCGGATTCTCTTTCTCTCTCTCTCTCCTTTTTTTTTTTTTTTTTTTTTTTTTTTTTTTTTAGCAGCCGTGGGCATCAAACCTAGGACCTTGTACATGCTAGGCAGGTACTATGCCACTGAACTACATCCCCAGATCTACTTCTGATTCTTTCTAAAAAGAAGTTGTACTTTCATGTGAAACTTACCAACTTTTGAACATTAAACCATCACTCAGAATTTCATGAAATCCTATGCCAACCAGGTGTGGTGGTTAGCACCTGTAATCCTTGTATTTGGGAACCTGAGGCAGGGGGATCTCAAGTTCAAGGCTAGGCTGGGCTACATAATGAGTTCAAGGACAGCCGGGATTACATAGAAAGAACCCATTTCAAAAAGCTATAAACAGTGCCCATTTTGGCAGCAAATGTACTAAAACTGAAATAATACAGAGAAGGTTCACAAGGCCCCTGAGGAAGGATGGCATGTGGTTTTGTGAAATGCTTCTATATATTGAAAAAACAAACTAGAACTTGGGATTTAGCTCAGTGGTATAAGCACCTGACCGGTGAGCACGAGGTCATGAATTCAATCTCCGGTCCCAAAAAACCAAACCAACTAGCTGGGTGAGTAGGGGCAGAGCGCTTGCCTAGCACATGCAAGGCCCTACATTCAATTCACAGTTTGAGAGGAGAGAGAGAGAGGCCACACTGATTAAGGAATCCTGGGCTGGGAGCTGGCTGGGCCCTCAGACTGTGTTTATGGCCTACTGGACAAAGCTGAACAGAAACATCAGCTCTGATGAACTACAGGTAGACGAGGAAGTACACAGAAAGTAGAATTTACTAGAGTGTCTCCGTGAATTTCTAGCACACAAAACAGTGAAAACCCGTCTTTATCCCCTCTTGTCTTCATCATCCAGGGCAAAACCAGGGTTCCTTGACCAGATCTGTCCCACCAATCCTATGCTTCCTCCTCTCAGCTCAGTAGCTATTGCATTTTTCTCATTGTTGGCTTCAAAGTTTGAAATCCAGCCTTACTGACTTTCCTAATCATGTTATCTTGGCATATCATCTTTTTCTATTTATTTTTTCATTTTTACAGTTCAGTTCCCTAAGAATTGAGGCCAGGGCCTATGCAATAAGCTATGTCCCCAGCTCTGGCCTCAAACTTGGGATCCCCTTGGCTCAGCCTCTCAAGTAACTGAGGTTACAGATGTGTGTTACCAGGTCTGGCTCAATTTTTTGAAGTTTTATTGTTTTGTTTTGTTTTTAGGTTTCTGAACCAAAGTTTTTTTTTCAGTAAAACAAGGATATTATCACTTGGGAAGATTAAATAAGAATCAACAGGGGGTAAGGGTAGTTCAGTGTTAGATTGCAGGCCTAGCTAGTGGTAGATTGCAGACCTAGTGAGGTCCTGGGTTCAATCCCCAGCAAAATACACACACACACACACACACACACACACACACACACACTTACAGAGGGAGGATTAGCAATATAAACCACCTCTCACTGTGCCCTTAAAATAGTAAAACTCAGGAAGTTGGGCCCCCTTTGCTTGAGTGAAACCAGGTCTACAGTGGTCTCTTAACTCCTGTCTAAAGTGAGTTTTTTGGGTCTTTCCCTGAATCTACCACTAGAGGGCAGCACAAAACTGCAAATCTCAGCCCCTTGCCTCTTGGGGGAGGAGAAAGAGAGGGGATTCTGAAAGGCTGGTTGTAGAGTTGGTTGTTGGGGTTTATCTCAGGACAAACCTGAAGACTAGAGCAGTTTGAGGAGCAGGTTCCATGTCATGAAGAATAAGCCCCCATAGGGGTAGCTGGGTTCAGGACAGAAAGGCAGGCTTCCCTCGAAGCTGGGGTAAAGGAGAAACAAATCTGGGTATGGTGGTACAGGCCTGCAACCCCAGGAGGCTGAGCCTAGGCACTCACAGAGATACTGTGAAAGAAAAGAGAGATAGGAGGGAAACGAAGGAAGGAAGAAAAGGCTGGGAAGATAGGTCAGGGATGGTGTTGCCTGGCATGGATGCCCTTGGTTCAGTTTGCAGCACAGAGCAGGGCAGCGCCACCCTGGACTGGGGCACTGACCACAGCATGACCGCGGCCAGGTCACTGGGGCTCTCTCCCTGTGGCTGAATGAGGGGATGAGCCCAGCCAGTCCCCAAAGTCCTTTCCCGCTCTGTGAAGTGGCAGAGGCATGATACAGGGGAGAACAACGCGTGACAAGTGACTAAGGGATGGGGTCCCTTGGGCTCTGGGAAGGTTTTCTTCAAGGTCCTCAGGTGTCCTCGCCCTTTCCAGACCTTTATCACTATCCTGACACCAGGCTGTAACCCTGGGGACCCTCCATCAGTGCTGCCAGAAGCCTGGCATTGTTACAGGCCACACAGGACCCTGGGGCCGCCCTGCAGGGGCCAGGGCACCCCGAGGCTGCCCTCCCTGTGCCGGGATGCGGGACTCTCTGAGTCTGCAGAGTACTGGCTCTGTCTCTTCCCTTCTGTCCATTCCTTCAGCGCTTCCTGGGAAAGATGCTTTACTCTGCCCATTCTCCCTGGGGAGCCCTCTTCCCTGGGGTGGAGCCCCAAGTTGAGATTCTCTCAAACCACTGAGGAACATACACTGGTGCCGAGAGCAGCAACCAGGAGGGACTGCCAGGCGCGTGCACAGTGCTGGTGGTAAGGGAAGGACTGAGGGTCAGGGACCCCTCCCAGCTGGCCCAGGAAAAGAGCCATCTCTCTCCTGCCCCTGGTTCCTAGCAGGCCCCTACGCCGCAGCTGCTGTCTCTTTAAGGGCCTCCCCCTTCCTCTTTCTCCGCTCCCCCCATCTCTGTCGCAGCCACCGCTGTGGCTCAGAGCTGCATGGGAGACGCCGCCGCTGCAGGTCCGGTTTCTCGGTGGTGTCTGGTCGGTGCCATCATCACCCCCTCCCGCCCTCCCCAAGCGGGTGGCTTCCCCTCCCCCTCCCCCTCTCCACGGGGGGGCAGGGGGCTGGGCACCAAGTCTCTAATGCCATGTGCCACGGCGGTGCCGGGCAGCGAGCGGCGGCAGCGGTGGCGGGAGAAGGGTGCTGACTGCTGACCACTTGCCCAGCGCCCTTTGGCGGCCTCCCCCAGGGCTGGCACCACCACGTTTCCCCCAGCACCCCGCCTCCTCGGGCCCTCCCCGCCTCCCCACGTAAGCCCCCCCACCTGCCGCGCTCTCCCTCCCCTCCCCCCTCCTGTCCCCTCTGCTACCGGTCCTCTCACCAAGTCCTCCCGGTCGCCTCGCTTTCCACCCTCTCATCGCTTTCTGCCTCCCTGCTCTGTCCAGCCAGCCCCTCTCCAAGTCCCTTCTCTGTGCCCTGTCCGGCTGCCTGTCCCATCCCCGCCCTGTCCCCTTTGTGCCCCTTCCTCCCTCTCTCTCTCCTTCCCGGCTCGGTGTCTCTTCTCCACCGCTACTTCCCTCCAGTCTGGCCTCCCTGCAGCCCCTTGGCCCGGCGGTGTCCCCGTCCGAGTCCCGAGCCACCATGCTGACCCCAATGGTGGCTGGGGGGGTAGTGTTCCCCGGACTCTTCCTCCTCTCCAAGAACGCGCTCCAGCGGCTGCCCCAGCTGCGCTGGGAGGAGGCTGACGCGGTCATTGTCTCAGCCAGGTAACCGGCCGCCCTTCCCTGCGCTCAGCCCCTCTCCCTCTCAGGCTGTGTGGGAAGGAAGGGGCCCCAGTACTTCCCTGGCCGCGGGGTACAGGGAGCCTCACAGGATTGGGTCGTGGGCTCTCCCCCGGGCCTTACTCTCCTTCCAGGGAGACCTCAGCCAAACCCAGCCATCTGGTCTACTAGTGTTCAGTCTGCTTATCTGTCCTTCCTCCCGCCCTCCAACACAACCAGCATGTGACTAAAACATCCCTATAAAAAAGATATCAGGGAACCAGGCAGGGGAGAGGGCCATGGTTAGTCAGGACTAGTGGCTGGGGAACGGGACACAGCGGGTACAGGGTGGGGGGACTCTATTCAACCCTGGAATAGGGGCCAGCATTGGCATAGGAGCTTGGTGGCAACGTGGGAAAGTGGCCAGGGAGTTCAGAGTCACTGCGGGGCAGGGGCCAGAGTGCTGGAGGCATAGTGGCTGGGTCCCCTGGTACAGAGGCAGCACAGTGCTCCCTGCCCTCCTGGTCTTGCGCCCTCCATCCCTCCCCAGGGAGAGGCTCACCCTCAGCCACACATTCTCAGCACTGAAACCTCAGGATGACCTCTCGGATGTCCTCCTGAGAGGGGACCACTCAGTGTCCACAATGGAGGGAAGGATGAAGGCTGCAAGGAACAGAGTACTCTGAAGCATAGCAGCCGAGCAAGCCTAGGACGCGGAGGTGGGGTGGTGGGGAAATCCCAGGCAAGCCTGGCCTTGGTGGAGGCTGGGCAGGGATGGCCCAGAGGAAGAATTGACCCCACAGCCCAGCGACCAGGCCAGAGAAGAAGAGAGACCAAAGTGCGCATCTCCTCCCTTCCACTATTCCTCCCTCTGTCTCCCCAGGCTGGTGTCCTCTGTCCAGGCCATCATGGCCTCCACTGCTGGCTACATCGTCTCCACCTCCTGCAAGCACATCATTGATGACCAGTAAGTGCTATGTGGCCACCTCTGCACCAGTCCCAGAAGTCTGCCCTGTACGCATCCCTGGCACGCTCCAGGTCTCTAGAACTGTCAGTGGTCCCCAGGTCCTTCACTTGGGTCTGGGCAAGTTCACTTAAATCACTGCAACTCAACACCCCAGGATAAATTTATCCTGTCCTGTCCTCAAAGGTCAGAGCCAAGGGAGCAGAAATGGGGATCAAAGAGAGTCTTCCAAGCAGTTTCTGGTTGGCTTCTGGGCCTCTTGTAGTGCAGTGGGCTCTGAATGTCATTTCCTCCCCGTGCTCCTTCCCCTCCGACACCTCTCAGACCCCATTTCCAGCCTGCGCCCAACTCCAGGCACCCCCTCCCTCATTCCTTCCACCGTCTATGTGTCTGGCCCCAGCCCTGTGACCCCGGGGGAGGTGAGGAGAGAGATGACCCAAGCCGGGCCACGAAGGGTCAGGGAGTGGGGGAGGGGAGAGAGGGTGAAGAGGGCAGAATCTGGCACTGGCAGCCGCTGCAGAGCCTGGCGCTTGCCAAACCGGCCCAGGCCCTGAGAGGTGGGGCAGGAGGCTCTGGCCGGAGGAGACAGCTCTGTCCATGGTGCTGACCCGGGTCTGGCGTAAGCGCCTTGGAGGTGCCCTTGGATCTTAGCTCTGGCTCTGCTCCCTTCTCTGGTCATTGTCACTGGGGCTCCAGAGAACTTGTCTGGATGATCCTGACCTAGAGGCACCCCCTATTCTCAGTAGAGTGAGGAACTGACCTGAGTGTGGCAGGCGCCTAGAGTAGCTCTTGGCTTGTTCTGGGCAGCGTTTAACTCTTCAGACTCTACCTCCCACCTTCTCCCCTCCCTGCCAGTGGATCCAAACTGAGCCTGGTTTCCTGGGATGTCCTGCCTACCTCCTTATCCAGAGGTCAGTTTTTGGCTCTTGCATTTTCTCCCCCTCCAGGTCTGTTCTTGTCCCTCTCTCCCCTCCCTTTAATCCTTAGGTAGGTGGGGAGGATCAGGGTTAATCCAAGGGCAACAGCTGCTCCTGTTTCTGAGCACCTAATTGCTGAGTGCCTGGGGATGGGATTTAACACCCCACAGGACAGCCCTACGACTGGGCCCTCCTGATCCTACTGCGCAGTCCAGGTCCCATCAGTCCCATGCCTGCCAGGCCAACTCTTGGGTCATTCATTGCCTACAGTAAAGGGCCAGTGGGGTTCCCTCCCTGAATTCCTGCCCTTTATTTCTGGCCAGCCGTCTCCCCCTCTCTTCCTGTCCCCTCATCACATGCCCCAGAACCACTGCACCGCGGGGCTCAGATTTTCTTTCCCAGCCGGCCTGGGGCCTGCCTCCTGCTGCCTGCCAGCCCCGCCCTGTCCTCACTGGCCTCCTGTGCTCCTCACAGTTGGCCTCAGCTCTTTCTTTGTAGTTTGCCTCCTGCCTCTGTCTTCTGACCTGCCCCCAGGCCCGCCCTCCCAGCTCCTCAGACCTGTCTCAGGACACAGGATTCCGAAGTAGTGCGCTGTGCTGACTCAAGGAGAAAAACGCAATGTTGCATATTCACGCAATCCTCTGTCTTGTTTACTCTCAAAGCACTTTCTCCGTGCTTGGCACCTTTTACTCAGCACTTTCTCCTTAATGCTTAACTGTATGTGAAAATACAAAAGATTGGGCCACTGCCAGGCAGAGAGAGCGGCAAGGCAGCACCTGTCCCTCACCAGGAGGGCCCATCACAGATGCATCTAGAATATCTTAGGGACAGCAAGGCCCAGATGGAGGGTTGTGGCTGTGCCCAGGTCACCCACCCTCTCAGTGCCATTTCCTCATCTGTACAATGAGGACGAGCACCTTACCTACCTCTTCTAGAGTTTGTGTAAGTCGTAAATAAGTTTGTGCTGTGTAAAGATTTAGATATTAGAATGGTGCCTGCATATAGTGCGTGAACATTCGGTGTACAGCTACATGGCCCCTTCCCGTCGTGCTCTGCTCTGGTTTGTCCTGACCTGAGCTTCTCTGTGCCTTGTCTGAGCGCCCTTCCTCCATCCATTGCAGCCTTTTGATCTGTCGGTGTCCTTGCTTTCCCCTTCTTCTCCCACTCTGTCATAGGGTGGGGATGAGGAAGAGAGAAAGAAGCACGGTGGGCTTCGAAGTCTGTCTGACTTGAATCCCAGGCCGACTGCTTACTGAATGTGTGACTGTGTGACCTTGGCCAGGTGCTCACCCTGCACCCTTGAATTCCATTGTCTGTAACTCAAGAGTCACTTCCGCCTCAGGCTGCCAGCTGCTGTGGTCACTCTCAAGGTCTGACTTACATGGAGCGTCCAGTGCTTCCTGGCCTGGCAACAGTTCACCTGGGACCTGGCCCTTTCTGTCTTTCTGATTCTTCTCTCTCTGCTCAACAGACACTGGCTATCCTCCGCCTACACACAGTTTGCAGTGCCCTACTTCATCTATGACATCTATGCCATGTTCCTCTGCCACTGGCACAAGCACCAGGTCAAAGGGCATGGAGGAGACGACGAGGGCCCCAGAGCACTGGGCAGCACCTGGGCTGTGGTGCGCGGCTACCTGCACAAGGAGTTCCTCATGGTGCTCCATCATGCCGTCATGGTGCTGGTGTGCTTCCCGCTGTCTGTGGTGAGTCCTGGGAGTTGGTCTTCCCCAACAGCCAGGCCAGCACCGCAGGAGCTAGGGACCCCAGGTGCATAAGAGTCTAGAGCCAGCCTGGCCTGCCTGCAGCATTCCCAGCTAAGGCATTTTGGAGCTGGAGCTGTGGGGTGTCTCTGACCCTCAGTCTCCACTCCTGTGGTCCCACCTGCAGGACTGTGGGTGACACAGAGAGGCAGCACCCTCACCTTTGCCACTGTATCTACGTCTAGACTCTCAGGGTTAAGCACCTCCTGAAGGGACCTACAGCAGAGGACACTCTTCACCTTCCTCTTCTGCTTGTAGGTGTGGCGACAGGGCAAAGGAGATTTTTTTCTAGGCTGCATGCTGATGGCAGAGGTCAGCACCCCCTTTGTCTGCCTTGGCAAGATCCTCATTCAGGTGAGTGGGTGTCCAAGGACAGGGCGCTGGCAGAGCGACCCCTGTCAGGGACGGACTTCCATCGGTTCTTTAAGGCTGGGCATGGGAGGAGGCTTAGGCTGAGGTGGGGCCAGGGGTAGGTGCAGCAGGTAGCCACAGTTCTGAGGCCTTTGGCCTACAGAGGGGTGGCAGAGGGGACCTGCTACCTATTCTGTCCCCCCCTGCCACCTTGCTCTGTCCGCAGTACAAGCAGCAGCACACACTGCTGCACAAGGTGAACGGGGCCCTGATGCTGCTCAGCTTCCTGTGCTGCCGGGTGCTGCTCTTTCCCTACCTGTACTGGGCCTACGGGCGACATGCTGGCCTACCCCTGCTCGCCGTGCCCCTGGCCATCCCAGCCCACATCAACCTAGGCGCTGCGCTGCTCCTCGCCCCGCAGCTCTACTGGTTCTTCCTCATCTGCCGTGGGGCCTGCCGCCTCTTCTGGCCCCGAGGCTCCCGGCCGCCCTCTCCCTACCAGACCCAGGACTGAGTGGGGAGCCAGGGACGCTCCCCACCCGCACCCCCATGGGGACAGAGCTCTGGGGCTGATGGGTGGGGGCTGGGAGCCAGGGGCCCCTTGCCTTGACGGCCCCAAGACTGACAGATGAACTCAGAAGGAAGAGGGCACAGCTACCCTCAAAGCCAAGGATGTGGCCAGATGACCAACTGGAAGACATGTCTCTTCTCCAGACAGTGCTGGTGACCCCTTCCCCCTGCAGCCCACTTTGTGCTGGATCAGCAAGGAAAGGGGAAGGATGTGTACTTCCCACCTGTTGAGGCTGGAGAGCCTGTGGGGAGAGAAAGGAAACTCAGGGGACCAGGAGTCAAAGAACATGGGGGTATTCCTGCTGCTAAGGACATCCCAGCCCCTCTGCTGCAAGCCCTCTCTGCTCCCTACTATATGGGAGGGAGAGGACACCCCAACTCTCCCTGTGGGCCTCACAAGCCCAGCTGCCCCCACAGCTCTTCTGTGGGGAATCTTATTTATTTTATTTATTTGCCCAAGTTCAAACTAATTTGTTGTGGGGGGAGGTGGCTGCTACCCCTCTCCCTGGCCTTCCCAGTGCTGAGCATCCCCTGGGCAGGTGAGGGCGCCCAGCCCTTCCCTTTAGGCTGCACACCTTGCCCTTGGGCCCTGGCATGTCCCTGGTGCTACAGACCTCTCAAGGCTTCCTCCAGTCTGGGGTCCGGAGACCCTGGGAGGTGCTTTACAGACTGCTAATAAAGACGATCTGCGTGAAAGCCATCAAGGCCATCTTCAATTCTTTGGGGCCGCAAAGGGAGGAGGCAGGGATCTGGAGTGTGGGGAGCAAGGTGACCCCTCATGTTGGTCAGTGAGGAATCTACACAGACAAAGTCTAAGTTAAAAACTTTATTTCTCAGTGGGAAAGAAGGGCAGATCCGGGCCCACAGGTTGCACCACGACCCTTGTCAGCTCTCTAGACTCCTTTCTGGAAGCTCCTGAGGGGTATGAAGATCAGACAGAAAATCACACACCACTTCCTGAGGCTGGGGACCCTCAACTTCTGAGAGGGCAGAGGGTAGGGGCTGGGGCGTGGGGGTGGGCCTCACATGTGGATGCAGAACTGGAAGAGGATGTAAAGGAAGGCTATCACCAGGATGCCCACCAGGATGTGATGGAAGAGCCCAGGGCCAGGATCTGCCAGAAAGGAAGGGTCAAGACAGCTCTCCAGCTCTGGGAGAAGGGGACTTTTCCTTGGGCTGGCTCCTACCTGAGTGGACAAACTGCACGGGTCTCTCTCCAATAAACTGGGCTATAGCCAGGAGGCTGGCTTGATCTGAGTCTGGGTAATCAAAGAAGTCAGGTCTCTCTATGAAGCGTAGAGATGCTGTTCCTGGGACCATAGCCTTGGTGCGCACTGGCCTGGGCACTAGAACCCAAAGCAAAGTCTGTGACTCCGCAGCCCCACCCCAAAAGGCAGAGGCTGACCCAAAGGCCCCATTGATTGTGTTTGAAAATCAGTGGTGAAGGTCAGTGGTACTCCCAAGAGAGGCTCAAACTGGCTGGGATGAAGAGGATAGGTGGAGGAGGGCAGAGGGGAAACAAGGTCCAGGGCTGGGCTCCTGTGGATGGGGCAGTGTCCTGACCCCAGCCTCCTTTCTTCCCACTGCTCCTAAGTCAACTTCCCACCTGTTTCTGCGACGTGGAGTCCTGCCAGCCATACCCACATGGCTTCTCTTTGCCCCAGCTTCATGACTCCACTGTCGCTATTATGGGGTGTTGCTCTGTGATGTCACACACCAAGAGCCATTCCAGTGGTGCACTCCAAGGTGACAGAAGAACGAGCTAGGAGCTAGGACCCTACTGCTCCATCCCCTGAAGCCACAGAGAGGTTGGGTCCACAGAGCCTGCCTTTACCCCTTTATAAAGCTGAGGGGCAGTGAGGTTTAGGGCAGCTAGGTGGCACAGTGCTTGCCTAGCATGGTCAGGGTCTTGGGTTAAACGCCCAGCACCACAACTAAATAAGTAAATACAATAGTAGCCCGAGAATGTATAAATAGAAGGGACTTGGGCGAGCTTGGTGAAACAAAACTGGGACTGTGAAAATCTATATTTGCATGGCAGGCACATTTATGGATGCGGTGGGCGAACAGGGTTACACACTTTTACTTGTCCCTTAGATCAATCGCGGATAGCACTTACTGAGTGCTTTTTAAGATGGTAAGTACTTTGCAGGCAACAACTCAGTTATTGCAGTAGCCCCACGAGGTTGGTTCTCCTGCCCCCACCATATAAAGGCAGAACCAAGACAGAGGGGAAAAGAGATGTGAGCAACAACCTCCCAAGGGTGTGTGCGCGCCTCCTCGGGGATCTCCCTTGCTTTGTGTCCTCAAATTCAGGAGTACAGGGGACTCCCCATCCATCCCCAAGCCAGGTCCTAGCGCTCAGGTGGCAATGATCCTGCCGACGAGGACTACAGAAGTGGCAGGCTCTCCCCACTAGGGGGAAGCAGTGCGCAGGCCTGACTACCTCACCTCCCTTCGCCCGGGGAAGGCGCTGCCGGTGCCTCCACCCGGCTCCGGCCACTCCGCACAGGTTGCGTCTGCGCTGCGCGAAAACGGATCCCAAGGGAGTGGCAATGTGCGGGGGGCAGTAGTTGGAGGAATTCCCCCGACCCGTTCCAAAGCAGGCCCCCTGGCCCTTCTCGGAGCCTCGTAGTCCCCCCTCACTGTGTCTCGACCCTCCGTGGTGTCCGCGGGGTCCCCTCGCCTCTGTTGCTTCCCAACAGCCATTTCCACCCTAGTAGCCCCATTGCAGCTGATAAGAGCCAGCTCCCCTCTGATTGGCAGATAGGCCTGTCGATCACAGACGGGTTCCAGCCCAACCCAGCCAAGGACACTTCAGGGTCTCCTTGGTCTTACTACAGGGTGCCTGGTCCGCGGTCTCTGAGGGACGAGTTCTACGACTGGCTCCAAAGCTAGGAGTGTGTCCGGTGACGACCCCCCCCCACGCCCCTGGGTCTCTCTCTCTGCTGCCCTGGGGACCCTGAAGCACTAGCTCTGCTGTTCTCAGCACAGAAATCCTGAGAGATACTTGGCTGTGATCAGCTTCAATTCTGCAACTGGAAAAAAGCCCCAGAGGACAAATTGAGGGGAAAAAGTCACATGGATGGGGCAGAGGAGGCTCCCTTGGGTCTGGTTCTCGTGGCCACTTTCTCTTATACGTAACTCTTCGAAGAGGAAGCAGCCTGCCCAAAGTTCCTACCTCGGCTCTTCGGCCAGCTCTCGCCAGGGTTAACTGGGAGAAGAGGTCCAGAGCCCACAGACCTGAGGGTTGAGCCTTAGCCTCTTCAATTACCTCCAAAGAATACAGCCGCTCTCTCTACCAAAGTTCCCTCAACTCAAGCAGAAGATTATCCATGCGAACCCCCATCAAATAGACGTTTGGAGCTTCCGCTGCGTGCTGGGCTGCACTCTGTTATGGCGCAGATAGAAATTACCAAGACATGGCTCTGTTCTCAGGAGCCACAGGAGAAAAAACTTGGATGCACACTGTTCTAATGTGGGCAGGCAGTTCCTACCAGGTATCCACACTTGCTGTCTCCACTATCCTGCCTCCAATGTTCTATTTGATTGTGTGTGTGTGTGTGTGTGTGTGTGTGTGTGTGTGTTTGTGATTACTTATTTGACACAGGGTCTCACTATGTAGTTCAAGCCAGCCTTGAATTTACAGCAATCCTCCTACCTCAGCCTCCCAAGGCTGGGGTAACAGGTGTGCAACACCCCAACTAGCTGGCTTTTTTTTTTTTTTCTTTTATGGGTACCGGGAATCGAACTCACGACCGCCTGCTTGTAAGGCAGGTGCTTATGCCGCTGAGCTAAATTCCCAGCCCCAACCAGCTGGCTTTTAATGTATTCAAGTCTCTTTTGATACGGTTTTGTCTTCATCACTCCACTGACACCACTTTGGTTGAGTCCACCAGTGATCTCTTCATTTGCCAAATCTAACGTTAGGTCCTTTTTCTTTCTTTCAGCGGGACGCCCCTGTCCCTGATCCCAGTCCAGGAGCCACCCTTGCCAATTTTCCAGTCCTCCTCTTGCCAGCTCAGACTTGGGTCCTCTCTTTTCTATGTATATTCACTCCCCCTAGGTGATCTCATCTAGTCTCATGGCTTTAAATACCATCCATATACTGGTGACTCACAAATGTGTATTTCCAGCCTAGACCTCTTGTTGGAGCTCCGACTCCTATATCCAACTTCCTGCTTGATAGCTCTGTATGTCCAAAAACATCTCAGATGCATTAGATCATAAATGAGGCTCTTGATTCCACTCCAAACCTACCTCCCTTTGCTCATCTTTCCATATCCACACATGGTCTCACCAATCTTCTAGGTGTCCTGATCAACAGAAGTACAACAATCATCTCAGATTCTCCCTATCACTTACCTTACAAGACCCTAATGAAGATCTGGTGTTCAATTTCCAACAGCCTGCCTACCTCCTTCTCTCTGCGAATTTTCCTCCTGGCAAACCTGGCCATGTTTCATCTGGGTTATTGGAACGATTTTTGGATGAGTTCATCTATGTTTACTCTTGCCATTAAGAACTGACCTCCATCCACCACAGAACCGACGGAAACACATGGAGTCACCTCTCAAGTGCCCCCAGGAGCTTCCTATCACTCTTGGTGTGAATCCTGAATGCTCACCTTAACTGTGAGACTCTTTGTTATTTTTTATTTTTTGTCTTTTTCCTTTTTACCGGTACCGGGGATTGAATTCACGATTGCCTGCTTGCAAGGCAGGCGCTTATGCCGCTGAGCTAAATCCCAGCCCCAACTGTGAGACTCTTGATGGCCAGCCCCACCCACCTGTCCACTCACACCAACTCTCATTGTCCCCTCCTCGACATACTCAGGTCACAGAGCCTTCTGCCTCTTCAAACGTCTTGGTTTCCTGACCACCTTCCAGTCCATGCAGACCTCTGCTTCCAACACTGCAGACCTGGCTACCTCCCTATCCTCCTGCATGGGTTAGTGGAGCCCTTGGCACCCTTGGCTGTTGACCATCCTGTCACCTCCTCTGTCTTGCCAGGCTGGAGTTGCTGTGTGATTGTCTATGTCCCCTATGAGGCTGCAAAGCAAGAGATCATTACTCTTGGTCACAGTTGCATCACTACAGTGTATAGTAGTATCAACGAAAAACATCCTGAGCTGGGAATGTAGCTCAGAGGCACAAGCCCTGCCTGGAAAGTGCAAGGTCCTGAGTTCGATTCTTGGTACTCTTCTCCCCTACAAAAAAACCCATGCTGACCACAGAGAAGTCTTTTCAGTTCTAACCAAGCCAGGGCCCAGGCTGCTCACTCTTTCCCTGTGCACCGTGAGGAGACAGTGGAGAAGATGGGACTGTAGGCACCCTGAGCAGGAGCTGCCTGTACACTGGCCTTGAGTCTAGGAAAAGGCACAGCTGAAGCCCTAGAAAGCATCTCCCTTGCTCTTGACTCTGTTCTTACCCCTTTACTTTAAAAATGTATTACTTCAGGCTGGGAGTATATCTCCGCAGTAGAACATGCACGTAGTAGCGTGGGCAAGGACCTGGTATTGACCTCTAGCACACACACACACGCAAATAGATATGGATGTGTAAATAATTTTGATGCATATATACCTATTTTAATGTATTCTTTGGAACAGGTAACCTAGGTACACAGCATAACATTTAAAAGGCACAAAAGGATGTGTACTAAAAACTTTGATTCCTGCCCTTTTCCTGCCCTATAGCAACCTCCTCAAAGTTCACCATAGACACCATTTTCTTGTGCAACCTTCTAGAAATGATTAAACACAAGTTTCTGTCCTGGCTCAAATGGTAACATCCACACATCCTGCTCGGCACCTTCTTTTTTTAAGTTAAAATGAAATGGTGGAGATGATTGTGACTGTGCATGAAGAGCCCCTTTTCTTTTTGTGGCTGCATACTATTTCACTGTAGGAAGTCATGTTGTGACTGATTTAACTAATACCATTACACATGGATGTTTCAGGTGTTCCCACCTTTTGGTGCACGCTGCCATGAAGAATTTTGAATCTTGCCACACAAGCTGGTGCTTCCCTGTAATCTCTGCATTTGGGAGGAAGGGTGAGGCAGGAAGATGGAAAGCTCAAGGCCGGCCTGGGCTAAACAGATCCTGTCTCAAAAAATATGATTAAATACAAACCTAAAATTTATGCAATTTTTTCTATGTGTGTTAGACATAGAACCTATTGCTGTATGTGTGCCAAGTGCCCTCTCTACCACCAAACTACACTCCCAGACCTTGGTCGTTTACGCACTGATAGTGTTAAGTCTGTTACATTTCTGTTAAATCCCAGCATTTACTGAGGACAGGCTTGTGCCAGGCCCAGTTGGGGGCCATAGGGACACAGGGATGAATCAGCCCTTCTTGCTTTGGGTAACTCCTGTGCTACAGAAACCAGATGTAAACAGGAAGGGGGCACAAGTGTGGCAGAGGTGAGTCTGAGGTGCCTTGACACCAAAGTGCTCAATGAGGACTTTGTCTTTCCATTTGACCCTTTCAGGGTTCAGGAGTGAATGGGGCAGGTCTGGGGCAGGGGAGGAAGGCAAGTGGGGTGTCAGGGCTCCCCTGACTGCTGGGTCTGGAGCATTCAGGGCCAAGCTTCCAGGCCCTCCCTAGCTGAGATGGCAGGAGTTTGAGTGTGGAAGGATGGATTTCCAAAGGCAATGTCATTCCTGAGGAGAAGGGGACACCACTCTTGGGGAGCTGGATTGCATCACAAAGAGATGCCCAAAAGCCAAAGGGAGGAGGCCGGAAGCCACAGCTTCGGGCCTCTCACTCAGACTGTGTTGCTCCCCAGCAACACAGAGACTCTGAGATGCCAGGTCAGAGATGGCAGGGGAACCCACTCGTTCTCTCCCGCGCCTAGGTCACTGCGGCTCTCCAAGCCCCGCCCTCACGGCCAGAGGGGATCTGGCGCTTTTGCCTTTGTCACACGCTCTGCGGGGGAGGGGAGTGAAGATGGGGGGCTGTGAGCCAGTGTCGCCATGGCAACTAGGCTGGTGGGTCGGGCCCTGGAGACCCTGGAGGGAAGGAAAAAGAAAGCTAGGGAGGATGGACTGGCTGGGGATCCGCGGCGGGGGTGGTTGCGGGGCAGGGTCGGTCTCCAGGGAGGAGTTGGGAAACACCGGGTAATTCTCGCTCCTGATTCCGGGTGGCGCAGGGAGCCCGCATGCTGGCGACTGTGTGTGTATGCGAAGTTCTCAGGTGCGGGTGCTTGCTGCGTCTGTTTGTGTATAATGCGTGTGAGCTTGCACATGTGTGCGTGCAGGAGTGCCAGGGCGAGGCACATGTGCCAGCCTGCGTGCACACGAGTGTATGCCAGCCCGCGTGTCGGTGCGTGTGTGTGAGCGCGGGCACTCGTGTCTGTGTGCGCCCTTGCTTGCGCTCCCGGGTGTGCCCCGGAGGCGCGTGGCGAGTGTGAGCGCGGAGCCCGCCCTGCGCCGGCTGTATCCTCGCCTCCACCTCGCTCGCCCCTCCCGTGCTTTCCCCGTCTCTCTGCTCGGTGCGCACGGCCGGACTGCTGTTCTCGCTGGCCACCCTGGGAACCGCCGGCCGCTGCCGCCCAACCCGTGCCCACTGGCTGGGCACCTGTTGGAGGCACTGAGACAGGTGCGGGGGCTGGGCGCTGGGGGGGGTAGGGTGGGAACCAGGGCCAGCTTTGGCCTGTGCTATGGGGGTGTTCGGCTCTCCTGCGGCTGCCTTTCTTGCTCCCCTAAGGAACCACGCTTAAGGAGCAGACATCTGAGACAGGGGTCCCCACTTTTGCCTGCTTGGGTGGGGAACAGGGGACCAGACAGGTGGCAGATTTTGGGGCTGAGTGGTCAGTGGGAAGTGGAAGCCTAGAGGGTGGGTGACATCCTGACAGAGTAGCACCTGGACAGAGTAGCAGAGGGCAGCCAGCCTCAGAGCAAGAGGCTGAACCTATGCGGCCGCATGGGGTGCAGAGGGCTGGGAACCAGGGGAGCCAGGAGGAAAGGAAAGAGCCCGGAAGATGACAAAGGGACATCTCTAGATGAGTGGGCAAAGCTGAGGGGGAGCTGCAACCTGTCTGCCAGGAGTGGTCTGGCAACTCAGCGGCCCTGGAGCCAGGCTCTAGTCTGGAGGGCCTTGACCTCCGGTCTGCCTGCCAGCTGGCCCAGCCCATCCTCTCCCTTGGTGCCTAGGAACGGAGGCCAAGGAGGGCTCTCAGCCAGCCCACCGGGAGTCCAGAGAGTCAGCGCTCCAGCTCTCACATCCCCTCCCCCAGCCAGGGTGCTGCATGAGGGGCCGCAGGGGTGACCGCATGGCCATCAACATCCAGGAGCACATGGCCATCAACGTGTGCCCCGGGCCCATCCGGCCCATCCGCCAGATTTCTGATTACTTCCCTCGCCGGGGACCAGGACCTGAAGGGGGTGGCAGGGGCTGTGGGGAGGCCCCTGCCCATCTAGCCCCCCTGGCTCTGGCACCCCCTGCGGCCCTTCTTGGGCCCACCACACCTGAAGATGGAGCTGAGGTGGACAGCTACGACTCGGATGACACCAGTGAGTTTGGGGGCCCTCAGGCTTGTGATCCTGCTGGGTGTGCATGAGGTGGGGGAGGAGGGACAGAGGGACTCCACCACAGCTGCAGTCTGGGTGGAGATTACAGCTTCAGTGAGGCTCAATATTCAATATTTCTGCTGAGACACTCCACCACCCACACAGCCCCAGTCGCGGCCGAGACAGACCCAGACATACACGCGTGCACGCGCGCACGCACACACACACACACACAGACACACGCCACGCCTACTCAGTTTCTTGCACACATGCTGCAGGGTGCCAGGGATATGGACAGGTGTATCCAGTGTCTGGCCACTGGGTTGTGTCTCACACACCTGTCACCTTTGCCCTCTACTACAGCTGCCCTGGGCATGTTGGAGTTTGACCTTCTCTATGACCAAGCCTCCTGCACTCTGCACTGTAGTATCCTCAGGGCCAAGGTGGGCACTCCCTGTCTCCCACATAGCCCTCAGGGTTCCAGCCTACCTTCCCTCCCCCTGGGCAGACCCCACCCCGACTCCTTACCCTTAACCCCTGGCTGCACCACAACTCCTGAACTCAAGCTCTGCAGGAGTGAGAGGGGCCAGAGAACACAGCCCACTTCCCAGTCTCCCCTCTAGGGCCTCAAGCCCATGGACTTCAATGGCCTTGCGGACCCCTATGTCAAGCTGCACCTGCTGCCTGGAGCCTGCAAGGTAGTGGCCTCCTCTCTCTCTGCCCCTGCCTGGCCAAGCATGTAGGTCCCTGCCAGATTTTCCCAGCTGCTATCTACAGCCTGACAATGAATGTCCAGTATCAGAACCTTTTGCCCTGGCACCCTAGGCCAATAAACTAAAAACGAAGACTCAGAGGAACACTCTGAATCCTGTGTGGAACGAGGACCTGATGTACAGTGGGATCACGGATGATGACATTACTCACAAGGTGCTCAGGTAGGGGCACCCTCCTTGCTGCCAAAGGTTCCAGCCCAGCACCACCTCCAGGACCACTGTCACTGTACCCTTCTCTGGCTGGCTGATCTCCCTCTGTACCAGGAAGCCCCAACCTCACTGATGATACTCAGGAACATTCAGTGGCTCCCCAAAACACAAAATACTTCGCTGGCATTGCTGCCATCACCTGCTTCTCCAGCAGGGGACTGCTCTTTCCCACCGGTCACTTCCACTACTCCTGGTCTTTGCCCCAAGTCTCTTCTACCTGGAAAGCACCCCCGGCTTCCTCACTGCCAGCCCAAATCTCACTCGCCTGAGAGTGCAACTCCCACCTGCAGGAAGCCTCTCAGGCCAGGGAGACTCCTCTGTGGGGCTAACTTCAGACAGCCCTGTGCATTTTAGGTCCATCTGTCCTGTCCTTGGGTCCCCTAAAACCTGGGCTAAGTTTTCAGGTCCAAGGCACTTGCTCTCATCCCAAAGGATGATGTGGGGACAGTATCCCTTGTAGTAGTAGGGGCATAAAACCCTTGTTTAGGACAACTTTTTTTTTTTTTTTAATTGGTACCGGGGATTGAACTTACGACCGTGCACTTGCAAGGCAGGTACTTATACCTGCTGAGCTAAATTCCCAGCCCTGGACAACTTCTGTCTTAGCAACAGGGAGGCACAGAATGGTTGCCCCAGAGAAGGGGCATAGTCAGGGCTGTTGTGCAGTGATCACCCTGGCATGAGGGAGGAGGGACAGAGGCAAAAACCAAAAAGGCTGGCCCCATGTTCCAGGTGTAAGAGAATAAGGCCTAAAGGCAGTAACTAGTAAAAGCCTTTATTTGCATTTCCTTTTATTTCACTTGACCCTTGTCATGGCTTTAGGTGGTGAATACTACAGATGAGAACTGGAGGGAGGTTAAGTAACTTGCCCAGCGTCACATGGTAGCTAATAAACAGTGGCTGGGATTTCAACTCCTGATGTGCCACAGCTGCTCCATGCTAGCTGGTTATGGCAGTTGAGGCACAGGGTTGCTGGGTAGAAGGGCAGTCCTTTAATTGCTGGACTGACATGTCCCTGTTCTAGGTGAGGATCAAGACTCCTTGAGGCCCTTCTAGCTCTTACTGCCTGCACCTGGGGACCCAGATGGGCACAGTCTCTGGGATGCTGGAGGTCTTCCTGTGGCTGAGTGGGGTGAAGGCTCAAGCAGCCACCCATTTTACAGATGAGGTGAATTAGGGCAGAGCTGGAACTGGTTTGAGGGACCCTCCTTCTACACTGGAGGGGGCAGAGGTACCCAGGACCCCTGACCCTGCAGTTCCCCATCAGGATCTCTGTGTGTGATGAGGACAAGCTGAGCCACAATGAGTTCATCGGGGAGATTCGAGTGCCCCTCCGCCGCCTCAAGCCTTCACAGAAGAAGCATTTTAACATCTGCCTCGAGCGCCAGGTCCCGGTCAGTGTGGGAACTGCAGGGATGCTTGAGGGGAAGGCGGGCTGAGGAGGCCAGGTGGCCACAACTTTTTCTTTGTCCCCTTAGCTGGCATCACCCTCCTCCATGTCTGCAGCTCTAAGGGGCATCTCCTGTTACCTGAAGGAGGTGAGGCACCTCCCAGGGACCACAGACCTCTGGGAGGCAGTGGTGGATCCAGGCTGACCAGTGTCTGTCCCCTGCAGCTAGAGCAGGCCGAGCAGGGACCTGGGCTCCTGGAAGAGCGTGGGCGCATCTTGCTGAGCCTCAGCTACAGTTCTAGGCGCAGGGGGCTGCTGGTGGGCATTATTCGTTGTGCCCACCTGGCTGCCATGGACGTCAACGGCTATTCTGATCCTTATGTGAAGACGTAAGATCTCACCGTGAAGCCCACTCCCCTCCCCAAGGGAGCCTGACCTATCTGAACCAGCTATCTTAGGCCTGGCTGCCCCTAACTACATGGCTTCCTCTGCCCAGGTACCTGAGACCGGATGTGGAAAAGAAATCCAAGCATAAAACATGCGTGAAGAAGAAAACTCTAAATCCAGAATTTAATGAGGTAAATACAGCAGAGAACAGACATCATGAATTAGGGATAGGGGTGGGTTAGAAACGGCCTTAGGATAGGTGTGACTCCTCTCCTCAGGAATTTTTCTATGAGATGGAGCTCTCCACTCTGGCCACCAAGACTCTGGAAGTCACTGTTTGGGACTATGACATTGGCAAATCCAATGACTTTATAGGTGAGGAGTGGGGTCCCTAGGGTGGTACTGAGGGAAGGTTGGCCAGAAAGAAGCTGGGCTCTGATTTGTGCCCTGTGGCTGCTTGCCAGGTGGAGTGTCCCTGGGGCCCAGTGCCCGAGGAGAGGCACGGAAGCACTGGAGCGACTGTCTGCAGCAGCCAGATACAGCCCTCGAACGCTGGCACACCCTGACCAGCGAGCTGCCCGCCGCAGCTGGGGCACTATCCTTGGCCTGAGTGGCCAGCAGTTGCCTGCACGGGCTCCCAGTACCCAACCTTCGCACGAGTGTGTTGCACGTTTACACGGGGTGGGAGGCCCCTGCCCCGCACTATCTGTCTTATTTTTGTGAGAGTCTCTGTGACTGTGGGTATGTCTTCTTGTGAGGGATGTAGAGATCTACACTCACATATGCAAATTCCTCTTGCCTGACTCGCTGTTACCTGCAAATATGCAAATTGTCCTCTGCACACCCAAGGGGAGTGCTGTCCCCAGGTCCCTCTGTGGCCCTCTCTGCACCTCTCTAAGCTGCCCCGGCCTCACCAATAGGGAGGAGGTCGGATTAGGAGAGGTTTGAAGGAGAATGTTTCCAAAAGACAGACAAGTCACTCCTTCAATACAAGATTTTCATTTAAAAAGTCTTAGCCCTGTACAGCTGCCCTTCTAAAGGGGTGGCCACCTCAGGGTGTCGCCCCAGAGGTGGCAGATATTCCAGGCCACTCATTTAAATAACTGTCCTCTGGATGGGGCCGGAGTGTGACAACAGGGCCCCTGCCACCCTCCTGGGGGACATCTGTGCATGTTTACGCCTTTTCGGATTGTGTCAGTGGCCAAGCATGGCAACTGGGCATCAATAAACATCTCTGAGGAAGCTGGACTTGTGCTGGCACAGGGAGTGAGTGTGGGGCAGGCTTGGCTGATGACAGTGGGTGTCACTCTGGGATGTCGATCACCAGGTCATCGTCCCCATCCAGGGCGTCATCCCCGCTGCCTGCATCGCTGAACATCTGCCGAGGGACGGTGCTCAGGATCGTGTGGGGGGGCATCTTGGGAGGGGGGAGGGGGGTCAGGGCCGTCCCGACCCCAGTCCCAGGGCCCCTGGCAGGGAAGGTCAGTGGCCCGCCCACAGGGCAGTCGGGGGGTCCCACCGCCATCTGCAGCAGGGGAAGAAACACAGGGTGGGCTTGTCAGAGGCAGTGGTCCCTCCAGGAGGCTGGGTACCCCCCTCAAGGCAGTCATGGGGGTAGGGAAAGGGTGGGAACGCAAGCAGCCAGCTAGTGGTAGAGTCAAGGGCTCCCTGTCCTTTGTCTCCAACCACAAGTGCCTAGAGTGAGGGGCAGCAATAGACATGTGATGACAGGGTGGATGGGGTGTATGACAGGAAGCAGGGATGGAAAGACTACGCCCTGTCCTCTCCAGGAAACATTCTGATTGCCTGGTAGCAGCAGCTCCAGCAAGAGTCAGGCCAGCACACAGGGCCTACCTTTTGCCTCTAGGCATGCGGGCACCACCTGCACCACTGGCTTGCTTGCCCTCTCCTCCTGCAGAATTCACTGGCTCAGTGATGTGTGTCACAGGCTGCGTGAGCCATGAGCCTGGGAGGCTTCTTTGCTGCTTGGAAGCTTTATTACTGCTTGGAAAGAACCCTCCTTGGGATTCCCATGGCCATCAGCCTAAGCTGGGCCTCCTCTTGGCTCACCTGGGCTAGGGTAAAGCTTCCTAACTGGACTCCCTCCCTTCAGCCTCCACCCAGAGCCAGCTCCTCCTCCACAGTGCAGCCAGGGTGATCGATCTAGAACAGACCTGAGCAAGTCACTCTTCCACCTGAGGGCCCTGGGACAGGCAGTACAGGTGCGTGACAGCAGGCAGCCCCTCCACCTGGAGTGTCTCAGCAAAAGCCCTGGTTTGTCTTCAGAAGCAAGGAACTGGCCTCCATTCTGCCCAAAGCTCCAGTCCTCCCCTGACAGGACCCCAAAAATCCTCCCTGCAGATAGTTCTCTGGGTATAATACCTTATATAATTTGTGGATACAAACTGAGCACCCAAAAATTATATAGGCCCACCACGGGAGCAAGTTTTAAAGAACATGTGTACCAGGTCTCCAGTGGGTAGTGTCAGGCCCTGGGTTGCAGCAGGGTAGGAAACACTCTCAGCTGGTTTTCAGAGCAGCTCCTGACTACTTTAATGCATTCAGCCCTAGGCCTGCTCTCTGCTTCTCTAGGAGCCCCCTGCTTCCCCTGCCTGGGTGATGTGGTGGGTCAGGCAGCAGGGGATCAGAGCCTACCAGGACAGAGATCAATCAGGAGCCCTTGCCCTGACAAGCAGCCTCGTACCAGGTACCTGCACGTACTCACGAGACACACAGACATGACGGGAAAGGGCAGCTCCATGTGGACTGTGGCCTGTGCTACTTTAGAATCCCTACCCTGTCCCCAATGTCCTGCTCTGGCCTAGACTTCTCCCATGTGATGATCAAGGACAGCTAACATGGTTCTATGGCTTACTAGGGTCTGGATGTTGGGCTAAACATTCTATCCTTTAACTCCTTTTAGCTTTATTGATTGCCTGAAAAAAGCGAGGCTCACAGGTAAGTGACATACCCAAGATCCAAGAGTACAGAAAAGAGCTGGGATTGAAACCCAGCTAATGCTGACTAAAGCCCCAGCTGGTTTTATTTATTTATTTATTTGTTTGTTTATTTATTTATTTATAGGTTTTATTTATTTTTGAAATTGGATCTTGCTATGTTGCCCAGGCTGGTCTTGAACTGCTCCTGCCTGAGCCTTTTGAGTGTCTGGGACTACAGATGTGCATCACTATATTCAGTTCAGGCTCCTACTGATTGACCTGCATCAGCTTTCAACATCCTACCTGCTCACATTTACTACCTTCCATCTTTTTCTCACTCAGAGCTTTTAGAGACTCCCATTCCCTCCACAATGAGACATCTCTTGATCAGGGTGTCCAAGCATCCTTCTATCATTCCATTCCATCATTCCTTCTTTCCAACTCTGTTCTCTTTTGTCACTTGTGCTGCAGCCCAAACACTATCTACCATGCCCGTCTCCCTATTTCGGCTTCAACCTGGAATATCCAAATCTTTTTTTTTTTTTTGTCTTTTTCCTTTTTATTGGTACCGGGGATCAAACTCAGGACTGCCTGCTTGCAAGGCAGACACTTATGCCATTGAGCTAAATCCCCAGCCCCCGAATATCCAAACACTGGGCTCAGATGTGATCCAAGTCCTTCCCTGACCTGTCTCCTGCTCTATGCACAGCAACTGACATGAGCCTGTCAACACTGTCTCCCACGGTTTTCCTGAGTGTCAACTTTCTGACACTGCTCTACCACAAGATATGGCAGCAATTCAAAAGCCGTGAACATTGTCTGCCCACCCTCTACCCAGAAGTAAAACCCTTCAGCAGGGTTGTGTGTGTTGCCAGGCCTGAGCCCAGGGCTTTGTGCATGCTTGGCAAGCCCTTTGCCATTGAGCTATATATTCCCGTTCCCCAGAAGCCACACTCTTAACCACTAGAAACATAGCAGCCTGCTCTGTTTCTGGTTTCAGAGACCTGAGAGCTGACCAGCCTGGTCCTTACTCAGCTATGACTGCAAGCTGGATGGGTGCTGTGCTTTTCTGTGCGGCTCCTTACCATTCCTGGAGCTCTGTGCTCAGCCTATTTTCTTTCCCCACTCTGCAGAGGACTTTCAAATAAATACACATCACCATGAACCCTGGGCTCCCATATGCAGCTGTGTGGCTGGTGCTTTTGCCCTGACTGTCCCAGACTGAAACCCTTTCCCAGGGAGTTGTGTGGCTGCTCTGGTTTTCTCTAGTGTCTGATCAAGCAACGCCCCACCCAGGGCACTATACCTAAATAGCCCCACCCACTTTGCAGCTCCCACAGCCTTTTCTTTCCTGTGTTTCTACACTGGGACCTATTTACCTTGACTATCTTCTACCCAGCTTGTAAGAAAATGTGAGCTTTGGGGCTGGGGATTTAGCTCAGCGGCATAAGCGCCTGCCTTGCAAGCAGACAGTCGTGAGTTCGATCCCCAGTACCAATAAAAAAGAAAAAGACAAAAAAAAAAAAAAAAAAAAAAAAAAGAAAGAAAAAGAAAAAAGAAAAAGACAATGTGAGCTTCACAAGAGCAGAGTTTGTGCCTGTTTTTTTCACAATGAAAAGGCCAGCACCTGAGACAGTTCCTGGCATGTACCAACTTTTCTGGGAACACTTTGTTGACTCACCTTGTCTGATAACTACTTTAAAAAACATAATCTAGGAGCTTTCATAGGTCAGAGACCCACTCAAAGTCATGGGGCTTTTCATTCGGGTAGCCTTGACTGGATTCCACATCGCCAGACACTATCCGGCATCACAGTGCTCAAAACCAGTGAGGAGCACTGCCATAGGGCTGGGCCCCAGGTATCCCTACTCCCAGTATCCCCAGGCTGGCTCTGACCAAATCTGTCTTCACAGTGAGACTGTAAGCCAGGAACTTTCTGATTTTCTCCTCAGTGACTGGACCTGCACTGGGCCCTCAACAGTCCCAAATCAATTTTTCCAAGTCCTCAGACACCCCCAACCCATCCTAAGCCTCCCTCAGATGGCTGCCCTGCCGCATGGCCCCTCCCTATCTTCCCCAAATCAGGGTACCTTGAGTTTCCGGGGCAGGCGGGGCCGTTTCTCCCGCTTGGGCCTCAGGGGGCTGGGCTCGGGCAGCTGCAGGGCCAGGTAGTCAGAAGGGAATGGGGGGTAAGGGGGGGAAGCCAGCTGCTGGTGGGAGTCGGGGATGAAGATGGGAAATGGAGTGGGGCAGGGTGGAGGTGAAGGGAAGAAATGCAAACAGGAAGAAGAATGAAAAAAACAAAAGAGATGGTGATGAGTGTGGCTCTCAGGGCTCCTGAGAACAGAAGGGACAGCAGCAGGACTGCTCAAATCATATCTGCCCCTATTCCTTTACCAGAGAAGAGTAGGGAGCCCTGGCTAACACCCTCCAAGGGACACTTGCTGGCCACAACAGAACAGATGTCCCTTGATTCGGGCTGGCCTCACCCAGAGACCTAGCCCCTTAGCCTCATGATGTCCACCTCATTCCCAGGCATTTTAATTCACTGCTTTCCACCCTTTACCCCAACTCACCGAGCTCAGGTATGGTGAGGGCGTCCCAGAAGCCTGGAGGGGAAACCCTGTCGAAGGAGGCAGGGAGAGGCTGGAGGGGGAGGGGGTGCCCCCCAATGGAGGGCTTCTCTTCCTGGAGAAAGGATGGGGAAGGGGTCAGAGGCAGCTGGAGGCCCAGGACCCTGGTCCCAGGACAGTGGGCTGCTTCTTACCTCTTTGGGGCTGGTGTGTCCGACAACTTGGGTGTCCCCTCTGTCTCACTATTATCTGAAGATGCTGTGGCATCCGAGTCTGTGAAGGGGAGGGCTCATCAGTGGGGCTGGAATGCCAGGGCTCTGTAACCTCGCACTCGGCTCTGAGGAAGCCAATTCTCCAGGTGGCACAACACATACAGGATAAGCTGGGGAGACCCACAGCTCCCCAGCCTGCTTCCTGCTCTGGCTCTTCCCCAACAGGTCTGTTAAGCACACATTGTGTACCAGCCCCCTTTATGTTCACCTCCCCTGCTAGTCTTCACCACTGTCCAAGGAAGGAAAGGGTATCACCACCACCCTCCAACTGAAGCCAGAGGCTTGGACAGCAAGGTATAGGCCTGGGCTTGAATTCAGGTCTGTTGTTACTTGACCATTTTATGCTGCTTTCTCCTTGTTTGCCTCTCAGCTGCATTCAACTTCTGCCTCTTCTCCACTTCCCCTATTCAGGGTCCTACTAGTTTACCCTTCAAATCTCTTCTTTCATTATATATTACAAACATATATATATATATATATTTTTTTTTTTTTTTTTTTGTCTTTTTCCTTTTTATCGGTACCAGGGATCGAACTCACGACTGCCTGCTTGCAAGGCAGGCGCTTATGCCGCTGAGCTAAATCCCCAGCCCCTAATGATTTTTTTTGAGACAGAGTTTTGCTATGTGGTCTAAGCTGGCCTCAAACTCACACTGATCCTGTCTTAGCCTCCTGAATACTAGATCACAGGCATGTGCCACCTTGCCCAGAATATAAAATTAAAAAACAAAAAGCTGTCTTTATTTTCATCCACTACTGCCACCCTAAATGCCCCCAGATCCGGTCACTACCTCATCTGAATCACCTGCTCAGCAGACTACAGTTTGCCATCTATTGTCCAGCCCAACTCCAGGATGACCTAAAACAGAAACCTAACCACATCCTTCCCAGTATCTTTCACTGCCTGGAGGCATTAGTAGTTCTAGAAATGGAATACATGGCCTTCCACTCAGCTACTTCCTCTTCCTTTTTTATTTCTGAGTAAGTGTCTGACTATATTGTCCAGACTAGTTTCAAATTTGTGATACTCCTGGCTAGGCTCCTAAAAAGCTGGGATTATAGACACACATCTTTTTCTAAGCCAAGCAGTGGTGCTTTTTACTCTGGGTTTAACCTACCTTTCTGGTTGCCAACAAAACTCTTTTCTGTTTTTTTTTTGAAGTGCTAGAGATTGAATGCTGGGCCTTCTACATGGTAAACATGTGCTCTACCATAAGCTATACCTCCAGCCCCCGGAACTCTTTACATCATGCCAACCTCTTTCTCAAAAATAAATTTCCTTGTCTAGTGCTTCTGCCTAGAGTCTATAACTCAGATAGATTTTTTAAAAGGCAGACTGAATGCCTCCTCTTGAGAAGCCTTCCAGAATCCCTCCTGCCCTGTTAAATGCTGGTTCTATTTCTACTCTCATGTTTAGGTTCTCCTCGCACTGCACCGAGAAGCATCATGTGTGGAATCCTCTAGCATATGAGTGGAGGCTTGAATCTCTGGTTCACACTCCTAGGATTTAATCTATTCTCGACAAGAATGTGCTGGGTTCCCTCATACCTCTGGTCTTGACATTCCCCTCAAACAGGAAGTTAACTAGAACTTAGGGAAGGAAGAAACAGAACAAAGTAGATAGAATAAAGCCACTTTTTGCCATGGTCTAAGGGAGAAGCTCCTGCCTACTTCTCTATCCTTATGAACCTCTGCCAGTCCTTAAGCCTAACTCCTGTAATAGTAAGTAAATATAAGGGTTGTATGATCCAATAAAACATTTACAAAAATAAACAGCCACTAGCTGCTGTTTGCTGATATCTCCCTACGGACCAGGAATATAACTCAGTGGCACAGTGCCTGCCTGGCAAACTTGAGGTCCTGAGTTTAATTCCAAGTACAAAAAAAAACAACAAAAAAAAAACCCACATGATCTCACCTAGACCAATATTCAAAGGCACAGTTAATGTGATGATCTTGTAAGGGTTCCACTGAGAACAAGGCTCATAAATGTCCACCACAGGGCTTTTCCAAACCATAATTCTGTCAGTCTGGAACTGGCATTGAAAGAGAGGAAAAAGCTGGGTGTGGCGGGTACACCTGTACTCTCAGCACTCTAGGGGGCTGTGGCAAGAGGAATGCAAGATGGAACCCAGTCTAGGCAATTAGTAAGACTTTGTTTCCAAATAAAAAATTTTAAAAGGGCTAGGAATGTAGACCCAGATCCAATGTGAAGGTTTTGGATTCAAACATCAGTACACAAAAAACAAGGAGTGGGCGGGGCGTAGTGGCACACACCCATAATCCTAGCACTTGGGAGGGTGAGGCAGGAGTTTGTGAATTTGAGGTCAGCCTGGACTACAAAGTGACTTCAAGGCTAGCCTGAACTTACACATAGCAAGACCTATAAAAAAAAAAAAAAAAGAAAGAAAGAAAAAAAGGGAAACAGCCTTAAAAAAATCAGAATAGTGGGGCTGGGGATTTAGCTCAGCAGCATAAGCGCCTGCCTTGCAAGCAAGCAGTCATGAGTTCGATCCCAGGTACCGATAAAAAGGAGAAAGCCCCCTCCCCCCCAAATCAGAATAGTGGTGCATACCTGCAATCCCAACACTCAGGAGGCTGAGGCAAGATTACTGAGTTGGAGGCCAGCCTGGGCTACACAGTAAGTTCAAGGCCAGCCTGAACTACATAGTGAGACCCTCTCTCAATAAATAAATAAATTCTAAAATCAGAATAAGTTGCATTTAGAAACCTTAAAAACGTTTCATAAAATTTTTTTGTTAAGTATGAATGTGGAGAGTTGGTCACAACGTAAAGATATGGTCAACTATAATCGATAATAAAAAGCCTGAAAAGCAGCATTTTGTAATCTTATCCCTTTAACTCAAACCAGCCTGGCTCATTCTTGCTTCACGGAGCCTGCATTTATTTTCTGCCAAGGAAATTCTAGCATGGCCTCCACAAGATTGGCCTTTTCTTGCCCAGCTTCCAGCTAAAGAACTTCCCAGAAAGTCTTTCCTATGAGCACTCTAGTCAGATGTTACCCGCAGCCTGGTTTTGTGTGGTCTGCAAACGAAGAGTGGCTTTGACATTTAAAAAATGTTTATGTGGTACTATGTGTTGAACTCAGGGCCAGCTTATTTTTAAAAATTTTTTTTAGACTAAGTGTTGCTAGGTTGCTCAATTGTCTGGGTTTGGGTCCTCCTGACTCTTCCTCCAAAGAGTGCTGGGATTACAAATTATGCCCAACTTCTTCTGATGTTTACAGATGTAAAGATCAAGCATATTTGCACAGGCCTGTGATCACAGTACTTGCGAGGCTGAGACAGCAGGATCACTGTGAGTTTGAAGCTGGGCTGAGCTAGAGTAAATTCTTGAACTACCCAGCAAGATCCTGTCTCAAAAAAAATACAGTAAAATAAAAAGCTGCTGCTGGATATGATATCAAGTTCAAGCCCAGCCTGGGCAATTTAGCAAGACTTTGTCTCAAACAGGGGTGGGAGACAGCTGGAAATGTAGCTCAGAAAAAGCCCTGAGTTCTGCCCCAATACTGAGAAAAAAAAAACTTCATGGGAAAACTACATAAAATTCAAGTTTCAGTATCCATAATGTTTTAACAAAACACAGCCATGTTCATTTATTTATATATTGGCTATAGGTACTTTGACACAAGCTGAACAGTTTTTCAAAGACGGTATAATCCAAACCCTAAATTACTATCGAGCCCTTTGCAAAAAGAATTTGTGAACTCCTGTCCTATACCTACCATTACCACTTAACTCTGTTTTACCCCTTTCGAAAAATTTTTCTTTTTCTTTGGTACTGGGAATCAAACTCATGACCTCACATTTGTCAGGCAGACTCTGTGCTACTGAGCTATATTTCTGGTCCCTGTTTCAACTCTTTCAATCCATATAGCTATCAAAAATCCTAGTTTATTACTTTATTTATTTCCCTAAAATGGAATATAAATTATAAAAGGTCAAGCAGTTTGTCGAATTTGCTATTGTTGTATCCCACGTGCCAAGCTCAGAGTCGGGAACATAGTAGATGTTCAGTAAATACTTGAAGGAAAAACCGTAGACACTGAGGGAACCGTGCAGATTTAAGGATCCTTGGAGACTGCATGAGCTTCTACAGCCTAAAAGGAAGAGCCAAGGAAGACTTGCTCAAATGCCAAGAAGTATATACTCGCAACTTTTCATGACCTTGCTCACCAGACGAGTCTTCATCCACGTTCTCATACTGCAGAAGTCGGTCTAGGAGAAAACTGAGGGAAGAGGTGAAGAGAGTTTATTTCCATCAGCAATGTTCCCTTAGGCCTTTTCTCCTCCTAGAGGCTCCACTGGGTCTAGGAGTCGCATCATCCTCGTCCCCTAACCGCGCCTCCTCACCTCTTGTCTCGGGACACCTTCAGTAATTTCCTTTGAGCCTTTCTCAGCTCCTCCTGGAAGCACTCGTGTTCCTGTAAGGGCAGGACCCGGGTTGTAGGGTTCGTCACAGGGAGACAGCTCGCCCCACCCGCTTCACTAAGGGCAGACTGAGGTCCTCGCGCCGCCAGGCCTCACTCGCCACCACCTCTCCACACCAGAACTCACGTAGATGAGAAACTTGAGCTTCCGCTTCAAATTACGGTATTTCTTTTTGTAGTCCACTTCACCGTCCGCTGGCCCGTTCATGGCCAGCCCGGGAGCTGCGTCCCGCTACCGGGAGCCAGATCCGCTTGAGATCTCACGCCCTTCACTTCCGGAAACGTTGCAAGGCTGCGCGCGGACTACAACTCCCATTGGGCGCGGCGCGCCACGTGCGTAACCACGGGAGCCGCACCGCTGGGGAATTCCTGGCGAGGAACTCGGCTTCCAGTGGCTGCAGTGAAGATGTCGTGGCAGGGGTTCTATGATGTCACAAAGATGGCCGACACTGGCGGGCGCCGTTAGCGATTCTCAATGAACTTGGAGAACTTAGAGTCACAAAAAGGTGTCTCTCAAATATTTCTAGTCTCTTGGCCGGGGGCCCTGTTTTTCCCTTGCCTTTTAAATAACAGCGGCGTTGGTGTCCGTGACGAGGAATGTTGCGTCGCGAACTGATTACGTTACACTAAAAGGTTATCGGTAACAAATCAGTTTCGAACGAAAACTGTAAAAATGATTTGTTCTAACCACGGGTAGGAGCTTCAAGCTTCAAGCCTCCAGCTGCCCAGGAAAAGCCACTTTTGTCCGCCAAAGTTCTTGGGCCCCACTGATCCGCAAACCGAGAGCCAGCGGCTCAGTAGTTCACGGTGCCGCGGCACAGCGCGTGCGCAAACTGCCGAAGGCCTACGGAAGCCGAGAAGAAAAAAAGGCGGGAACTTCCAATCCCGGGTGGAGCAAAATGGCGCGGGAGAATGAGATGCGGGAATTCACGCACAGCTTCTTCCGAGGCTGCCCTGACCTCAGGTGCACAGGGGATTTGAGTTAGAGATAAAAAGGGTGAGGGTGGGACGTAGATCCTGTCTTGACACGTGTCTCTGTAGCACGCTCACGCAATCCATCGTGCGGCAGAAGTTCTTGGCTCACGCGGGTCTCACCCATCTGGAACCTGAGGAAAAGCAAGCACTAAGGCGGCTGGTGGAGGAGGAGCTGCTGAAAATGCAGGTGTGGGTACAGACCTGGACCTCAGGAGATGGAGTGTGTTGTCCAGGAGTTGATGGGCAGGACATAACTTTGGAACTTTTTGCCTCTTGGTGCACACAGGTGGATGAAGCTGGTACCAGGCAAGAGAAGCTAGACCTTACCAAGAAGGTGAAGAGGGCTCCCACCCTCTGCAATGACCAAGAAAGAAAACGGTTCCGTTTCAATTCAGAATCAGGTTAGTGTCTCTTTCTTGTTATCTGTGTGTTCTGCATCACTGGTTCATTCAAAAGGCGGTTACTGTGCAAGAGCAAGGCCAGTGAGTCAGGAACCACGAGTAGGGTGGAGTGATAGCTTTGTTTCCTGCTGCCCTTTCCATGGTCAGAGCAGGCCAAAGCTTTAGGCAACCTATCCCAAATGGGAGCAGACAGGTGAAACCTATCCCATTTCGTTCTTCTCCATATTCCAGGGTCCAGGTCCGCAGCCTCCAGTCCAGACTGCTTTGGATGTCCAGCAGATAATGAGATGGCAGAAACACAAATCAGCCCAGCCGAGGAGGAGCGTCCAAGGCAGGCTTCAAAGAGGGCAGTTGAGAGCAGCGATGAAGAACAGCAAAGGGACCAGCCTGCAAAAATGAGATTAGAAGAGAGCAGTGATGAGAAAGAGGAGAAAGAGAAAGAAGACTCTGTCAGAATACGGAAGATTTTAGAGGAAAAAGATGAGGAAGAAAAAGAATACAAGGGCAGGACTTTGAAGAAATCTAGGACCAAGAATGAGCAGGCACCTGGCAAGGCCTCAGCAAGAAAGCAGCAGACCAGGGAAGAAAGTGAGGATAGTGAGGAAGAACTTGTCCAGAGGAAAGTAAAGAAGTCTGGGAGAAATAGAGAAGCTAAAAGCCCTGAGGAAAGTGAAGAGGAGAGAGAGGAGGAGTGCCTATTCAAGAAGAAAGAGAACATGGAAGAGGACAGAGATGAGGAAGAGGAGGACTGGGAACTAAGAGCTAGGAGCAAAGGAGGGGGAAAGTCAGCGTTAGAGGTGAAGAGCTGTAAGCTAGAAAGCAGGGTAGGGAAGCTGAGAGAGTTGGGGGACAGTGGGGAAGAAAAAGAGAAAGAGGCAGCTGGCAGCGGAGATAACAGTGGGGAAGAGTCTCCACTGCGTAGGAAGGTCAGGACCCGGTGTAAAGATAGGAAAAGGCAGAATAGAAGCAGTGAGGATGAAGACAGCAGTGTGGCACAAGCAACTGCTCAAGGCCCTGCAAAGACAGCCAAATTGGGCAGTGTCAGTGGTGAGAGTGACTCAGAAAAGGAGGTGAGTGACAGCGAGATAAGGGGAAGCCCTAAGGGAGAGAGGAAGAACCGCTCTTCCAAGAACTCTAAGAAGAGCAGGACACGAAGCTCTTTTTCCTCCTCAGATGGAAGTCCAGAGCCCAAAGACAGGAAGGTGAGAGTACATATGGGGCAGGAAGCCATCACTAGGGAAAAGGGAGACCCCAGCAGGCTCAGCCTTAAACTGCTTTCTTTGCCAGGCCAGTTCTGCTCGCCATGGAGAAGACCACCCAGCTGTGACCAGGCTAAAGCGCTACATTCGAGCCTGTGGTGCCCATCGAAACTATAAAAAGCTGCTGGGATCCTGTCACTCACACAAGGAGCGCCTGAGTGTACTCCGTGCTGAGCTGGAAGCCCTGGGCATGAAGGGTGAGGCAAGGTGTGTCCTGGAGGGCTGCTGGGGGCTTTGCATTCAGGGGAAGAGAGGATCATAAGCTGCTTCTGCCCCAGGTAACCCTTCTTTGGAGAAATGTCGTGCCCTGAAGGAGCAGCGAGAAGAGGCAGCAGAGGTGGCCTCTTTGGATATTGCCAACATCATCAACAGTTCAGGTGAGGGTTTTTTCCTGCCTGGGAATGAATGAGGTTGAATGTTATAGACAGCTAATCTGTCCTTGTTCACCTAGGCCGGTCACGTAGACGGACTGCCTGGAACCCTTCAGGAGAAGCAGCCCCCTTTGGGGAGCTTTACCGCCGGACACTGGACTCAGAGGAGGAGCAGCCTCGTTGGGCACCCCCAGACTGGTCACACATGCGAGGCATCATCAGCAGTGATGGCGAGAGTAACTGAGTGTTGCCTCTCACAGGAGGGTCCCTTTCCATATGTACAAAGTATATATGGCATCCCATACTCTGAACCTGCAAAGCAAACTGTTTACTTTCAGACAACTACCGCCCCAGAGACATAAACTACTCAGACACTACTTCTCAGCTTCACATTCTCGTTAGGGTGTTTATAGGGATTCATTTTTTGAGACTCAATAAAGGAATGTTTATAGTCACCTCATCAGAAACAGTCCTCTGCTCTTTTGGGGACTGGTAGCTAAGGAGTAGCTACTGCTACTGGTAGCCAGGGGTCTAGTTCCCTTTAATTTTTTAGGCTCCTCAGCCAAAGTCTGTCACCATTTGCCAGGTATGGTGGTGCACGCCTATAATCCCAGCACTTGGAAGGCTGAGGCAAGAAGGTTGTTTCGAGTTTGTTTGAGACCAGCCTGGACTACAAAGGGAGCTCAAGGCCAGTCTGAACTGCATAGTGAGACCCTGTCTTAGAAAGACAAAAAAAACCAATCTACCACCAAACCAGGTATGGTGATACATGCCTGTAATCCCAGCACTAGGGTGGCTGAGGCAGGAGGACTGCTGTGAGTTTGAGGTAGGCTAGACTAGTTTTCAAGGCCAGCCTGAACTGCATAGTGAGATCCTGTCTCAAAAAAAAAAAAAAACACCTGCCACCAACCAGACCATATTAGAGAAGGGTATGGCTCTATCTTTCCTCCAGTCTGACCAGTAGGTCCCTCTTATCCTTTTTTTTAGCTAGGTCTGTAACATGTGCAAGTGGAAGGACGATTTGAACTGGCCTGAGAATGTGCGTAAAACCTGATTTGGGACAGTCTGTAATCCTTCCCTTTTATAGACCCTTAGTCCAAGTTAAACAGTGTGTGTAGACTTAGACTTGATTGCCTAATCAGGGCCCACAGACCTCTGCCAGAATGCTTGCTGTTGAGGCACAGGTAAGATTTAAGTGTAGAGCTACCAAGGGTCTCTGTGAAGTGGGTCTTCTGAGAATCTCTGAAACTGAAGCAGAGGAAACAGGAATTAAGAGGTCAGGAGGTTCAGGACTTCCTTTGAGGTCTTGATCCAGTCATCCCTGAAGTCATTAAAATCACAAATTGTCAGGTGTGCACACCTGTGATCCCAGCATTTGGGAGGCTAAGGCAGGAAGACTGCTGTGAACTACACAGTGAGACCCTGTCTCAAAAAAAAAAAAAACAGTAAAAAAACTGAAGTTCTTAGTTACACAGTCTATTCCATAAACACAAGTAACATTTTCACCTGCCACAGAACAAGTGTTTCATACACATCTCAGAGTGAGTCCTAGGATCTGTTAGAATAACCAACAGTTTATTAAAAGCTTTCCCTGGGGCTCTGCCAGCCCCACAGCTGAGAGGGGCTTCCACTGCTGCAACCAGTTCCAGGAGCAGCCCTTTCCAAGGCCCTTCCCTTGTTCCCCCGCCTCAGCCCTGACCCCATTTAAAAAAAAAAAAAAAAAGGACAAGACGGCACAGGACATCAGACAGTAGCGGGGGAATGGAGAGACCCAGGCATCCTGACACCGAGACTCCATCCTGATCCTTCTTTCTGAGGAAGGCCTCCCGTTCTCCCTGCCTTGGGCCCCAGACCTGCTCTGCCACCTCCCAGGTCTGGGAGCCCTGTTGTCCCAAGTCCCCATTGCAAGGGTAGTATAGTTCTCTGAATATAATATATCTAGACCCGCCCTTCCCCTCCCCCAGGGGACTAGATGAATATTTGACACGCACAGCTCCCTCCTTCCCCAGGTGGTAATGGAGGGAGACCCTGGCACCATGGTGGGGAGGCAGGGCTCCCAGTCAGACTTGGGGCACTGATACCCAAGCTGGTCCAGCACCACTGGCCAGCCCCAAGAAGCTCATGAGATGAAGAGGTCCAAGAGGAGCTGGAGCCAACATACTGTCCTGTCCCCACCACCCTTGGGTGGGCCTCTAGCTGAACCTGCTAGCACTAGACTACCCACCCTGCCCCTGCCCCACTGCTCTGCTCACCCACCCTACACTTCAGGAATAGAAGTGGGAGGAACCATTGAGGATGTGGGAAGCAACACTGGTGCTGCGGCTCAGAGGGCCAGGCACTGATGCCGCAGGTGGGCCCACATTCTCACTGCCACTGCCCCCTGAGGCTGCCCGCCGGAGGGGCTGGGGGCTGTTCCTTAGCAGTAGCAAGGCTCCACCACGGGGCGTTCCACTCTGTGTTGGGGGTCCCAGCCAGTTTGGGGGTCCAGGGGGGGCCAGCAAAGATGGTTGACGCCAGGCTGGAGGGGGCATGCCTGGTGGTGGAGGGCCATGGCTCCAGTGTGCCCCTGAGCGGGGAACAGGGCGGGAGGGCCAGGCAGGGGCAGGGGGTGGGGCAGGATAGCCCTGGGCAGCAGCCTCGGCTGGGATGCCCCCCAGAGCCATACTGGAGAAGCCCAGCCTCATGCTCTCAGCATCAAAGGCCTCGATCTCACGGGCCTGCCGCTCAAGCAAACTTCGGATTCGCTCAGAGCGCCCCGTCTGCAGTGCCAGCAGCTCCTCTTCCACCTGGGACACCCAGAAGAGGGGTTAGTGTCCTGGCGTGGGAGCCTGCCCTCCTGCCCAGTCCTGGAGGACACACCCCTTACCCGCTGCTCCAACAGTGCCCGCCGCAGAGCTACTCTCTGCTCCAGCTCCCGTAGTTCCCGCTCATGCTGGCTTTCCGTTCGGATTTTGATCTTGCTCTGGTAAGCATTGAGCAGCTCCAGCTCCTGCTGAAGCTGCTGCCGAAGGGCCTGGAACTCTGCCTCCTGGGTCTCATCGAGCCGGAGCTGGAGGGTAGGGGAAAACCAGTTTTAGGGACCTCTTCCCCTACTCCCACAATCCTCCCCTGCCCCAGGTAGGCCTGGGCCGAAAGGTTGCAAGAAGCAGCGGTCTCAACATCTATCAGAAGGGAAGATGGTCATACCCTGTGGCACAGCAATTACACTTGCAGGAATCTATCCCCCAGGTATACTTGCACAAGTGCTCGGTGTTCACGGAAGCGTTGGGATAGCAAAATACTGGAAACAACCTAAATGTCCATCAATAAGGGATGGGTTAAATAAATTATGGTACAGCCATACCAGGGAAAATTCTACACTGTAAAAAAAAAAAAAAAGAGATGTGTACTGACAGGGAAAAATGTCCAAGAACTATTAAGTGGAAAAAGGAAGTTAGAGAAGAATGTGTAAAGTAGGATTTCATGTGTTTAAAATTTTTATATAGTTTTCCAAAAATGCATTGGAAAAATCTTAAGTACAGTTAGTCATTAAGCTCTGAGAGGCGGACAGGGTGAGCAAAGAGGGCCCTGACTCTTCACCCTGTGTGCCTTCTAGGAGGCCCACTCCAGTGCTGTGTGCAGTCAGGGTCACAACAGCGGACTTCTTAATCTCATGAGGGCTGAGGAAATGGCCTGAGAGCCACACTCATTGTAATTTGCTCCCTGTTCAAAAGTTAAACTAATTTAGGCCCAGGAAAACACTATAGCCACTCTTTTCCTTGATGATTCTTAGTAGTCAGGATGGCTTTGTCAAGACCTTAAGAAAATACTAAGAGAAATAATAAAACCATTAAGAAAATGAAGTTATAAAACCATTGCAGAGGATACTAAGTGAAATAGTAGCCCAGTTTCTCAAGTGCCAAAAAATCTCTAGCCCTGCCCACACCTCCCACTTTCCTCTGCCCAAAAGTAAGCCAGATATACAGAGGTCAATCTCCCCTGTTCTCCCTCCTGGGCCCCCAGGCCTCACCGCCTGCGAGCTGAGCATCTCTGAGATGGACTGGTCATACTGCTCAGCCAAGATCGCCAATTTGCGGGTCTGTTCTTCCTTGAGCCGCTTAAGGAGGCTCTTGTGCTGAGCTTTAGGCGTGGTCTCCAGCAAGTGTGCGCGCAGAGCTTTGTACTGCCGAGTCTGGATCTTACACGTCTCCTGGAACTGCTTCTTGATCTGCAGCTCTTTAGACTGCGTAGTGGATGGATCATGGGGAAATGGGGGCAAAGGAGAGGGAAAGGAGGAAGAGGAATAACCAGGGGAAATGGGGAGAAGAGAAGGAGAGGAGAGGAGACAGAAGCAGAGACAGGGAGAGGGAGAGAAACAGAAAACATGTTAGACAGAGGGGGCGGGGGGAGCTGTATACAGACAGATATGGAGAGATGGGATTGTGTGGAGAGATCAGGAAAGTCTTGATGGGCAAGAGACACAGGGAAAATGAGACAGATTCTGAGAGCATGTCCACAGTTTGGTGAAATACAAAAGGAACATCAAAGTTCATAGATAAGGAACTGAGACACTTTAGAGGACTGAATGCATAAAAGAAGATTCTCTCATGCAAAGAGGAAGCAAATATGACCATGGGATAGAAGCATATGAGTAAATATAAAATTGTGCAAAGGAATGAGTGAGAACACCAAGTCACACAGAACACCCGTGGAAGAAGGCAAAACAACTGAGGACAGACAGCAGAAGTCCCAGGTCTAGCACCTCAGGAAGGCAGGGAAGGAAAAACACTGAGCTGGATCAGAAGGGGATGGCCCTGTGATGGACCACAGAAGAGAAAGGTGGCCAGAAAAGGCCGGACAATTCAAGAGGCCAACAGCTGCCACCATGACTACATTCACATTTCAGCCCAGCCCCCACATGTTCAGCTCCCACTCTTAAGCCCACAATCAACCCAGTCCCAGGGCCCACACTCTGCCTGGACCCAGCTCACCACCCTCAACTGTGGAGGGTTTGTACCCCGTCCCCCAACCCTCTAGGCTAATGCCTGATGCAGGACAGAGATGCAGTTCCCAACCAAGAGAACCAAAAGGACGAGGACACTAAAGACATGGACCCTAAAGGGCTTTCTGGAAGTGACCCATAGAAAGGGGCCCAATGGGATCAGGAAGTTCTATGGAAGCTCCACACGGCCCAGGGCCAGTAGTGGTTGTGATGTGATGAAGTTATGAAGGCAGAGAAAATGAGGCTGAGGGTGAAAGGGATTGAGACGTAGATGTAGTGAGGTCATGGAGCTGGTGGCCAAGGTCCAGATTGGGGGCAAACCAGGGAGGCTAGGCGGCAGGACAAAGCAGACAGAGGCAGCCTGGGCCAAAGGTACAGTTCCGCTCAGATATTTTATTTGTGTTTGTCTTTTTCTTTTTTTCTTTTGACTTTTGGTTGGGGAGAGGGGAACAGGTTGGAAGGGAGACAGAAAAACAAAATCAAAGA